TGCGACATCGCAAATATTTTTGCAAATATTGCAAATATCGCGACATCGCAAATATTTGCACAAATATTTGCAGAGCTTTTGGCGATGTGTGATGTCCCTTCACGGCCACGATACAAGTAAATTTTCTAAAACCAGGGAAAACCCTCTGTGTCATCTTTGTGCGGTAAATCAAGCTGTCTATGTTTTAATGATTATTGTTTTTGTCCTTTTATTTTTATCACATTCAAATCATATTTAGGTATAAAGGTTTGCTATATAGATCTCATCATTGCGAATTTTACGACAGCTTTGAATAAAGTCTTTTCCAATTCTTCAGACGTATGTAAGCATCAGGTCAATATCCATTACATGTTTAAAGCTATAATATGTTTTGACACGCATTTGTCTGCGGCATTCAGTTGTTACGTAGTTCAACAAAACCTGGGAGTGACAGCTGGTGGGTTCGAATCCCGCCATTGCAAAATCTTTTGGTTTTTACCACATGGTCCTAGCCATTCACTAAACAATATTACCATTATAATAATACCAACGGTATCTTAGCGCACTTATAAGTAAGCTTTTTGGCCGAGACTCTCATTCGTACAGGTGTAAGGCTGGTTGGATTGACTCGGCATCTTCATCCCTTTATGCATATGGTGCTTGGGGTTATATGGATGGGCAAGAAAGGAGGCGTGGTGGGTTAGAAACCCCCCAATCCCACAAGAGTCAGTATATGAATTTCATTCATGAATTCCCCAACCAGACCCCTTATTTCATGGCCAATATCACATAATGTTTCACCCCATACACTTAATGTTTTTGTGAGACAGATTAAACTGGTGCATGAAACGAATTTTCCTGAGGAGCACATTTTGTGCAACTTTCTACTCCTTTTTAATGTATGAAATTATTTGACATTCCTTATTGGTTAAGTTTATTGAAAAAGTGCACTTCTTTAAACCTTAAAATTTGCCATACTTTACCGGACTACGAGGGCGCTATTGCTAGGGGTTTATATAGGGGTTTTCTGTTCAAATTGTGAAACCAAAAATTTGCTCATTGAAAACATTTGTGAGAAAAGTTTCTTCACTAGCTTATTGACATGTACTGACACGACAACGAATAATCAAAGAAAGAAAGTTCATGACAGCAAAATATCCAAAATTCTGGCAAACATGTTTGCCAGAATTAAGATTGTGCATACAAATTTTCCCTGACAAAAGCTACAGCAACTCTTCACTGAAATTTAAACTGAAATTAACTATCAAACAGATATTCTCAAGAAGTTACCACTGCATACCTGTATTATGTTCCGTTTCAAATGACAGCTTGTAAAATGCTCTAATTTGATTAAAGACAGAACAAAATAGTTTGAGGATCAGACATTCACGTGGGCAGAGCCACACTACGAACGTTTGATATAATCCAAGCATGCTAATTGGAGTCGATTTCAGAAATTGTGACATCATTTCGATCAGAAATGTTGACTAAGCTGTTGATTGGTCAATTTGGCTGCCACGTTTTTGTAATGCAACAGCAGGTTACGGAAGACCCGATCTAGAAGGCGCCCGCTGAATGGTCAGAATCTGGAGGATAAGGACAAGACGCAGTCTTGTTTTGCATAATTAATCGCCGACAAGGGCGGATCCAGGAATGTTTCCAGGGGGGGGGGGTTCATCAGCAAATCAATGCTGAAATGAAGACAGGTTTTTTTTTATCTGTGGACACTTGGCCTCCGTAAAATCAATAGGGGGAGGAGTCGTACCATATTTTCAATGGGGGTGCTGTTCCAAACCGACCATCATTATCACAATATTACAGAATAGTGTACAAATACCGGCCCCGTAACCCAGCTGACTCTGTTCGAATATTGTGCACAGGCGGACATTATTACCTTTCCGAATCTGCACGAATATCATAGACGCTTGCGTGCAAGCGGCTATTCCATAAACCAATCAAAATTTTAATGAAAGCATTAACTGTGTATTCTCTATTTCAAGCGTGATACTTAAACGCCAATTTCATAATAATCTTTGACTGCTATGTTTATGATTAGGCTTTTTTGAGTTAAATCACCTCTTTTAATTTAAATCTTTCGACAGTTTTAGAATTCAAAGCGCGGCTTCTAGATAAAGACAAATTATTGCAAAACAAATTTTGTCCGCGAAACAGTGTAATTATCCATCAACTCCAGTCGATTGAAAATTGTTTCACAAATTAAACAAAATCTAAATCAAAATTGGTGTAAATGCCTTTTAAGGGAATAAACATAACTCACAAGCCACTAAAGTATTGGATAAGATTGTAAAACCCCCAATGATATTAATTTCTGACAGGTTGTTTTTACACGATAAAAGATCGGCAGATTATGTGATTGAATCGATTGATTTAATTTGACATTACATACAAACAAGGGCGGATCCAGGGGGGGGGGGGGGCAAAGGGGGCCATGGCCCCCCCCCCCAAAAAACGAAACCAATTTTTTTTTTTTTTATGTGACATCGCAATAAAGGCAGGCAATCAAGGGCGGATCCAGGGGGGGCCAAAGGGGGCCATGGCCCCCCCCAAAACGAAACCAATTTTTTTTTTTTTTATGTGACATCGCAATTAAGGCAGGCAATGAGTACACCACCATCTTTTCCTCAAAAAACATTAGTTAAAGTGATCAGAAATTGCCTCAGATCGCACCACAGAGCATCTGGAATCCAAATTTTTTTCGGGGCCCTTAAGCGGGCCCCGAACCCCACGCCGTAATTTTTTTTACCCACTTTTTGGGGACCAAAATTTTTTTTGGCCCCCCCCCAAAATTGTGTTCTGGATCCGCCCTTGCAGGCAATGAGTACACCACCATCTTTTCCTAAAAAAACATTGGTTAAAGTGGTCAGAAATTGCCTCAGATCGCACCACAGAGCATCTAAAATCCAAAAAATGTTCGGGGCCCTTACGGGCCCCGAACCCCACGCCGCAATTTTTTGACCCACTTTTTGGGGGGACCAAATTTTTTTTTGGCCCACCCAAAAATTGTGTTCTGGATCCGCCCTTGCATACAAATAATGATCAGGATTTCCTTGACAATCCAACAGCAAATTCGATCACACAGATAACTGAGAAAAAGCTTGAGAGGGTTGGCGCTATCATACATCGGTGAAAAAAAACCAACGGGCTCCATCAAGAAAAGCATTAACTTTAATGAGATCGCCTCCGCAAAACCCATTATTTTATAGAGCGTGGGGCATGTCGTGTAATTGGGTTCGTTAATATTTGCCCGCAGCCGGTTAAACATAGAAAACGTGACGTGCATAAAGAAAAGCAGCACAGATTTGTTCACCTTTTAGGCAGCAGCTGTTTTTAAAACAGGCCGACGCTACCGACACAAAAATAGCGGTCCTTTCTACCGGTAATTCAATGTCTTGTCTTGTTGAAAATTGATTTGTACGGGAGAATCGGCGACCTGGAAATTACATTTCATCTATTTCATTGCCATGCGTTCACTATGCTCCTATTTTTTGTGAGTAATATTCAAGCCAAATTGTTATCTTCTTCTACGTCAAGGTAGCCCACCCACTTCATTTCTTTATATCCGTCTGTATTATTGAACTGCTTATTCTTCATCTATAATGCCTTTCATTTGCCCATCCAGGGCTAATAACGTATTCTGATATGAGTTTTCTTGTAATGTATCCATTATTCTTCTTTCTTGCTCGAAAACACAGGTCTTGAAAAAAAATTTGAATCAATATAGCAACCTTTTGTCTTGAAACACTTGACCATGCATGATTGATCAACTAACCGATTAACAAATCGATTACCTTCATTGGACTTGTTAGGGATGAAAATTGGTTTCCCGCATTGTGTCATATTTATCAAAAATATCGAAACTGAATAAAACTGCTGCAAACTGTTTACTGACCAGTCTGACTGGATTGACCTTTCAGAGAGGTCCTGCCAGGCCCGAAGCCTTAGACCCTCTAATATGTGTATTTATAAAAAAAAATACTCCTTAACATAAAAGACGTGTTTCTTACTTCTGGAGGTCGCAGGTTCAAATCACGCTCTAATTATTATTATTTTTTTTAACCTTGCAATTTGTGTTAACTTTTCATTTTTCCTTGTTTCTTTTTATTTTCATATTCGATTTCTTTATGTGAATAAAACTTTATGTCATTTAGAATATATAATTACCTCTTAACCTTAAAATTTAATTTTAAACATTTCTCCTGTTTTGTTGTAAATCACCCCTTTTCAAAGTTGTTATTCGCAGTATCAGCTAATAGCTGAAAATAATGCCAATCTTTTTTTTTTCATTTTTACGAATAGTGAGCGTTTCCAAACTCATCAGTGACGTAAGAGGATGAGCATATAAACTAGACGAAAGCCCTTGCGACATCTACGGGCATATAGATTAGTAGCAAAGGGCATTAGTAATTTGAGAAGAAAAGCATCGGCATATGACTGGGCAAATGTAAAGCGTCATGGTTGTTGAGAATTATTTCACTCGGTGCGTTTGTTTGATGTGTTCATGATGTCTAGCAAATGATGGACTAACAATGAGACTGATGGAATTGTCTGTTATCATTTTCTTTTTACATCATTTCAAAATTCAAATTTTTATTCTCGTCGAAATATTTGGAGAAATTGCTTAGAAGGAATTAACTTGACCCGACTCTCATTTCTGTGTAAAATATTTCCTGGGAAAATTTTGAACACGGATTGGTTTTATAAAGGCTCTGTCTTAGCTCCGTAAATGTCTTCGATTATATTTCATGTATTTGAAAATAATTTCTTAACGATAATCCATGATCTGAAGATATTGAAATCTTAAGATAAAGACCTTTAATTTTTAAACCAACTTTTTTTCACAACCCGGTAGTGGTTCTCGACAAAATGGTGCGTACAATGAAGAAGGGACCGGTGATAAAATTGAATGCATTTGGTAAAATATAGTGGACCTAAATCACTTGAGGCAGTGGATTATTCATGTTTAAATAAGGGCTGCTCTCAATGGGAAGGAGAGTACTTACCGTTCCCCGATATTCGAAAGCATGTCTCTTGGCTATACTATGGGCAGCCTCACCGGCACCATCGCGCATCTCCACCAAGAAGCTGTTGGTGTAGACGTCATCCCGAGCCCCGTAGATCCCACTGACGGCCCAGGCGATTAGACACAGACCAACCATCGGTAGCATCTTGACCAAGCCGCATGATGTTGCCACAACCACCATCGCACCGTACCGACCCGACCACCTTGCGCCGTAAAATCCACCCGCTTAACCCCCTCTCCTTAAGTCGAGCCCTCGCTAATCCGTCTGTTTTCCCCGTTCGAATTAGTAGTTCGGTTTTCTTCAATTCCAAAATTTAACACTCAAACGGACGAATCTCGACCCAAAAATTCGGCGCTCTTTCCAAGATTATCTGTCGTCGTACACACTGAGTGCAGGATGTATTTTTTCTCTCAGTTCCTCTTGCTTGGCTGATGATGCGGTGGTTGTCGTGGGAGGGCTGTACGTGCGTACGCGTAGGCATAATGAGTACTGTCTCCACACGATTCTCGCCACCGCGATTGGCCCAGACGTAGAGACTGCCATTCATATGATTATGTTTATAATTCCTATGACAGCGCTGTGTTAATGTATAATTTCTGCCGTGATCTGTGGCCACCTAGTCAGCGTGCAACCTTAATGAGGGTCGCGGTGCATTCGATTTTTTTTTCTACCGACGTTCAAGTTGACTAGCCGTCCATTTTTAACTATGATTTTCTTTTTCCACATATGCACATTTATCTGTGAATTGTCTTTATTTTTGCCAATGGCGCCCTAATACTCAATTTTCTATAAATTTGTTTAAGTTTTTATGCACAATAGTCTGCGCTTACACCTGTCATTTTTTATTTTCCATCTTTCCAAGAGAACACAAAATTGTATCACAGCTGTTTGTTTTCGATTTGAATCCATGCAAATTAGACTAGACAAAATGAAAGCCTTTTATTTTTTAATATTAACGCAATTTTGCTGTTTTCTCGCATTTTATGTCAATTGATTATATTAACTCTAAAATCGAAAATTATGTTATGTTATTATTACCTAGCAACATTCAAGGAATCTCACACGATATCATTTACCAACGACAATAAAACCAACACTTCTAAGTGGAATGAGTAGTCAAGTAGCCTAATATTATAGGATGTATACATGAGGGGTCCTCTTATCATTCCGACAGATGGCACCTGTAATTCGTGTTTACAAATGACCACTTCAAAAATAACTTCCCGTTTGATACCTAGTCTAAGCATGTGTCCTTTCTCTATGATCTAAGCAAATTCACATTGGCCATTGGGGAACGTGATTTTTCTCTCTATCTCCAGCTGTGTTGGTAATAGAACTAAAATCGATCTTCTCTCCACAGAAACGTGGGCTGACATTATGGTGCCCGATTCTGTTTGCATAATTTGGCAGCGAATCAACTGACAGAACCGATATTGGTTAGATATTAACTCTTGACAATAACCGATAGAGTGTCAAGTGAAGGGCGCCGAAAAAATCTATAAGTTTAAGTTGATTATAGCATATGCAATGGTGTGCTGTGTGCTTTGTCATCGTGGTGAACCCTCGGTGTGCTGAGGAAAAATGGGAGGCTAATTATGTGCATGACGTCATCACTGTCTTGGCGCCGTCAGCAGATCGTCGCCAAGCAACCCACGTCACGACTTTCTATGATTTCGCCCTCCCGCGCACAGACAATGGCGCAAGCGATTGGAAGCAGAAACAGAGCCATTACGTGGGTATTGTCCTTTCATTTTTTGAAACAAAAATTAAAAATAGCACGTTACATTTTATTTTTCGTGTTTGATTCTGACAACTACTGATGACATCCTTGGTTTTTAGAAAACCTTCCACAATAAAAAAAATACATTGTGTGTGGCATTTACAAGGGAATGTGAGAAGAACACCCGCTGAGATTAAATATTTATAACCCATCTCACAGATTTATTTCATTCTTTTTTATATACGCAGCGGATTATATTCTAACTATAAATACATCGGACAAAGATTCATACTTTATTGATGAACAGAATGGATTATATTTCTAACTATAAATACACCGAACAAAACATTTCAGAGTGTGTTTTACAATAATATATAGAGACGTGCGAAGGTTGCTTATTTTCTCTGCTGTTAGTGTAAGTTTGTAATTCTAGAATCGAATGTGAATCGTAATGACAATTAAGTCAAAACAAAGACGTATGTGCTTTTTAATCGCATTTCTCTCCTTTTGTTTAAGGAACATTAATTTCCTTGACATTTTTATCCTCCGAATATTATACATTGTCAAGTCCTCAGGCAGACTTTCTTGTCGGCCAGTTCTTCACCTGAAGGATCAATAATTTTGGAAAATAAGCAATCTAAAATGTTGAAAGACTCGTCATGTGGAGCATGGAGGCAACAATAAAAAGGACTGAGGCTCCCAGCATCTTTAAATTCCATCCTGAGAAAATGAATATCAGTTGAAATCAACATTATTAAATCTGTTTAAAATTCGTTTTATGCCGTTTGGATAAAATGTCAGGCTTAACAAACGCTAAGACAAGTTCGTTATGGCAAGAAGCATTTTAGTTTGGCCTAGGCCTATCTTCAAACCCAAAGTAAATAGAGCCATTGTTTCCGAACCCCATTTCGACCAAAATATTCAAACCGAATTTTTATAGTACATGAGATTTTTATAGTACGTGTTCTTTGTCGTTTTCTATGAATGCTACAACGCCATGGTTTGTTTAAAAAATCACGATTTGGGTTCTTGAAAAAATTACGAGGACCGCACAGGCACAATTTTGCGGCTTAAAATGGAAATGTTCGTTCACATCTCTGTAGCTGTTTGTCGAAGATGCAAACACTTTCCAAACTCCCTCAGCTGCAGTAAATATTATTATAGATTCAGGGATGATCAGTCGAAGGGAATATCGTCACTGGATTTTAACAAAAACATGTTTACGAGGTGAGTTGGCGGCATAATATTGTGGTTGCGCCACGATTTATCAAGGGTGGATCCGGGGGGGGGGCAAAGGGGGCCATGGCCCCCCCCCCCAAAAAAAAAAACGAAAGCAATTTGTTTTTTATGTGACATCGCAATAAAGGCAGGCAATGAGTACACCACCATCTTTTCTCAGAAAAAAACATTGGTTAAAGTGGCCAGAAATTGCCTCAGATCGCACCACAGAGCATCTAGAATCCAAAAAATTTTCGGGGCCCTTCAGCGGGCCCCGAACCCCACGCCGTAATTTGTTTTGACCCACGTTTTGGGGGGACCAAATTTTTTTTTGCCCCCCCCCCAAAAAAATTGTGTTCTGGATCCGCCCTTGCGAATTATAGCTGGTTATCAATAGTAATTTCCATAGCAAAGTGCAGAGGGGCCAACTATCAACAGAATTTCATTTTCATTGCACAGTTTTTCCATGTTAGTTTACGATTATGTCACTTTTGTCACCATGGTACAATACTATTGGCGATTATGTTACAAGATGTCCTAAACTATACACAATCACTATTATTTGTGTAAATAAAGAGAAACAACAAGACTGTTGAATTATTGTGCGACCACCATTTAGAACAATAGTTCGACCAGAGTCGTTCGCGCCTCAACTTCAGTGCGCATGCGCCAGGTACGTCACGAATCAACCACTAGTTAACCACTGGTCCGTGCTCGAACCTGCTGATCATGGGTTAGAGCTCAGCTTGAAGATAATTGTGCATTGTGTTCTTGGGCAAGAAACTTGATCTCAATTTCATATGCTACTTTGAATGACATGGAATTTTACACTTTTTACAGACTTTGCATGTGTAATTATTGTTCCTCATATAATTTCCAAGTATGATAAAGCATTTGAATTGACATAGCTCAAGGATTGAATAACAGGCCGGTTGACAAAGAGGAAGGCGAAGCATATACCGTTTTAGTAATCACTATCGGGTTTTAGAGGTACTTCTCATTCATGGACAACTGAAGAGAGTGTAAACATTGATCCATTGGAGCCAGTTATTCACAGGCACTTTTGATGGACAATGCCAGGGCCTGATTCCTGGTACTCCTGCCGGCTGACCCAGATGTGCCGGAATGTCGGCAGAGTGGGAAGGATAGCCCCGCCCATCCAGGAGGAGTACCTCCTGTCCGGAGGGGCGACGATGTTCACTTCTGGCGCGCCCGTCGTGGACTGCTCAAGATGCCGCTCCACCTCCAACTTAAGCCTGTCCGCAAGGCCGGGAAACAGGGACGAGCCACCCGATAAGACGATGTTTGCGTACATGTCCTCCCGCAAAGAGCTCTCGCACTTCTCGATGCTGTCTACCGCGAGTTGGCACAGACCAGGAGCGTTGATTCCCATCACCAGGGGCCGAAGGAGCGCTTCTGGGCACTGGAGCTGTTCCTTACTCACCGTGATGACCTTACTGTCCGGTAAGCGGTAGTCCTTTGCCAGGGAAGGGTCGGATGCCAGACGAGCCATTTCTGGTTGGAAGTTGAGGGCGAGGCGGCACATTTGCTCCTTGATTTCACGGGCGAGTTCACTATCAGCTGTGTGAAAACAAAATCAGGTGAACGGAATTTGATTATCCAACTAATAGTTTTCTCATTTCTTCTTTCAACTCTTGCAACTATCTCCAATACCACCATCGTGACCACCACAGACAGAAAAACGTTAACACAAATTGTGTACGTCATTGGTCATCTTCGATCTGCAGTAATTATCCCCGTATACACAATCATGGTCAATCAATCATCATCATCATCCCAATCATTCAATGCAAGGGCGGATTAACGATTGGGGCATTTAATGTGGTTAAAAAATCCCTAACTATTTATCCCTGAAATTACATTATGCAAATTCTCAAACCTCGATTTATTACTTTGTGTTTCTCCAACCCATCCCAAACTCCTCGATCGGCTACAGAAATTTCGTAATGTCATCATCGTTATCCTTATCGTTAATTGCTGTTATTTCTCATCTCCTTTGTCATTGCAGTGATCACCATCATCAAAATTGTCATCATCGCAGTCATTGTTCATCTTGTTCTTGGGACCATCATCGCATTGTGTCATATTTATCCTTATTGTCATCAACAATGTCATCGTCGTTTTCGTGACAGTTCTGATCCTCTAATCGTCAATATGAAGTTCCTCTTTGTCGTCACATTAACAGACATCGGCATAGCGGCATCATGTACAGTCGTCAATGTGTAATTACTTCACAATACTATTGAGATCTCAACAACCATAGAGGTTCCTATCCACCACCCCTCCCGACACTCCCCCCCCCCCCCCCACACACACACCCACACACAAGTTTACGTTACATACCAAGTGTGGACTTTCCATTGCTTTCGTGTAGTTAAGAAAAACCAGTGAAAAAACTCATTTTTCTCAAACTGTGAAAACTCTTTCAACCCAATTTTTTTTCTATGATTCCCTTTAGTGTTTCTCTTCATTCTGCTACGGATAAACCTAACCCAAAAATGCCTCTAAACCTGTTTTCCAGAAATGGGGAAACACTGTGTGGACTTGCCCAAGTCCGCACAGTGTCTCCTCTACCTGGTTTATGTGGACATCTTTTGTTCGGAAGTTCGGGGTTTGAACCTGCGACCTCCGGATTGCTGTTCAGGTACACTACCAACTGACCTATCCAGCCATTAAAGCCGTATCCTCTCTGCGTGAATCCCGTTTGCTATTTCCCAGGTTAGCGCTATTGCTAATGTTGGTGTAGAATCGTGATTTGTAGGTATAAACGTCATGTCATATACGGGTTTATGGCTTCAGAACAGGTCCCCCTAATGAAAGGCATTCACCAAATGGGGAACCATCTTTAGGCTATAGCTCAGTTCGTAGAACGCCAGAACGGCTATCCGATGGGCGCAGGTTCAAATCCCGCTCCAGTCAATTTCTTTGTTCAACTTTTAAAAATAACCTGCCGACTTCGAAATCAAGCCTCGAGCGAAGAGCATGTCCGACAGATATTCAGTCAAATCTTGGCCCGCCAGGTCCTGTCGCAAGGTGGCGTGCTTCAGGGCGAATCCTTCCGAGACTGGTACCGCGTATGACACACCGTGGCCCACGTGGACGACCATTCCAGTCAGTCTACCAGACGAACACATGGACAGCTTAGCTTGATTGGCAAGGTAGAAAGCTGGCACATTGAAGGTTTCAAACATTATCTGAAATTCAGAGAGAGAGAGAGAGAGAGAGAGAGAGACGAAGAATAAAGAAAGGAGTGCGCGTGATGTTGAGATGGATTTTTAAAGTAGTTTTAACATGCTTGTAAGACCTGAAATGTATCTGTCGTAATGCAGATACATTGTAATTTGAATTTCCATACAGGTATGGTTCAGCGAGGTAGGGGCGGGGCTAGGGGCTGTCTCGTGTTGTAGCCGAAATGATTTTGCTTTCTTTAATTGATCTGCCAACTCGTTGAAACTCCAAACCACTGATCTCTATATAAAGACTGGATAGCTAATAAAGAGCCGCACAATGTACGAATTTGACGCCATATTGGTGAGACCGGCTGGTGATCTACAAAGGACAAGTTGTCGTTTTTATAGACAGCATGATTTCTTTTGTAAACGTCGCGGTTCACTTGACTTATATTTTGACCACCATCACTGACCAAGGTTCACTACAATTTTTCTAACGTCGTGGTTACTAAAATGCCGCAAATATAACTTTTTCGGCGTTTTGAAATAATAATCACTACGGAAATGTGTCCCTTTTAGAACATCATAATATGTGTACGTGACCAAAATGCGCGTCAACTGTTGATACAACGCGCGCGTATTTACGCGTAGAACGTTCGTATAATACGCGGCCATCTTCGTGAGACCGGGGGCGAATTGGTCAATATGCAAAGTCTACTGTGTGAATGTTGTATGCATATCCGCTATCCAGTCTTTATATAGAGATCAGTGGTCCAAACACATATACCCAAGGCACCGGTGAGCGCTGATTGTTTTCACACTACTCTTGGAGGGAAACACAAATGTTGCAAAGCGTCGCGAGTAACTGCTATAGACCATTATCATTTTGCGGCCATCTTGATTTTTTCCCATTCAAATCAACGAAACCAAAGCGAGGCTGGAAGGAAAAATAGTCTGGTTCCTTTTTCACAAAAAAAATATCACTGTTATTGGATACAGGAAACATGACTGAAATGGTGGCAGCATGATAAAGGTATATACGATCAAAGAATGTACATAACTTGCGCACGTGTTTTGCGCACGGGAGGAATTCACCGCAGGTCACAGATCAAACCAAATTTATATTGAGAGTTCTTGCAGTAACTGTTATCAAACACCGCCCTCTCTCGACTAGAAATGTACAATGCAACGGCATTTTTTCATTGGAAATACTGGCACGGAAAATAGTAGTGCTTTCTAACCATGAACGATTTCTCACCTGGGCCATCTTTTCTCTACTCTCATTTGAGCTCAGCGGGACCTCGGTAAGTAGCACTGGATGGTCCTCGGAAGGCACGCGTAGCTCGTTGTCGAAGGTGTGGTGCCAGACCTTCTCCAGCCCATCCCAGTCTCTGACTAGTCCTCGTTCTATGGGGCTTTTCAAGGAGAGGACACTCCTCCTCTTCAGAGCTTCGTGTCCAACGAAGCTGGCCTTGTGCCCTACGCCAGGGGTAATCCCCTGTAAAAACGAACGGTAATGTCGTTATTTAGATCCTTTGCAATACACCATCTATAAGGGTGCGAGAATAGACTTCTTGCACTCAGTTGTTTTGTTCGAAATGAAAAGAGTGAATATGCGAATGAATTGTACTTTTCCAAAACAATTGAAGCCAAATTGGCACAATTACCATGCACCATGGTGTATCCGTCAAATTCCCGCAATTATTTTATTTGTTTTATTTTTATCTTATTTCTTTCTGGTAATGAAACCAAGGATTCCTCAAAAGCACCCTAAGTACTGTAGCTCGAAAGCCTGAAGAAACCTGAAGACAATGAGAAGAAATAACTGTTTTAGAGGCGGGAGGAAAAGCCCAGAAGAATATCCTGAGGAAACCTACGGAAGCAGGTAGGGACTGAAAGCCCAATCCATATATTGGCCCGGATTCGAACCCGGGTCACAGCGGTGGAAGGCGAGGAATGTACCGCTACGCCAACCTGTACATTCTATTTACACCTAGTCAATCACAGGTCATCCAGTCTCAAGTCAAATATGCTAGTGACAATGCTGTATCCAAAGGTCCCAATGATAGTACTTATTCCCTTCACAAAATCCTGTGAAGGAAACGCGGACGTCACAAACCATTTTGGTAGTCAGTTCAGATGCTACGATCAATTTCGTATACATCCCGTGGCACTGGTCACCGGTAAAAAAAAACCCCAAAATCTATCCAATGTGAACTAGTAAATTAAGTGGTCATCGGCGCCCCTGGATAGGGTGGCGGATACTTATGGAGCGCCAAAAAGGGGACAAGCGCAGTTTCCCATTTTCTGCTAGTAGAATGTTAGGTTTTTAGAAATAGGAACACCGGTTTGTCTGCTTGTAGAAATTTGGATTTTACTTTAACAACTACATGTATCGCAGCGCTTCAAAAGTGGAAAACTAAAAATCTCAAATATTTATTAGCAACAGATGTGATGCTCCAAAAGTGGACAACCCCGTTCTCCCAATTCCTGTTTGCAGAGATTTAGATTTTAGAGTCACAACACCCGTTTTCAATATGTGGGTTTTACTTTGACGACTTTTCTTGACGCCTCAAAAGTGGACAACTAAAAAATCCGCAATTTCTGTTAGTAAATATTCGGGTTGATCTTACTGTAGAAACCAAAATCTGCTATTTTTTTGCTAGCAGAAATGTGGTCGTGAACCGAAAGTGAACAAACTCAATTCAAATTGTTTATACTTAAGTTATTTTTCGCTTCATAGTTCTCTGTGAAATGTTTGGGCAACATGCAAAAACGACGAATGTTCCCCTCCCACGACCCTTTTACCCCCATAACTGTGCCTCAGCTGGTTGCATGCCAGCAACTGATGGCCAAAGTATTGACTCTCAACACGAACGCTTACCCGCATGATAGAGGAAACAATTTACGTTACATTATTTTTTTTCCAACTAGGTAGCCCATTCAGTGGAATCCACTGGTCTCCCATGGGTCTTAGTAAAGAGAAGACAATGTGGAGAAATTACAGTTTTAGACGTGGGAGGTAAATCCCAGAAGAATATTCTGAGGAAAACCCACAGAATCAAGTAGGGACTTGAAAACCCAATCCACATATTCCCCAGTCAGGAATCGAACCCGGATCACAGTGGTGGAAGGCGAGGAAAGTACTGGGGAAGATTTTACTTACTGGGGAACCTCCAATTATCCGCGTGCCGAAGGAGTTTACCCTCACCTAGATCCCCGTTGCTATCTCAACAGTTTATGGAAAATCACCTTGTTTGCTACATTTTAGTTGTCGTAATGATCCGTAATATCATCATAATCATTGACATTTCATCATCATTGCAGACTTGTATTCGGGTCATCAAACATCGAGTCCGAGTCCGAATTACACGGTCTCCCGAGTCCGAGTCCCGAGTCATTCAGGTCGAGTCCGAGTCCGAGTCACGAGCCACTAGGGTCGAGTCCGAGTCCGAGCCACGAGTCACGTGTAAGTACTATATTGGAAATAGCCGCACGCGCTGTATATGAAGAGTACTTCTTGCTTAAATCTAGCTAGAAATGGAGGGTCGAGTTGAAGCCTAGGGCTTATATGACCCATCAAATCTTGGTAAAATTAATCTGCTCTTATCTTAAAGAGGACATGTGGTTGCAGAGTAGAAATGATAGAAGAGAATAGAAGTTGAAGGGGTAATGCGAAATTAATCAATTAATATCTTAATATATTGGGGTGAATTTACAGCTACGGAATGTCCAGACATTATTGAGACTGTATTTAAAAGAAACGAGAGATAGAGCTTGGACCACTTCCTCTGGCAGACTGTTCCATGTGTCAACGACTCGGTACTTAGATGCGCTTCTTCTGCACCGCACTGACTGTTGATGGCTCAGGAAAGGATCGTCTTCAAAATACGTTAGAATTATCTAGTTGAAAAAACATGTGATTTATGGTAATTTTGGTGGAGTCCAGAGTCACGCATCAGATCGAGTTCGAGTCCAAGTCGGGACCGCAGGGCCGAGTCCTAGTCTGAGTCCGAGTCTTTTGTCATCGTGGCTCGAGTCCGAGTAACGGAGAGTCGGACACGAGTCCGATGGCGTGTCATACAACCCTGCTTCATTGTCACTTCGTGAGCCTTTAGTTTCATTTTCATCATCGTTGTCACCGTCATTTGCCGCTCATTTTGCCTGTTCTTACCTTGAAGCGGGGCTTGCCGACCACACACGGGAAGACGGCGCTGGGGAAATCCTCACCGGCGAAGCCAGCTTTACACGAGAAGGACCCGCTCTGAATCACCACGGCACGAACACCACCCTCAGCCATTCAGGGAAAAAGCTCAAAAACGAACAAAATTATGCCTACTAAAAGGAGAAGAGACTCGTGTTCTGCAAGTACCTCAGTGCAGAGCCGTGATTACGTTAATGGAGGAAAATTCAGTCTTACTATTTCTGTTTGAAAAGATAAGAGTCAGATAAAAACTGATGTGAAAAAGGTACATCAAACTGGGAATGGAATGGAAGTATGGGAGTTATTTTGCGATAATGGCTGTACATGACAAGCTGACCTGCTGCCTGAATGCTTTGATGAAGGGTATTTGTTAACAAAAGACTGAATATAACCCCGGGGAAATAGCTACAATAGAAAGGGGAAAACACCATGCCATAGTTGAAAAGAGTTATTATTGAAGAGACTGCTCTGATCAGCCATGCCCGCACACAGGTTGTTGGTAGGCACACAGTCAAAATGGCATAGCATTCATACAACGTCAGAGTCAGCAGATCTCTACTCATGCGAGGTTGTTCCCTTTAAACGAAATCCGCATTTAGGAATGGAATCCATTGTGTTATCAAAGCCAGAGCAAAACCAAAAACTCAAACAGTTTTTAAAGGATAGTTGTGTGGACGTATATACAGGTATCATACTTTTCAATGCTCCTTCCAATTAATACGATTTCGTTTCTAACGCGTTTTGTAGCCCAGTTGGGTGCATTCCAGGCTGTAATGGCCGTTTAAAGTATTTTCATCTGTCCTGTTTCAAGAGGAATGTCAAATGCTACCATCAGTTGTCCTGAGCACTTACTCTTCTTTTTATTGCTCTTGTAGCCCTGTACCTTGCGTGGCTTTTAGCCTTGTTCGGGGCAAATAGATTATGCATAAAAAAAATTGAACCAGGGCCGGTGTAGTGTCGAAAGAACAAAAACTGCATCATTGTCCCCTATAAAGGTATGATAAAATAATTGCACGTGAATATTGCATTCTTGTTTTTATTCGTTAGTAGACTTGTCTCGAGTCACATAACTAGTCAAAATTCATTACGCAAACACTGTTACACGCTAACAAAGAAAGCCTTGGGGTGCACGCCTGTAAATAGGCCAAAAATCCGTCCGCCGAGCTCATGAATAAAAGTTTTACCCTCAACATATTCTATATTAGAGAGTTTGGAGAGCCATAAAATTGGGGAATTGAAGATATATGGTAATGAACCTCTGGCCCAGACTTGGGGCTTCCAATTCTGAGCATTTTTGGATGCTACTGGGCTCGAAAGTGGCGCTATTTTGCCATGTTGTGGAGGGATCGTTTTTCAAGATGGCTACTTTTCCGCTTTGGGGAAAATACGGGTCGTTTTCTTTGGGTGAGAATATCTCGAAAAGTCAATGGTCAACCCACCAAAAAAATGAAAAGAAAATGAAAGATGACACATTGATCATCATTTTTTTGTGCAGCTTGAATACCTGTGAGAGATCTGAGTATTTTTAAAAGAATTTTGAAGTATGTGCATTTAGCACTAGTGTTTATGGGCTTTTTTTGCAGGGTTTCACCCTGTAAAGACTGACAATTGAAGATGACCGCCGCGCTTGCGCTTTGCCGCGGCGGTGTTTTTGCAGTGGGCGGAGCCTATGGGAAGGGGGGGGAGGCAAAAGTATTTTAAAGGTATTACCAAGGGCTTTTCCCGTAACGGGTTTTCCCAAATTGTAAGGGAGTCGTAGGCTATCAGCCGATTACAGCAATTTTGAGTTGAAAAGGGGGGGGGAGGCATTTTGAGCTTCAAAGTAGCTGGAACTCAATTAATTGTCGTTGGGGGCGCTCTACAGCTAGCAAGCGCAAAAAAGTCACTATTTGCGGGCCAAATTTTGACCTCGGATAATTTTTTTCTTTCAATTTTTTTTCTTCAAAATATTGACTTTGGAGATATTCTGCTTCTCCTGAATGTGTTTTTGTGTTAAAATATGAAAGTTGCCTGCTATTAAAGGATGCACGCCTGTAAGTAGTCAAAAAATCCGTCTGCCGAGCTCATGAATAAAAGTTATACCCTCAAAATATTCTATATTAGAGAGTTTGGAGAGCCCTAAAATTGGGAAATTGAAGAGATATGGTAATGAACCTCTGGCCCAGACTTGGGGCTTCCAATTCTGAGCATTTTGGATGCTACTGGGCTTGAAAGTGGCGCTATTTTGCCATGTTGTGGAGGGATCGTTTTTCAAGATGGCTACTTTTCCGCTTTGGGGAAAATACGGGTCGTCTTCTTTGGGTGAGAATATCTCGAAAAGTCAATGGTCAACTCACCAAAAAAATCAAAAGAAAACTAGAGGTTCGCGTTTGTTGTTACAAACGCAGAGTGGTCGGGTAGACAACCATTTCATTAGACATTGTCTAATTAAGTTATGAATATGTTTATGTCAGAAAAAAGGACCGAAAACTTCAACATTTCCAGTACCAATTATTTTTCACAAAAAGAATGCGTCTTTTAAGGTATGATAAATTTCAGTAAACAGTTTGAGTACAAGTTATTTCCGGTTTGATGGCGTCATCAGTCAAAACAGGGAAGGGAGGACACTTGTTTATCATTAAGTAAAAATAATGCATGGAAATTAAGTGTATGTAATAATAACAGCTACATGTAACTTCCAGTTTGATGACGTCACAGTATTTGGAAGCAAAAGGTCAATATTAAGTGTAACAGATGTCATTTGGGGGGGGGGGCAAAAAACAAAGTCATGAGACAAGGATCAAATGATGACTTTAAAAATAAAATGGTCATTGTTGAATTCTCCCTACAGTAATTTCCGGTCTGATGACGTCATGATTATGAAACCTTGCAAATTCATTTGTGGTTGCTCACGGGATATATAGGGGCAATTATATCATAAAAATTTGATTAAGGGTTTTAACATTTTAAAAGATTAAACTGTTTTCCATGTGCCGCTGGAGGGCGCCCTTTCTTGGATGACGTCAAAATAATGTTTTTGTGATTGGCATTCCTCACTTAACACTTCAATAATGTATTTGTCTGTACGAAAATGCTTCCGTTTTAGAGTTAGATTCAGTTTCTATTGCACTCCCGGTAACACCGGAAGTAAAGGTCAAGCAGTTTTGTGCCCGGGAATAAGAAATGTTGCTCAAGGCACCGTCTACAACCTCACGAAAAAACGAACACAATACCCTATTTAGTTCAAGAGATATAGGTCAAAGTATTTTGTCAAATCGTGCAATCAAATCGCTTGTAATTTGATACCTGATGACGTTTTGATGACGTAACAACAGTTATAACATCTTCGTAACATGGTACAGGTTCACAGTAGGTTTTATGATCATACCGTAAACCGTTTGGAAGAAATTGTGCTTTGTTTCGATTTCAGGCTAATGTCTTCATTTTGAATTCACCTAAATTTAACCTTCCGGTAGACCCGGAAGTAAAGGTCAAGCGAGTTCACGTACACAACACAAAAAATGTTTATCAATTTATGGTTTATCTGATTACAAAATTGGAGCATAATTGATCATTTTGTTGCAGAGTTATAGATGAAAGAAGATCGTCATTTTTTCAACGAAAATCGCTTGTAATTTGACACCCGATGACGTCATAGTGACGTCAGTGTAATATGCGCCACCCGGAATGAGGGTCAATATATGTTCAAAGGTACAAGTTCATATCATATACCGTTTAGGAGAAAACCCGCGGAAACGTGCTATGCAGAAAAAGAAAGAAAGAAAGAAATAAAGATTAATCGCAACAAATCCAAAGAGTGGTCGGGTTGTACCCGACCACTCAATGAAAGATGACACATTGATCATCATATTTCTGTGCAGCTTGAATACCCTGTGAGAGTTCTGAGTATTTTTAAAAGAATGTTAAAGTATGCGCATTTAGCGCTAGTGTCTATGGGATTTATTTTGCAGGGTTGCACCCTTAAAGGGAATGTACAACATTTGCTTTTGCTGCAGTTTTCAGAAATAAATGGATTTGGACTGGATTAATATGTTAAAGTAAATATTGTTAAACTGACTTGTTTCTCGTTTTGGGCTTGTAGATGCTGGGAAAACCAAGAACGTGACCAATCATGTTCTTGCAGTCTGGTTCCCTGACCCCACTTCAGATGAAACAGAGCAATTTATAGACTTTGGGGAATTGTAAGGTCAGAGAATCAGTCCAGCAGGCTTGTACCCCTTCACAGGTGTTTTATCAATTGCAAAGAAAATGCGGAGTAACTTAATATGAAAAATTGGGAGCAGTTTTTGAAAAAAAGCCAGTTTTCTCCAACGCTGGTCGGCCGACCAGCGTTGGAAAAATACAATTTTTCTTGAAAATGTCAGCACACCAGGAGCCATGATTTTACAGGATGCTTTAGACTGTCATTCCCTAACAATCCAGTAAGGTATGTCGTGATAATTTGATCATTTCGTTTTTTGATGTTTGCAAATGTTGTATCTTCCCTTTAAGACTACGTGCGCAAGTACTCCTTCACAGGGGCGTAGCACGGTCATTTTTATTTGGGGGGGGGGGTTTGAAAAGGGCACTTGCACATCCGTTGTGAAATGTAGACAGGTTTTTTTCTCCGGACACTTGGCCTCCGTAAAATCAAAAAAAAGGGGGGGGGGGCGCTGTTCAAAACCGACAATTATGCACACAAAGGGCCAATATATGGTGCTTTTCAGGGCGATACATGTGCGAAATTCTGAAAAAGGCACCCAAAACGGCATATGCCACAAAAAAGGGCACCACTGCTTTTTTGAAAAGGGCACTTGTTCAGAAAAAAAGGCCCTTCGTAAAAAAAAAGGGGCACTCTTTCCAAATTATTAGGGGGGGGAGGGTAAGCCGGTTCGAAAAAAAAGGCATTTTAATGGAAAAAGGCAGTCTTTACAAAATATTGGGGGATTTACCCCCTTACTTCCCCCCCCCCCGGCTACGTCTGGCTACGTCTGGCTACTACGTCTATGCTTCAACGGCTTCAAAGAGAGAGCGGGACTGTTGAACACTTTGCCACTGTACGCCTGGCGCACACATGTGGGCTACGCATTCACAAATTCAAATCAATCATGTGTATCCGTAGAGGGCCCAGTTTTCGACGGTACGCGTTTTCGACGCTTGACCTTCTACGTCACAGCGCGTGATGTAAACAACTCCGTGTGACGTCTCAAACTTGGAATCCCCCGGTTCGTTCGCTGCTCTTGTCCATCACCGAAAATGTGGAAAGTTAAGGCTCTTCCGGTAGGTTAAACTTGTACGACTAAAAAAGTTGGGTTTTTTGGGGGCGTATTTTACTAGATACTAAATGGTGAGGTGTTTCGTAGCTCTTGTTTTCTTTATTATTGGTCCTAAAAAGTTTCTGTGTATGCCGTAACAAAGCCCAAGATATGAAGAACAAAAAAACGTCACGCAGCTTGTAGCAAAGCGTTCTGGGTAAAAACTACGGAGTCTCCTAAGAAGCGTCTCGCTTATATTAATATTATTTGAAAGGCATAAAGTAAAATGATCAAATAGGCTTCATTTGGTTTCAATACAAAAATTAATACAATGATTTAGTGTGAAATTTCACGACAACAGTGCTGTGAACAATTTTCGGTTGTTTTTATATCTTGAATGCTTGTTTATTTGATTTATTTGATCTTATCTTGTTTTATAAATTTTTGTTAGACTGTTCTTAATATTCATCCGTTCGTTTAGAAATGGGTTGTTTCTTAATTTATATATTTTAAGGTATTTTGTGGTTGCTATATTTAAATATTCATATTTTTTTTTCTTGCTTTCATCTCTTAACTACATTGTGCTTGTTTGGGTGTTTGTTTGTTAATTTGTTTGTTTATTATTATTATTTTTATTTATTTATTTATGTTAAATGATAACAATTTTCTTTTCTTTGTGCTAATAGATTTGGTACTGATTTGGTCAGACCAAAGTTCCGGAATTGATTGCTTTTTTTTTTTTTGCTTTTTTTTTTCTTCAAGCTTAATTGGATTGTACAGACAAGGTGGGTTACTATTTTGCTTTTTTGGTGTCCTCATGTACATTGGTGTCCTCCATAATTTGCCTTGGTGCTTTCGATCATTTGCCTTGGTGCAATTCCCCATTCCTTGGTGCTCTTTGGTAAAAAAAAAATTGAGGAGGTGCGAAAATAGAGGGCGCTGTTGGAGCTACCGCGGAACATTTTGGAAAAAAAAATCGACTATGATTAAAATTGACGCGCGCGCTGACCAGAGACCGACTTATTTTTTTTAGGCCTAATATTGTCATTTTATTATTTAAGAATTTTGGTTTTGTTTAATGTTTTTATTGGTTTCATTCAATAACATATTTTAATGTAATCAGGGCCCTTAAGAATAGCAGTTTGAGTAACTGAAAAGGCTACCCTGTTGAAATAAAACTATATTGTATTATTATTATTATTATTATAACATATTGACGACTAAAATGCAACTCGGCCCCTATGTATTATTTATTCTTTTGTAAATTTATTATGTATTATTGTTTCCTTTTTTTTTTTTACAGAATATGTGCATGAGTCCGGTGAAATGACCCAGGCCAATCACCTACAGGAACTACTCTCCGTCAGCCTTAACCAAAGCATTCCGTTTGGTTATTGAAGAGAATAGGTCCATTGAGGCTGCTGCAAAAAGATGTGGCGTTCCCGTGACAACATTGAAGGATCGAGTCAAAGGCCGAGTTGACCTGGAAACTACCAAGTCAGGACCAGCTCCGTTGTTTACCCTTGAAGAAGAGGGAAAATTTGTGGAACATCTCAAGAAGATGGCCGTAATGGGTTATGGGTACAGGAGGGCTGAAGTTGTCGACATACATGTAGCTACCTTGTATGCTGTCAGTCTCCACAAACGGCAAGCAGGACATCCATTAACCCTCAGATGGTTAAGAAATTTCATGGGAAGATGGCCGGAGCTTCATGTGAAAAAAAACACGAAGCTTGGACATATACAGGGCAAAAGCTACATCTGAGGAAGTTGTCAAGGCATATTTCACTGAGCTTGACAGGATAATGACCATGTACAAGCTAAAAGATGCCCCTGAGAGAATCTACAATATTGATGAAAAGGGACTGAGGCAAAATCATTCTCCACCTCATATCGTCAGTGCGTCCAAGAGCACAGTTGCTGTCACTACAGGCAAGGGTTCTACTGTGACAATCCTTGGTTGCGGGAATGCCATTGGACAGCAACTTCCACCATATTTCGTATTTCCAGGAAAGAGGATGAGACAAGAGCTTCTTCAAGGCTGCACTCCGGGTGCGAGCGGAACTGTTAGTGACAGTGGCTGGTCCAACTCTGAAGTTTTCATGGACTACCTCTCATCGCATTTTTTTAAAGTATGTCACAGACACCAGAGAGGATGAGCCCATCCTTGTCCTTTATGATGGACATTCTTCCCACATCTCCCTGCCATTGATTGACTGGGCAAGAGAACACAATATCTTGTTTGTCTTACCAGCGCACACGAGCCACGTCCTGCAGCCAATGGATGTTGGATGCTTCGGGCCATTTGAGAAAATCTACAATTCAATTTGCCACCAACACATGCGTGCCCACTCTACAACAGGCATTGACAGATACTCCATCTGTGAACTTGCTTGCAGAGCATACTCGAAGGCCCTATCCCCTGACAACTTACGAAGCTCTTTCAAGAAAACTGGCATCTATCCTTGCAACTATGAAATAATTGATGTCAGCATTTTCGAACCAGCCAAAGCACTAAATAAGACAGCAAGTGAGCTGACAGATTTGTCTGAACCCCAACCAGTTGGTCCACAAGGTGACGGCAGTGGCAGCCTCCCTCACTCAGACTCCTGTGATCTCTTCAAAAAAAGAGAAGAGATCATAGGCCAGCGAGAGAAAGTACCAAGAAAGAGGAGATGTGTCTCTTCGGTGACATCGGGAAAGGCCATAACTGAAGAAGCAGTAAGGAAGAAGATTGTGCAGTTTGTTGAAACGTCACAGAAGAAGACATCAACCAGAAAGAAGAAATCCACCAAAAGGGCAAAGAAAACAGAGTCTGCTGCCATGGCTACTACACAGAAGAAGACATCAACCAGAAAGAAGAAATCCACCAAAAGGGCAAAGAAAACAGAATCTGCTGCCATAGCTGCATCACAAGCCTGTGAGCCTGGACCATGCCGAACAATCACATCCGGCCTTGATGTATCTTCTGATGAGGAAATGAACGAGGGTGAGAAATGCTGTGTGTGTCACCGATACCGCCCTGTTGAACTTAAGGATTCACTCTATTTCACCTCATGGGCTCAGTGCATGTTCCAAAGCTGTTCACATTGGGTTCACTTCAAGTACTGTTGTAATGTCACACGACTACGACTGAAAGACACATTTTTTTGCCCATGCCATGGTTTGCCATGCTTTCAGTCCAAAACAGAAGAGTAATTTCAAGTTCTTTCCCAGTATGTGCTTGGTTATACTTGAAGATCCAAAATTCAGAAAAGTTTTAAAAGTGGCAAAGTTTGTAAAATTAAAAAATATCTTTCAGTAAATGAACTTCTTTTCACATTCAAGAGGATTGTTCCCATTTTGCCAAAACTGAATTATTCATTACGATGATGAAATTAATTTTCTTATTTATTATGAGGATAGTTTTGATGATCTGGAAAAGGAGGGGGGGGGTGGGAAGGAGAATATAGCAGGAACCGTGAAGACCCAAGGAGAAGGAAAAGTCACTCCAAATTCCCCATCTCCAAAGTGGAGCAGATGGGCCCATCAGGCCAGGGGGTACGTATTATTGGATCATAACAACAATGTTGAAAATGCAAACCAACAAGTCTTTAGCTTATGAGCATTTTTGAGGAAGGCAGGGTCGGGAAAAACGAAAGATGAACCAATAAAAACATAGACGGAAGAATTTTACAGTGCCACACAACATTCGAGTAATTTCAGACATTTATTTTGCGTATGGTTTCACTGGGACACCTTACTCAACGCGACAGTCGAATATAGGTCACAATGCTTACTGTGCGGTGCGCCACGGACAGCAACAAAACAGGTAATTTCGCAAAAGTGACGGGAGTGATCAACTTTCTCCAAGTTTATTCTATACGTCTGTGATATGAATAAAGTGACCGAGACCTCTTTTGGTTTGATACTTTCGTTCATGTTGGTCAGTTTGAAGAAAAGGCCTTATATCGTCGAAAACCGGTCATGCGAGTACACGTACTTTAATTTGCAGTCACGCGCACGGGCTGGGCATACATGTATATCCCTGCTGCAAAGTTCATGTACGGAGTCCGTTGACAAGTCTACCTGGACCGTTGACATTTGGACCCAGTAGGCGGAAGATTGCTATAGGCCTTTCTTTTGTTAGTAAACATTGGCGCCATTTTGTATGGGCTGCCGTAAGCGCATAAATTGAAGCCGTGGTTGGCAACGTATTTTTCCCAAAAAAATCCTCATAACGCCATTAACACATAGTAAAAAGACATGTGTAGGAATTATTTTGTAGCTTTGTTGAAAATGTTGTACTTTCAAGTATCGAATAATATTTTGGTGATCTGTAATTACTCTTCTTCATTTTTGCAGTGTTGGACCTTCCATACTTTTGCAGGCCGTGGTTGGCAAAAATGCAGTTTGCCAACCAAGCGCAGAAAGATCTATGTGCAAACGCCATTTTGTGAGTCCGAGACTTCAGGTAGGTATACTTATCGTATTCAAGCATTTATAAGCTGGTTCAATGTGTAACGTACTGTAAGTAGACCCGTTTTCCCCATCCCAATAATTTCTACTTTTGCATTTTACAATAGTTAAGATGACATAGGGCACCCTATCCTTTTTTCCTTTCATTCATTGTCTTTGTCTATTTTTTTTTACATTGGGAATTACATTACAATTCCCTGCAGAAGTAGCGCATGTGCATTAGTTTCCCCCATTTTTTTTTTTTTGAGGGGGGGGGGGGTAAGCAATTGGGGTTCGTGGGCGATATGGTTGGTCGTGTCTAGCCCCTAGACTATACAATGAGACAAGCATAGACGTTTATCATCTGGGTCATTATCCTGATGAAATCATCGGCATATTTGCTCTTTGATTTCACGGGCGAGTTCACTATCAGCTGCGTGAAAACAAACTCAGGTGAATTGAATTTGATTATCCATTATTTGTTTTTCTCATCTTTTCGTTCCACTCTTGTAACAATCTCCAAACCACCATCGTTACAATCACAGCCAGAAAACAATCATTGATACGGTCATGAACACTTAACAATGCTTTAATATACGACCCATTGAGATGGCCTAGTTAAGTTCGTAGCCTGGTAAACATCAAAAGGTGATTTTTTCGAAGGAGTTAAAATAATCATGCGTGTGAATACGTACTTGTGCACAGCCATCATATCTCAAAGTTGATATTAAAAGGAAGTTTAGCGTGTCAGTTCATATCGTTTGTCTTTTTTTCTCAATGATTTCCATCCAATTACAAGGAGGAACTGGATTGAAGAAATGGCCCTATCAGAGCCGGTTTGCCTAAAAGACTTTGAACCGCTTGCTCGTGCGTCCCTGCCTCAATTGACCTATGAGTATTTCAGAGGTGGCTCTTACCCGGAACAGACTCTTAAAGACAACGAATGGGCTTTTCAGAGGTGAGTACACGTCTTGGCAACACACGGAATAACTATGACATTGACAAGGCAGTAGAGCTGCCTGAGATGCGCTTTTCGTGAGTCAAACGCTTTGCAAAGACACATAACAGACACTATACGCGGATTGAGCTTGAGAGAAAATTATATTGAAGTAAATATTAGAAAATGTTTTAAATTTTCTTGAGATTGCGAAAAACATAAAGCGTGTATAATCAGTATCTTTCTATTGAGAAGCTTTTGGAATCAACTTCATAGTAGGGGTGGATCTACGATTTTTTACAAAGCGAGGGGGGGGGGGTGTTAATTCAGCTGGTTATTAAAAAATGCGAGAGCGCGTCAGAACGGCCAGGCCTGAGGTCCGAGGCCCAGGAACATTTTGAAGCATTCTAATCCTTTCCTCAAACACCTTTTGAGAAAAATCAGGGATCTCCAGAGGATTTTTTTTTCAAAACTCATGTGGGGGAAATTTTCTCGTCGTTTAAAGTTGCGAAGACACGGGGGTGGGGGGGGGGGGGGTGGCGAAAATTATTTGATTTGAGAAGCTCTCTTGTGCATTGTTGAACAAATATGGGGGTCTTTAGGGCAGATTTCTCCCTGAAATTCAGAAGGTATTTCTTCTTCTTTTTTATCAAAAGAATCAACATTTAACAAACATTACAACTTCAACCTCGCACTGCAGGCTGTTATCATTACTGTGTTGATAAAGCCAAAAACAAATGCTTCAGATTACATTGGCTTTCAAAATGAAATCGATATATCTGGGATTATTTTATATTTTGTACATTTTGTTTGTGGTGATTTAATGGAGAATAGTGTATAGAGAAAAGAGTATAGTTGCGATCACATGCAAACGGTTTTACTTCGAGGAATGTCACGTGCACCACTTGCATGCGCGGAGTAAAATTCAGAAAACACGAAATTAATTCATGAAAACGGAAAATACATACACAGAAAAGAGAGATCGATCAAGTTGTCTTGACGAAATCGCAGAAATCTTCTGTTTCGATGTTTGCTTGCGATTTTACAATTTTCCACTATATGCATGTATAGGCCCTTCCCCGCCGGTCCTTCCATTTTCACTTTGTTATAGCGCGCGGCGGGAGCCAGTCTTCCAGTGTCACATGCATGTATGACGCCTGCGTTTTCGCTGCGAAGGGAAGTTGCTGAACACACCGTTATATGGGATAGTGTGCCCTTCACGTAGGCCTATTTCGGTTTTGATACAGCTGGTTTAATAATTGTAGCAATATGAACAAAATAATACCAAGGATTCTTCATGTTGAGTTGAACTGATACGACAGCAAGGGAACAATTTGCAACGGAAAAAAATCGTTGCGACCAGTATGGACCCCCCCCCCCCCATGAAAAAAATCCGCCAGGTATAGCCATCGTTTGTATACCTTCTAATCCAGTTTTTTTTGGTTCCACTGCAGGTACAGACTGAGGCCCCGCCTACTACGAGATGTCTCTAAACGAGACATGCGCACCAACATGTTGGGTCAAGACATTGCCTTCCCCATAGCTGTAGCACCTACGGCGATGCATTGCTTGGCACACAACGATGGAGAATTGGCCACCGCTAAAGGTAGGTGCACGGATCCAAATGCTTTGACGTGTTGGTTATTCCATTGGTTGTTGATCGCTCCAAAGTCTGGTTCTGTATGATTCATCATAGATATTGTACATTCACGATTCCATTGAAATAACGTTTCAGGTCAGCTAGTCTAAATTCCATCTAAGCTTTGGCCAAGATTGCATCGAATTTATTTTGTAATTATCTATTATAGAGAAGCTTCCGACCTGAAAACCTTAAAGACTCGCATGTAAATCACGAATGCTTTTACCGCATGTACCATGGGGGGGGGGGGTGTTAGATTCCACCCGATGTTCCCCAGTCCCTATGTTCCCCAGTCTCTATGTTCCCCAGTCTTTAGGGTTAGGGTTGAGGAATAAAAAAAAATTGAAGAGGAATATACTTCCGGATGCGATCGGTCCTCCCACATTCCTAACAAAGAAAGACGTTGATGTCGTGTATAGTGTCTGAATATTTCAAAATTGTGCTTCAATAACGCCTACATTGCTCCGTTTTACTAAGGAATTTACCAGCACTCGATTTGAAAATAAAACAAGTTGATTAAAAATTACCATTCTGATTGACAGCTGTCAAGTCTATGGGAACTGGAATGGTCCTAAGTGCCGGTAGTACCACGCCCATAGAAGACGTAGCTGCAGCCTCGTCCCCGAATGGTATGCTTTGGGCTCAGGTTCATCTGTTCAGGGATTTTAACACGGTCCGCATGGTCATCAGGAAAGCTGAAGAAAACGGATACAAAGTACTAGTGGTGACACTAGATTGTCAGGTGTCGCGAAGAGAGACTTGGAAGCGAATGAAGCTCCCGCCAGGAAAGAGGTAATTTAGTAACGCATGATTAAGGTGTATAGAACAAATGTTTTTGTTATCGTCGGTCAACTGTTAGTCAACTGTTCTGAATTAATGATGAACCTATAGCCTGGGAGAGGAGGAGTGTAGAGTTGTTATATGGATCATTTGTTTGAGGAATTTAACACTACATGTAGGCTAGTCTAGTTTCCGATATTTTCATGAATGCAAAATCAACGTGTTCATCCGTCGACCAAAAAGGAAATGGAAACATGAAATGCTTTGTCTTTGCTTCAACTGATCGTCAAAGGTAGTTTTGATTGTCTCCCATTCCGGGGTTAAGATGTAAGATTACCGGTTGCATGAAATGTCTGGTCAGGTCTCTGAAAGTAAGTGGAGGCCTCTGCCGCGTCACAGCCATCTCTTTTTGTGCAATAAGAGATCCTTCTGTGTAGTTTCCTCATTAGGCATTAAGGAAATGAATTTGTTTTCCCCTTGTCTTCATCTTCTATTTTACAGGCTGTGTAATTTTCCTGACACCGACCTCGCAAATCTTGTGTCAGTGACTAGTAACGACAAAGTCACCTGGAAGGACATAGACTGGTTAAACAGCATCACCTCCCTGCCTATTGTACTCAAGGGTATTCTCACTGGTAATGTTTTACAGTTGGGGAAGATGTTACGTTGTCCAACCTTACCATTACGTTTTGGCTTTATGTTTGGATCGCAATCAAAGAAAAAAGCAACTTACCTTCACACAAAATACAACTGAAGATGAAAACTTTATTGCGTTCTTAATAAATATACTCACTTTGAAATATAATCAATCCTCTCTGAGCAGCGACCACATTTGAAGTTTGTCTTGCTGGCTGCATGGCTGCTTGGCTTTTTCGCTTGCTGACTGGCTGGCTAGCTCCCCTGCCTTGCAGGGTGGTGGACTGACAGTCTGGCTGGCTGTTATGCTAGCGGGATGGCATGCTTGTTGGCAGGCTGGGTGGCATACTGACTGACTTCCCTGCTAACTGGTTGGCATGCGTGTTGGCTAGCTGACTGGTAGGCTGGCTGGCTGGCATACTGATTGCTGGTTTGCTATTTCTACATGACTTGCTAGTTTGCTGGCTGGCTGGCTGTCTGGCTGCTGGCCGGTTAGATGACGAACAGGCTGACGGCTTGATGGCTGACTGGCTTGCTCTTTGGCCGCTGGCTTGCTTGCTCACTGGCAGGCTGATTTGTAGGCTGGCTGGCTTCCTGGATGGAAGGCTGTCTTACTGGAAGGCCTCTTGGCTGGAAGGCTTCTTGGTTTATAGGCTTGTCGGCCTGATTGGCAGGTCAACACGTAGGTCGGCTGCCTTGCTTGCTGGTCTGTCTGTCTGTTGTGGTGTCTGTCCTGCTGTCTGTGTGTCTGTCTGGCGGTCGGGAAGGATTGCTGGTGGGGTGTTTGTCTGACGATTGCCAGAATGGCTGGCTGGCTGCGCGGACGGCTATGGGGCTGTGTGGTCGCCTGGTTGGTTGGTTGGTTGGTTCGCTTTTTCACTGGCTGGCTACGGATTCCATACCGACGCTTTCCTTGTAGATTTACTTGCTATCTACTTTCTTTTATATAGCTTGTCTATGTTCACCCATGAAATACTCTAACAAAACAAGATCTTCTCTTTTTCATTATAATTAAATGCAAAATTTAATTTTAGGAGAAGATGCTCGTGAAGCCTTGAAACATAACATTGCTGGAATTATCGTCTCAAATCATGGCGCTCGAAACTTGGATGGAACTTTAGCTACGGTTAGTAGTCATAGGGAAAATTATAATCACTCATAATACGAATTTATAAGGTTTAATCTTACATTTAAAAAATGCTTTCAGACAGAATTTCCACTTCAAAACAGCCACGGATGCAAATACATCTTATCACATTTCAAACCTGGAAAGGTTAGGGTGAATACTAAAAGCTCTTCTTTGATTCGCTCTTTAAAACTAATTGGTATGGGATGAGTCGACCTCAAGCCTACATTCCAACGCGAATATTCTGTACCCTCCAATACAACTTTGCCATTCCCTTCGTTGAATTGTTCTTAAAGCTCAGCGGGGCGTGATTTAAGTCAATCTACATACCATTGTCGTCGGGATTCTCCACCCATTGACACCATTCCGTGTATTGCTGTACAGATCGATGCGCTATCTGAGGTAGTTGAAGCGGTGCGTGGTGCCAATGTTGAGATCTACCTTGATGGAGGAGTACGGACAGGCACCGATGTGTTGAAGGCGTTGGCCCTGGGAGCTACAGCCGTCTTTATCGGTCGGCCGGTTATCTGGGGACTCGCCTATGATGTAAGTCTCCGGAAAGCTAACAAGGCTGTTTTATTACGGTAGTGGTCGGCCCTGTTGTATTAGTCAAGAAGGGGGAGATCCGTCCACGAGTTAAGGAGAATGGGAGGCTCACTGAACACGACAGGCATTGGATGGGACACTTCTCCTTGATTTGCTCTCAATCAGTCCATGATTTATTACTGTGACATCTAGTATGAGGGGAAGCTTACAATCATAAGTGAACATAAACCAAAAACCCTACAAAGAAACGGAAAAATACTATTTTGAGTTCTCTGCAGCGTATACATTTCGCTCGCTGAAAGTCTACAATTTATACAGCAGAAAGCAAGACTAACGAAAAGTACGAATTTGTAATCAACATAATGTGTGACTCTGACGTCTTTAAGTTAGCCTAAAAATATCAGAAACGTCAGATTTACTACGTTATTCCACAAGCAGCCATCGCAGCAAACAGGCCTTGATTTCGAGCTGCAGGAGTCAAGTGTGGGAACAGCTAGTGTCCAAAATTTCGCACGTGCAATGTACACAAAATGTATACAATGTAAGCCACTTCCGGCCGACGGGAGTGACGTCGAGAAAACGTTTTGTAATTCAGCAAATGTGGGTCAAAATGTCATAAGCTAAAATTTTACCTCGCTATGATATCCCCAAATCCCCACATTATAATTGACCATGACACAAAACAAACGCGACCAAAATGAGAAGCCACTTTTAAACTTGTGATAAATAATTGCAGTCGCACGATATGAGACTAAATGTAAAGTGGTCATCCAGCTATCGTTATCAGTTGCTATAGAGCGATCGAACAAAAAGTGTTCGAGCGTCGAAATTCATCAATTATCAAACGAAAATACATGTTTATCAAAGGAAGTTAAGGAACCTTTCAGGAAACACAGAAGCTAAAAGCCCACCGCACACCACGTGCTGAGCAAAAGGCTCGCGAGGCCGTGAGGCAAATATCTCCCCTGTTTAAACTAGCCAATGAAAGCACATTATTCTAGTTTATCGGTCGCGTGATTTAAAAAATGGGGACAAACGCCAGCAGGCTTTAGAAACATTTGCACACAAATATCTCAAAATCACGTGAACAGAGTACGTGATTTCATAGGCTTGTGAATCGTTTTACCTCAGCACGTAGCTCCCCCAGTTTATCGGTCGCGTGATTTAAAAATGGGGACAATTGCCAGCACGCTTTAGAAAAATGTGCACACAAATATCTCAAAATCACGTGCACAGAGTGTGATTTCATTGGCTAGTTGATCGTTTTAGCTCAGCACGTAGCTCTCCTCGACCGCACACAACAAGATAGTTGCCTCACGGCCTCGCGAGGCAGAAAACTCAGCAAAAAATTCACCGCACATGAGGATGAATTTTGTGAGCTACATGCTGAGCAAACGGCCTCCAATGACTTTTTGCTAAGCACATACAGCTCTTGTGTGCAGCGGGCTTAAAATGTCAGCGCCGTCGTATCTCTGTGTAGAATATCAGTTAATGGATATATGTAAACAAATTGTTGTTCATTTCTGAATAAAATTAATATCAGCCACTTCAGTGTATTTTTCGCAAAGATGCTTTTCAAGACAGACATCTTGGTTCATATCTGTCCCAACTTCATCGTCTTTTCCCCACTTTTTTTTCTTGGGATTTTGAAAAATCTACGACTTCACGAAGATACCTAAGCCCCGTATTTGACAAGTGTTAAGGTAAAAGAATCCTGTTAATTTTGCCACATACATGTAGTAATTAGTAATGAGCATTTGCGCCGATCGTATTTCTTTCTTAACGAAGGGCGAAGAAGGAGTAAGGAAGGTTCTTGAAATCATCAGGGATGAGTTCAGTTTGGCCATGGCACTTTCAGGTGAGAATGTTAATGAAGGACATCTGAACTGTGATTTTTTTTTATTTACCATTAAAACATTTTGGTTGTTAAATACAAAAGATAGAATGACATCTAAGTTATTAATGTAGATTATTTAATATTTTGTGCAGTGTCACGTTGGTGAGGTTAATACATGTATTATGATAATTGATAATGCGTCATGTCAATAGTTACATCTGGGACCTAATGTCAATCCCCTCGTTATTCCTTGCAGGATGTTCCAGTCTGAGTGACATCACACCAGATCTCGTCGTAAGGGACCCACGATACGATGCCAAACTGTGACAGCGCCCTCTCCAGGTCATTTGGATGCGTGACATAATCATTGGAAGTTGGTCTCTCAACTCAATTTGTGTCCACCTTCACCCCTTCTTCCCCAGAGTGGAATCTCCAGTTTAAGTCAATAAATCAGTGCATTGTGTTTTCTATCATGAAAAATCACATTAATTTGGTGACTGTTGTATGCAAGAGCGTGGCCTCGAATAGTAACTAACATTTCTCTGAATTGTCTTCTTTTTTTGGTCTTACTATACAGACCTATATGGTTATAGACTTTCTGACAAACTGTTGTTTTGAGGTATTTGTACCGAATATTAATTTACAAGATTGTGGAAATAATTATTATCACGTAAACAAAATAAGGAATATATCAATGATAGTCATATGTCCCGAATGTCGTAATGCTTATTATTTCCAAATTTAATTCAGAAGACAATGGACCGATCCAGTAAGCCCCGCCCACTGCGCACTTGGCAAATTAAGGCTGCATCCGAATCAACTGTCTAGAGCTAGGTCTAGGTCTGCGCCCATTGAAAATACGTGGGGACGCGCTGACAATAGACGTAGCCGGAGCTCTGGAAGCCCGTTTCGGACACGGCCTAACACGTGCTCCTCTCTAATGCCACGCTGCATTTTCCTGCCGCGCGCATCATACGCGCGTGCACGCATGTCGGACTTTTGTGCACGCACGTCGGACCTAAATCACGGCTGTGATTGGTCTGAACACCATGGGGCGGTGCTTACTGGATCGGTCCATTGAGTTACTTCCAATGATGCACTCACATGAGATTCTGTCTTCGACACTAGGAGATGACATGTGTGTACCGAGAAGCGCCATGTTACAAAACGTGAATACAAGAGAGGGCGCTGTTTGGATATAATGAATACCGCAGTGAATGAATGTACCTTGATGCAGCAGGTTATGACATGTATGATAATGACTCACCCAGAATTAAACCAGTGGCCATTGGCGAAGATCTCAAAGACTTTCCCTGGAGGAGACGGTCTAGTGAGAAGCGCTGAGGTTCAGACGGCTGCTGGTTATTTTGGTTATTTTGACAAGAATCTTAAAGAAACGATCAGTGTACTAATCGCGAAAAATTCAATCCGAATTCAAGTCACCTTTTATTGAACACTCTTGTTGGGACAATAACTCAAGAAAAACACATTGCACTGAATCGAAATTTAGTCCAATACTTGATCGTGACATAAAGTACAAGATATGTGAAAATTGACTTGAACCGTTGCAGAATACATTTAATATGATTTAAAGAAAAAACAGTGAATAAATCGCGAAAATTGCAATCGAATTCAAGTCACTTTTAAATGAATAAGAAATAAAACACTCTTTTTGGAGACGAAAACTCAAGACAAAGATATCGCAATGAATTGAAATTTTGTCTAAAAGTTGGTGGTGACATGAAATACAAAACGTTTGAAAATCGACGGGAACCGTTGAAAAATAAATTTCATATCAAAAATTTTAAAGAAAAATCCGGTGTACTAATTGCGAATTAAAAGTCACTTTGTGGAGATGATAACTCAAGAAACAAATTGCAATTAATAGAAATTTCGTCCAGTAATTGGTCGTGACATAAAACACAACATGTTTGAAAATTGACGAGAATTGTGTAAGAAACAAATTAATACAACGAAAACAAAAGATACAGTGCAATCACGTACATTTCGGCAACAGCATTTATTTCCAATAGAGGGCGCGCTACACAAATAGCAGTACCTACCGTAAAGTAAGCGCAGATCTCATGATCTGCTCAACCGGAAGTCACTTTAAACAATAAACACTCTCGTTGTATTGGAGACGATAACTCAAGCAAAATATATTGCATTGAATTGAAATTTCGTTTAAAGATTGGTCGTGCTATATGACACGACAGGTATAGAAATTAAGGGCAACCTTTAAAGAATACATTTATTATGATTTAAAGAAACGACATGTCAGTGTACTATATAATCGCGAAAAAAAATCAATCTGAATTCAAGTCACGTTTTATTGAACAATTAAAAATAATACACTCTTGTAATGACGCTAACTCAAGAAAAACACATTGCATTGAATTTAAATCTCGTCCAATAATTGATCGTGACATAAAATGAAAGGTATTTGAACATTGACGGGGAACCGTTGAAGAATACATTTAATACGATTAAACGGGGAAAAAACAGTGTACGAATCGCGTAAAATTCAACCCGATTTCAAGTCACTTTCAATTGAATAAAAATAAAACACCCTTTGTGGAGACGATTACTCAAGAAAAACAAATTGCATTGAATTGAAATGTCCTACAATAATTGGTCGCGATGTGGCGGGAACTCCCAGGGCCAATAAGGCTGTTATTAGTCTGACACCTTTTAGGGTGAAGACAATCCTCTAAAACCAAGGCTCTTCCCTAAAAAAGAGATCATACTCAGAGCATGGGGGAATTCCTCCATGCTCAGAGCGACCTTCAAGGCTAAGAGTGCAGGTCCGTTTTGGTGGAAACTATCGCCGATTATGAATGCGTGTTAATTTTTACCTCTGTTAATTAATTGCACAATAAACCTGTAAACGAAAACACCTGAAGCAGAATTGTCGGTAATCTCAAGCAAAGGCGATCATAATTTAGTTTTCAACGTTTGAACGATCATAATTAAGTGCTAGTACTCAATGTTTTCGAGGTTTTTGCGGGGTTGCAAAAATCTGCACGCTATTTTGAAAGTGTTTGTTCGGAGTTGGCTAATACTGGCTAACAATGTGGTCAATATCACTGAAACAATCATTTCAAGACGAACAAAATGTTCTATACCTTCAGTATGAAAACCTATGAAATTTCCCAAAATATCATAGTTCATGATGTATTGCCAATTAACATTTCCGAAAAGACATAATATCCTATCGGGAAAATTACAGGAACAGATAGCGCTTTCAAGGACCAACAACCGCACATCGATAACTTGAATTCATAACTCACGTCTAACAACTTCGCATTTGTTAAAACCTAGTTTTGCCGTAAAATATATTTTTCAAAAACAGCAACGACCTGACATGACTTATTATGCAACATATGGGGAGGTTGTTGGTTACTAAGTAAAAAGGCGGCGACGATCATCGTGTTCAAAGGCCGCTTGCATTCAAGTTGAATGGTCCAGGCTTTTGGTCACAGTGCTGTAGCTATGGACATTCCTGAGGGATTGGAATGGGTCAAAATGTAAATCACCCAAGAGTTCTGATCCCTTCCGTTCATATATGCATAATCAGACTTTTGACCAGAGATAGGGATCCGTGGACAGCGGGTGATGCTAGCCAGGACTAGTTGGGGAGCGGAATCCGTGCAGATACCGTGTATTAAAAATGTGGTTTCTTTATGTTGAATATTCTGCTCCCGAGAAACAAAAAATAAAGCCAGGACGCTCATTGCATTACTAAACAGGTATGTTTTAAAATCAAAATGGAGCAATGTTCGTGAATTATGTAACATCGTTGAAAGGTAACTCAGATATGTAAATTATGTGCGCGGGAATTTCTTTGTTCGGGTTCGCTTATAAGTGTGTTGCATCATAACGGCCTTCAATTTCAGTTTCCTTTTACAAATGAAAACGAGCTTGTAAATAATGTGGTCATGAGTAGTTTTATTCCGTTTTGTATATTAGCTTTCGATTACAAGAATTTCGGTAAAGGGCCCATAAAATGTATTTTTTTTTCAATGCAATTCTTCAAAATGCACCTCTGTGTCACATTTAACCTTATTTTCAATTTTCACTTTGCCGTTTTAAAGGGTATTTGGTGCCTTTTTGGTTTTCATGCTAATGCAAATTTCCATATTCATGAGTAAAAGTGTGATGTCATATCAGGAAGAAACCTCAATGTTGCAACTGGTTTGTGCACACAAAGTTGCCAGAATGTTGGGTATTTCGCTGTCGTGTTAAACTTTCTTTTCTTTAGTGATTCGTTGCTGTGTCAGTTCATGGCAGTAAGCCAATGAGCAAACTTTTCTCACCAATGTTTTCAATGAGCAATGTTTTGGGTTCACAATTTTAACAGAAAAACACCTTATATGAACACTGTCTTTAACAGTGTAATGACATCATGGCAACAGCGCCTTCGGTTGTCTGGAAAAGCATGATAAATTTGAAATGTTTAAGGAAGTGCACTTTTCAGTAAAAGTAACAAAAAAGGAATGTCAACTAGTTTTTGTAAACTTAATAGGATTAGAAAGTAGCACAAAATAAGTTCCTAAGAAATATTCACAGCATGGGCCCTTTAAACACACAGAAGCAGTACATTTACAAATAAAACAAAATCAAGCCACATTTTACCTATACCGCAAACCGCTGTAAAAATAAAAGTGCATTAAACTACAATATTAACATTAACATATAATAATTGTATATACCTTAAGTGCACAGAGCCAGTATTAGGAGAAAGCCCATAAGACAAATTAAGCATTTTACCCATATGATAATATGGAGTTGGTAATATACATGTAGGCCCCTATAATTAACAAAGCAAAATGTATTTCAATGTTTCAATTTAACACCCCTTCTTCCATTATTAAACTGGTATAAAGAAAATCGTCTTGCAAGGGTCTGGTAGTGTAATATTTAACATAAGATGATAGAGTGTTTCTGTACCCTTGACAGGATTTTTGTTCTGTGTGATTTGGTCCTTTTCGTTTAAAAGTTACGGTAAAGCCTGTAAAGACAGTCCAAAATTGTTTGGGCCACTTTTTAGATTATCTGGTAGCTCAATAAAACTAAAAGGCATTCACATACCTTCTTGGTATATGTAAATGCCTTTCATTAGATACCAGACAATCTGAAAAGTGGCCCAACTTGGAATTCAAATCCTTTCATTTGATAAGCTGTATCTCTCGACTCCGGTGTCCAAACGAGATGGGATAAACACCACTGTGTAGAATATTTACTATACCTTTAGACTCTACAGGGTAAGTCAATAAAGACGAAACCCAAATGTCAGGACTATTGTTGTATTGAAGTTCTGCATGTAACACTTTCAAAATCTATGATATAAAAGCCCAATTCATAAGCTTTCTTTTAGTACAAGAATCATTCAAATCACTCACGTACTTTTCAAGTTACGGAATTTTAAACTCAACAACCATTTTAAAGTTCTGTCCACGGATCACAAAAGCGTGCGTTTTTCAGCAAAACGCAAACCATTCACATACATCCCTAAATTGTGTATGTGATTTGTTTTCGTTTTGCTGAAAGAACACTTCCCTTTTTGTGATCTGTGGACAGAACTTTAAAACGGTGGTTGTGTTTAAAGGTCCGTAACTTAAAAAGTACATAAGTGATTTGAATGATTCTAGTACTAAAAAAAACCCTCATGAATTGAGCTTTCATATCCCAGATTTAAATGGGGTACATGCAGAACTTTACTAAAACAATGGTCCCGACATTTGGGTTTCGGGTTTTTTTTACTCACCCTGTATAGAAAAAAATTACAAAAAACAGAGTGCTAGTATTTTTTAATATTTATGGATTAACTGTTAAAGTTGTATTGACACACGCTGTATATATATATGCAGTCAAATTAATGTTCAGATATTTAATTACAACACTAAAAAAGACCATTAACTCCACTCAAATTAAGATAAACTTTAAAAACCTAACACCTAAATAGTTATGTGCTTCTATTATTTACAAATGGCACTTACAAATTCATTTCAGCTGACACTCCTTATATATTGTTCAAACTCAATGTTCAGTTTTGCCGCCTAGATAAACAAAAGTTATACATGTATATTGGATTTAACATTCCGCCTTTAAAGGAAAGATACAACATTTGCAAACATCAAAACAATGAAACGATCTCATTATCACGAAATACCTATACTAGATTGTTAGGGAATGACAGTCAAAAGCATCCTGAAAAGTCGTAGCTACTGGTGTGCTGAAGTTTTCAAGAAAATTGTATTTTTCCAACGCTGGTCGGCCGACCAGCATTGCAGAAAACTGGCTTTTTCAAAAACTGCTCCTATATTTCAAATTTAGTTATTCCATATTTTCTTTGCAATTGATCACAAAGCTGTGAAGCCTGCAAGATCTAGCAGGTACATTGATGTTTTAATAACGTAGTATGCATGTTATGTCTAATGTTGTCATGACATTTTGCAATAATGTTCTAGCGACATTGTCTCAGTAATGTTTTAACGACACCTTCTTGACATTAATGTAAAAAGTTTGTCTGATGTTTTCATTATGTTATATTTACATTATACTTTAACATCAAAATAATGTTCCAATGACAACTAATGTTGTCTTGACATTTTGCAAAAATGTTATGGCGACATGGTCTTAGAAACATTTTTATTTCGTTCTTACGACTTTCCTGCAAAAGTGAGTTGAACATTATAATAACATTACTCGCACATTTTGCAGAAATGTTGTGAAAACACAATAATAACATCACCAAGACCATGTCGCTATAACATTATAAAAATAACATTATTAAATAACATTAAGATAATGTTACGCGTACATTTCACCGGAATGTTGTTAAAATATAATAATAACATCATTAAGAAACGTTCCAACCACATGTTATTGCGTAAGTTACGTTGGATACTGACGTTTGAACTGTATCACGTGTTTGTACAATGTTCGAGTCTATTCCCACTTCGTTCCTGCAATCAATCGGTTATGTTAGCAATTTCCAAGGTTCCTGAAATTCGATTCATATTGCTTATTATTCAAATTAATACGCAAAACGTATCGTTCATGGCGAAAAAAAGTGACACAATTGCTTCACCAAGGTTTACCACGCCAACCTCGGTTATGTTAGCAATTTCCAAGGTTCCTGAAATTCGATTCATATTGCTTATTATTCAAATTAATACGCAAAACGTATCGTTCATGGCGAAAAAAAGTGACACAATTGCTTCACCAAGGTTTACCACGCCCACCTCGGGTCAACATGTAAAGTAAGGTCACAGTAAAATTATTCATGTTGTTACAACATCATTACAACGTTGTACAATGTATGAACAATGTATGATCATCATGTAAATAAGTGGGCAACAAACTAGTTGATTGTCTCGCTATTAACTTTTATATAATATAACAATTCAAAACAGGGATACAGAATAATGAAATTGAAATGTTGATGCAACCTTATAATTGCAGGAACGAATATGGGAATGGCGTTGCATAGATACTGATTCCAACACTGTACCAACACGAGCAAGTTCAAACGTCAGTGTCAAACCAGACTACAACATGATTGGTTTTCTCGGTTTTTCCAGCATCTACAAGCCCCAAACGTGAAACAAGTCAGTTCAACAATATTTGCCATAGCATAATAATCCTCCAAATCTATTTATTTCTGAAAAATGTAGCAGAATCAAATGTTGGATATTCCCTTTTAACAAGTGTCCTACACTACCATACTGCTTTTCACATTTAATATACAGGGTGTATCAAAAAAAAGTATACACATAGAGAAATTTATCAAAAAAGGATGCTTTTTAATTTTTCAAAAATCTGTCACTAAATATTGATGGACCAAGGTCTTACGCTTCAATTGCCACCTTTTCAATCTTCAGCTGTTCCGCATGAGTGAACACTAGCTATTTACTTTCACCAGATTTGAATTGGCTTGCGCACAAAAGTAAAATGGTTAAAACATAATCAAACACCGTGGTAGGGAAGTTTAGGCATGTGCTTTGTTGCTCACAAACTTTCATGAAAATTGGATTAACCCTTAGTCCTCCACAGGCCCACCAAGTTTGGACTCAAGTTGCGCCTTCCTCAAAACATTAACAACAGCATGACCTTACAAGTCAATGATTATGCCTAATGGTAATCGTCATGAGGGAATGCAACGTTTGCACTTCATGCATGCACGATTCAGTCTTCGACGTGGCCACCATTTCTTTGCACACATACTTCTGCCCTCCTCAGCATGTCATAAACTGCGCACCTAATCATTGCGGCATCCTGCCTCACAACAGCAACTTCGGCAGTAACACGTTCTTGCAGGTCATCCAGGTCTCTTGGTGGAGTGGTGTACACCTTAGACTTAATGTGGTGGTCTACCCTATTATAAGTCTAGGGCTGGGGTCCGTCCTTGATTAAACACGGATGAAACTGGACACCAGTCAATCACTTCTCGATCACTACGGTTTATTACGAATCGGATGCTTGGTCAATCATAGAGGTCGTAATAGAAAACCCCAAAACAAAACCCTGTAACAAAAAAATAAGTATTGCCTATTTATTACATAATACACAGTTTCATAATAATATCTGGGTTCTAGACACACTCTTAGTTCAATAATCGTCTTCAAAAATAATAATAAATATATATAAAACCTTACCCCAGGGTCAGTCAGTCTAAAATATTAGGTTGTCTCGATGCATGTACATGGAGTGGTGTACATTCGGTACTGTGAAAAACACATAGAAGTATTAGAACTACATGGTTAAACACATGTACATGTGGCCTACGCAGAAAGTTTCATGTTATACCTCACGTGGCTGCAAACTTTACACACACAAAAAAGCTGTAAAGTGGGTCTATGTATCATAGCTTAATAAATACTCACTTCCTGGAACTTAAGTCCCCCGAAATTATAGGAAGCAGGGTTATCATTCCTGAGTTCCTGACAGTGACATTAGCGTACAGCATTCTCCTACATGTGTCTGAATTTCTCATCGATTGCCCACTCGAGCTCTCCGCAAAATTATTTCTCATTCAGGGACTGTCCCTCCGCACGCAATAGCGCGCGGTGTCATGGAGACAAACGATAAACACGCCATACACAACAGCGGTGTCCTGTTATATCGGGACTCCCACAACTTCCCTGCTTTTATGCCATGCGACCCGAATGGCACGTACATAAGCATCACAATGACCCAAGGAGATATGTACATCAGTTTACATTAGTTACAATCAATAACCTTTAAAACAAGCAATGGGGGTAATAGATATCTTCAACAATCTGAACGTTTGAGTTTGGGATACTCGGACCAACCCCTGTGGTCACATTTGTAATTAAAAGTAAGCTCAAATGAAAAGCTATAGAAACTCTCTCTCTGTTCCTTTCAAGTGAAAAACACATAATTTAAAGGTACACATCCGTCTTTACTTTACTGTTACAAGCTTTAACTTCAAGCTTTAGTAAAGATATTATCTTGTTTTCTGTATATAATACTGTGTTTAAAGAAAACTGGTGTCAACAAGAAGTTACAATGTTGTACTTCCAATAATACAAACTGTGTTAAACAGATTTCAGAAGAATTCAAACTCGCTCTTCAACTTGTACACAGTATAAGAAAACAAAATGCTTCCTATAAGATATTGGAAAACGTTAGCAGAGCAATATAGCTAGCACACTATCAAAATATTTTGTAAACCAACAACTTTGTTATAGTAACTATAAAACATGAACAAGTAGCAAGCTACAGGGTGCCAGGCTGGTCAAACCATGTCCTATAATAGGAGTACCAGGACCCATTACTTAACTTGATCGTCAAGCAGAATCAATGATAAATAATTAGGTAATTGCATTTGGCCAGCAACCCCAAAGTCTCGTCCGACGTTCAGAGGGCCTCAATCCAAACTCCTCTGGACTTTGGGTGAACATGTGTGTTCCAACTACAGGTGATGTACAGGTGTAACTTGGCCTATGAGCTATGTAAGATCCAATTTGACTCGCTCCCTTATTCGAACTGAAATTACGGATTACAGGAGGTTTGTTTTCAACCTCATCAACATTTGGAACAACGACCAAAATTAAATACTCATCAGATGAGCACTCACTCTCATCATTGAAATCAGAATTTTCATCACAAATACAAGGTGAACAAGAATGTTGACAATCATCAACAAAACTCTCTGTCAAAATCACAAAGTCATCACCATGGGGTTTGTTCAAAGTACTGGAATCATTTACCTCATCAAGAGGGTAATACGCAGGCTCATCCAGTGGGTTCCCTGCTTTTTCCTCTGCCCTAAGTTCAAGCAGAATATTTATATTGGATTGCAGGTCATCTAACTGCTCATTAATTTGTTGCTGCTGCAAAACCAAAATGTTTACTAACTCGATTAAGTATTTCTGACTTTCGAGTAGTGGTAACAGACTATCATGGTCACTTGAACTAAAGTGATTTACATCTATGTCACAATCAGGTATAATTGCTGGGCCATATGGACTACACTTTGCCCTTTCTGTAACAGGTGGGTCTCTTTCCCAACTTGATTGATCACATTTCAAATCTTGAATTTGCTGAGGCACTGGACAACTAATACCTTTCAGTGCTCCAACAATAGTATCAATAAAGGCTCTATGAGATTCCACAACAACATTTACCAAGACCTCATTTGTGGCCATAATTCAAACCAAAGTTATTAGCTTCAAAGCTATACAAGAATCTCAGCTGATGTAAACACAATCAGGGCCGAATTCAAATACAAAATGTCACATGTCTACAATAAGACTAGATGCAATATATGCAATCAAAATGTGTACGCTTAACAGGAAAAATCCAGTCAAAACATAAGGAAAAAAACCTAGCCATGAAAGTGAACTATATTCACTGACCACAAAATATGTCTCTACAAGGTCCCAAATATTCTGGTGAAATTGCCAAACAAAATCTCACAATGGGTTATTCACAAAACCACTCAACAGTGAGCACAAATATAGTTCTACAAATTTAGAACTAGAATTCCATGCATACAAAGCAGGAAGGTAAAAATTTGACAGATTCCACCTTGGAACAAATTGGACAGAAAAGAGTAGACCCATACAATACAAACAGTCTTCAAATGAGCTGTATACAACAAGGGTCAACAGGGGATGCAAATGCAAAAATTCCCTGGATAGATCAGTGAAAGCGCACAAATACAAAAGAATATTCTAGGCTGCAATTTCTCTGAAAATTTCTGTAGCACACCTTACAAGTAGTACGTGAATACAAAATGTTGGCACTTTTCAACAACATTACACAAAATCTTCTGTTGTGAGCCAAAAAAGGTGAGTTTGTCAAAAAGTCTTACATAGCAGGGTTATACATCAATACCCATGGCTGTACACCATGAAAACAAGTTGGCATATGCCAACAATACAAACAGACTTGTGCTCGTCACACAAGTACAACTACATGACAAAATGTCAAAGTGGCTACACGCCGATACCGGCGTATGGCCTCAGCCACACCGCCCGGTAATGCCATCATCCAGTCCGACTCTGGGGGTCTCTTCGGTAGAGGTAGCTTGATGACAATAACTCCCAGCATCCTGTCTACGACGCCATTTTTACTGTGGTGGTCTACCCTATTATAAGTCTAGGGCTGGGGTCCGTCCTTGATTAAACACGGATGAAACTGGACACCAGTCAATCACTTCTCGATCACTACGGTTTATTACGAATCGGATGCTTGGTCAATCATAGAGGTCGTAATAGAAAACCCCAAAACAAAACCCTGTAACAAAAAAATAAGTATTGCCTATTTATTACATAATACACAGTTTCATAATAATATCTGGGTTCTAGACACACTCTTAGTTCAATAATCGTCTTCAAAAATAATAATAAATATATATAAAACCTTACCCCAGGGTCAGTCAGTCTAAAATATTAGGTTGTCTCGATGCATGTACATGGAGTGGTGTACATTCGGTACTGTGAAAAACACATAGAAGTATTAGAACTACATGGTTAAACACATGTACATGTGGCCTACGCAGAAAGTTTCATGTTATACCTCACGTGGCTGCAAACTTTACACACAAAAAAAAGCTGTAAAGTGGGTCTATGTATCATAGCTTAATAAATACTCACTTCCTGGAACTTAAGTCCCCCGAAATTATAGGAAGCAGGGTTATCATTCCTGAGTTCCTGACAGTGACATTAGCGTACAGCATTCTCCTACATGTGTCTGAATTTCTCATCGATTGCCCACTCGAGCTCTCCGCAAAATTATTTCTCATTCAGGGACTGTCCCTCCGCACGCAAAAGCGCGCGGTGTCATGGAGACAAACGATAAACACGCCATACACAACAGCGGTGTCCTGTTATATCGGGACTCCCACATTAACATGGCCTCACAAGAAAAAGTCCAGTATGGGGTAAGATCGGGCGATCTTGGGGGCCACTCGACGGGCCAGTTTTAATGCGATGAATCGATCGCCAAACAATTCAGTGAGACGTTCAGTCACGATCCTCCTCTTGTGCGGTGGTGCCCCATCTTGCGCCCACCAGGCACGCCTAAACTGTTTATTTCTTCTGCCTGGACGTTAACGACAAAAATCATTGACATGCTGAGGAGGGCAGAAGTCTGTGTGCAAAGAAATGGTGGCCACGTCGAAGACTGAATCGTGCATGCATGAAGTGCAAACGTTGCATTCCCTCGTGACGAGTACCATTAGGCCTAATCATTGACTTGTAAGGTCATGCTGTTGTTAATGTTTTGAGGAAGGCGCAACTTGAGTCCAAACTTGGTGGGCCTGTGGAGGACTAAGGGTTAATCCAATTTTCTTGAAAATTTGTGAGCAACAAGGCACATGCCGAAACTTCCCTGCCACGGTGTTTGATTATGTTTTAACCATTTCACTTTTGTTCGCAAGCCAATTCAAATCTGGTGAGAGTAAATAGCTAGTGTTCACTCATGCGGAACAGCTGAAGATTGACATGGTGGCAATTAAAGCGTAAGACCTTGGTCCATCAATATTTAGTGACAGATTTTTTGAAAAATTATAAAACATCCTTTTATGATACATTTCTCTAAGCGTATACTTTTTTTTTGATACACCCTGTATAGAGACACATTAAAAAAATCAAGCTGTATTAATACCTTAGTGCATTCCGCTGTAAAAAAAAAAATGTATTAAACTTCCACATTAACCTTAAAACTAATACAGATTATTAAATTGTGTATACACTTTGAATGCCCAGAGCCAGTTTATTAAAAAGTAACATAAGAAAAATAAGGCATTTTACCCATAATCTATAATAAGGTGGTAATATACAGGGCGAGTCAAAAAGAAAGTTACCAAAATTTAGTATTTTTTTAATATTCAAAAGCAATTAAATTTGAAACACCAATGAAGAATATCCGAAAAGAGCATCTTCTTCCACTCATCTAAAGAGAGAGAAGAATTACTGAAATTGATCCATGCTATCACGAGTTATGCACGTTTTACTAAAAGAACCAATTTGTATAACTGTCCATGGAATGTCATTAGAAGCTATTGAGCTGGGCGAGTTTTACAGATTACATGCTTACGCTTCATTGTAGTCAATATAGGCATTCATTGGTTCGTAGAATGATAAATGATCAGTGGTGGACAGCCGAGTTTTGTGGTCTTTTTTATTGAAATAGACATAACCTGGAAATTGAGCACGTAAATTACGTGAAATGTTCACAGTTAAAAGTCAATAAGATGTACTTTATCCCCATTTTGTTTAATGTGAAATGGAGCAAGCAAAATATTTGTAAAGTATTGTTCAAATTGGGTAATTTTCTTTTTGACTCACCCTGTACATGTATAATTAACCCAAAAAAATGTATTTCAATGTTTACTTAACACCCCTTCATCAATTGTTAAACTGTCGTCTTGTTTAGTAGGCCGGCACGGGGTCTAGTAGTGGCCGTAACTTGCAGGATTGCGCCAATCTTGATCTCCGAAGTGTTCCATTGGCTGAAATGATATTCAAATATTTGGTATAATTTGGTTTGTGACTTGGAATTAATTTGGTTCATGAGATTTCAGGCATTTGACCAAATTAAGACAGTTAAACGGCATGGGCCTTGCCAGGTTTTTTTTTCAAGGGGGGGGGGGGGAAGCAAATTTCCAGCAAAAATTCCTTAACTTTTTCATTATATTCTCAATTTATCATTTTTCCGAGCGTGAGCAGGGGAGCATTTGCCCCCCATCAAATTAACAGCAATATGGCTTCGCACCTCTTTTCATTATTTTTTTCCCCTGTTCCCCCCCCCCCCCGTTTTCCGGAGGGGGGGGGGGTGAGGCGCCCCCTTACCCCCCCCCCCCCCGCGACACCCATGTTAAACGGTTTGAGGTACTAGTTGTAAAGGGCCGGAAAACAGCGTTTATTATGACCTGTCAAAATTACTTAAAACTCTAGGTAGGGCATAGCTTATTTGAGGTTAAATGAATATAGTGGGGCAGTACCTTTAATGATACAATTCGGCAAATAGATATTTGGCTATATGGCCATCGCAGATTTGTCCTTTGAAAAAATATTTTGAGTAACAAGTAATGGCAGCCATTTTGAAAATTTTGAATATTGCTTGTCATTCTACCTGTTTTTTTTTTTCAAAGGACAAATAAGCGATGGCCGTAGCTTGTAGCCAAATATCTTTTCAAGACATTCTTTGACTTTGTGCCAAATTCCATGCTTGTATCATCAAAGGTACAATCCCATCACCTATCTGCCGTACTGACGTGGGGTGCTGTGGTCCAATGGTTACGGTGTTCGACTCGTCACCTGTGTGCCGAGGTACATGGGTTCGAATCCTGACCGTGGGAACATGGTGCTTGTGCTCTTGAGCAAGGCACTTTACCATTATTGCTTCCTCCTTCGGATGGGACGTAAAGCCGTAGGTTCCGTGTGTTGTCAAATGCACGTTAAAGAACCCATTAACACTTATCGCTAAGAGAAGAGATTAGTCCCGGTGTTTCTGGGAGTGGCAGCAATATGCGCAGCAGCATCTTGAAAACCATTATAAGCTGCAACATAATGGGTCTCATATTTCACATAAACTTAAGTTACCTTTCTTTAAATATACATAATCTCTAGCGCTTTGAGTACCTAATTATTGGTAGATGCACTATAAGACTCCGGTGTTATTATTATAATTATGATTCATTTTCGTCTGAATTTGACGAAATGTTTCATTTTCGCTACCAGAGCATTTGATTCCATTTCAGTTCAATCAATTAAGTGATTGAGCAGTACCCGTTTATGTCCATTCATATTCGTTTTATACAAGACTTCTTTTTTTGCCTTCAAAGGGCGATTTCAAACATTCGCCATTCTATTTCACTCTTAGTTTAATGCCATCGGCTCCAGATACAATTAGGGGTTTCTTTTTCATTAACCGTCAATCAAATTAGCTATACCTGAAATCAATTTAGAAAAGATATGCTTGCGTAAATGATTGCACAGGTAGCATAATTGGCCGCCTGTTTCTCAAAACCGGGAAATGAAAACGATTGAACTTTCGTTGAATTGAAATGAACATTTTAGGAAATTGGCCAGGAAAACCTATTTTAATATGGAATTTATTTTTCACAGGGAAAAATGTGGCTCAGTGTTTAATGTGCGCCATTGGGTTGAACGTAAAGATTCAAAATTGTTCACATTTGACGCTCCGTCAAATCGAAAGAACGTAATTGAGGTTATTTGAGAGACAGGTGCAGCGATTTCTAATTACTCGAATCTCATGTCGTAGTGGTTATACTGCACAGTGGATGCCGAATGGCTGCAAAAAGTGCGAAAGGCTGATGCGAACGTTTGCAGATGAAATTTATCACTGAGAAAAGCGTTTGTCTCTCACCCCATGGAATTCGCGCAGCTGCATCTCCTCAAAGCCTGACACCACGTATGGTGTCATGAAGTATGGTGTCATTTCCACATTAAAAGTGTTGATTGTTGCACAAATATTGATACCAATTACATTTATTGACGTAAGGCATGGTAATACTAAAAATCATTAAAGCAAGTGTTAGATGTAAATCAGTGCATACGCATAAACGTTCGTGTAGTTCTAATTTTCTAAGAAAATATTTTCCTCTTACTGCTTTTAGTCTAATGATAAATGCGTAAACTGAGAAATAAGTCTGAATCTCATAAGTTCTGCCGTTTTAACAGTGACCTATTCATATCTGATCTCAAACAACGAACAACCAAATAGCGTCGCGCCCGCTCATCCTACGTTTAACGAAAAATTCTCAAAATTATGTTCTGTTCTGGCTTGCTTTTGCGTTCTAAGTTGCGCACAGAAGAAATACCCCGAATCGGGTAGCAATTAAAAAGTTAGAAATTTGAATAATTCCATGGCTAGATAATGAGTATTTTTTTCAAAAACGACTATTACATTGCTAGAAAAATAGTAATGTATAAAGAACAAAATCGGGTGTGGGGTGAAACTCACAAATACGGTAAGTATGCCTGCATCTTCATTACACCAATGCGATGATGGGAAGAGTCATGTATTAGTCCACTCAGTCAGAGAGAATGTGCAGGTGAACAACTCTGGGTGTTCTCTGAGTTGGTCTAGATGACGAACAGCAAGATGGCATGAAAACCTCACGGAATGCCTGTCTGTACTTCGTGTTGGTTAAGTTGTAGATGAGCGGATTGATACACGAGTTGACGACGAATAGTACTGTGGAGAGGACGTGGATGTTCTGGTCTGCATCCCAGCGAGTCACGCCCAGGGTTTCATGGATGTAACCACTGATTGTAGTGACAGACCTAGGCGCGTTGCAGAGGAAAAAGATCAGGCTGTTGAGAGCAAGCATCCTGGTGATACGGACCCGCGATTGGCATATCTTCCTGATCCATTCGGGAACCTGCTGGTTGGGGCGATTCATGCGATGTGCGAATCGGTTTCTGAGGGCGTGAATGATGCGAGCGTACAGCCAACAATTAAGGGAGAGACACACGATGAAGGGAAGAACTAAGAAGACGTCACTCAGAGATGGGGAAGGATGGAAATTGTCTGTTTTGTAGCTCTCAATAGGAGAGTTGCTTAGTGGGGCAACACCAGACAACTTACAACCCTTTAAAGTGACCATACGCTCCAAGTACACGATGACAGAGTAAATGAGGCTGCAGCACCAGGCTGCAGCAACGAGTTTCATGCTTCGCTTAATGCTTGATATTGCCATGTGCTTGATCGGCTTACATATCGCACGGAATCGATCCCATGCGAGCAGCGACACGGTCGAAATACTGGAATAATACGATGTCGTTGTAATTACCATAAACATACATCCCCATATTTTGGAGGAGTGTGGCGCAGTGTTAGTCAAGCTTGGAATACTGCTGACAATCAAGAGGATGATGTCAGCGATGGCCAGATTAGCAAGGTATACATTGATGACGTTTCGCATGGATTCACGACGAGCCACGACCAGTAAAAATGAACAATTACCCAATACACCAGTCGCCAGAATGACCACCATAAACCAGCGGATTGAGTTAAGGCGCCCTTCATCGCCTACCGTGATGAGTGTATCGTTGACTATCAGAGAGCTATTGGTGGACACACAATTGTTTAACGAAGGGCCAAGAGTGGCCATTTCGTAACAACCGAATTCCCTCTATACTTCTGTCTCACAGACTTAAAGATTTCTCCCGTCTACTTACAACGCGTTTTTGACCAAAGATTTAAACTCGAAGCCCTTTGCAGAGATGCTTTTGTAGCCAATGCCGACCATTAAAACCTAGTAGTCACGTGCAAAGTAGTCACGTTTATGTAACCACCACCAATAGTGTCCTGCATTGTAACGTGTATAGTCCCCGTGTTATATAACTTGTACCCTTTTGCGCATGTCTACGATCACAATCGAGTCACGTTCTTTTTTCTTAAGGTTTGATATTGGTGAAGCCCTTTCGGTGAACTCGTTTGACGGCTTCAAAACGTTTTTCATTCCATGGTTTCTTTACTTCGTAAGTAAGATTGCTGTTGAAATCATTGCAGGCCCTACGAAATTTCCTCGGAAACAGTTTGCAATATAGTGACTGCCTTGTCAACGTTCTCACTGCATCGCGGATGCAATTGTCTTATAGGCTGTTTATAAGCATAATTTTAGATAAAACCTTGATTATAGGCCTACTGTGTATGATATCTTCTACAATAAATTGAAATTATGCATTCACGAGCCTGCATTTCTGAGGCCTTGGATTGAGAACACCCTTTTTGGTAAATCTCGACACCCGAAAGAAAGTTGAGTTTAATTCGATGATTAAATTATACAAACAAACGTTATGCAAATGTACACCTCGTCTGACATACTTCACTTTGATTCGAACAGGCCTAACAAAATATGCCCCAAATTCCACAAAAAGTGGTTGGCATTCCGAGTTATTTGAGCGCTTAGCAATGGTCCTTAGATATTCCTCAGGCACTAAACAAAACGTGCTCAATTAAGTAACACATTTCAAAGCAATGGGTACCCTATTATTAAAATTTTTTGAAATGTTTTGATTCCTTGAATTTCTTAATATTTCTTACATTAACTTTGCATGAAGCCATTTTTTTTTATCTAAAGGTTATTAAGCACCTTCTATGCCTTAGCTTACATTTCGACAGGACTGTCTCTGAACACCACTTTAAGGACCAGACTGTCTTGATTATTTTCAGTTTCAAGCCGGTTTGAAGGACCCCTTCCCCGTCCCGATGGTAGAGGTCTTCAAGTCACAGAATACAGTGTGATGGACTCCGTAAATTCTTGCAGTATGTTCTTGCTTATAAGCAATTGTAGTGTTTATGTATTCGACCCAATGTCTTGATTATCTTCAGTTTGAAGCCGGTTTGAAGGACCCCTACCCCGTCCCATACATAGCGCTTAATACCTAAGGTCTCAGAGTGCTTCACAAGTATTACCCCTGTTCATCAGGACTTGAGACCAGTTTTTGAACCGACGTCAAAAAAAGATATAACAAGTAATTTCAGTAAACTAATGGTCAGTCCCGCTGGCATGGCCTGGGGCTAAGCTGCAAACCACACGCGTGCATGAAATTCCCGTGATGAATCTGTATCCGTGATGATCACACATGCGCATGCGTTGACTAGGTCTTAATGATACGATTTTGCACGAGTTCAAATTGAGCATTGGACAAATCACGCACATCGTCCATGAGCAAATCACATGGTAGGCAAGTAGTGGGTGCACGCGGGGCGGCAAATCCAATTCCACTGTTTTCTGATTAGTTGTTGGCCAATCAACACAACTCCACGTGTAGCAGCGCATCTTCATCAATATTTCTCGATGGGGTCTATCAATGTTGTTCCCAAGACCTTCATTATACAAGCAATGACGCACGAACGCAACTGTATGTGAAGGATTAAGTCACCTCTAAAATTTAGAAGCGCGTTTTCAGTCCTGTTTGCATGCGTTGAATTGGGACAACGGACAAAAACACACTAGCCATGTGGTTGCTAAGGCAAATCGCTTGCCGTTGATAAGCAAAGCTAATCCAATTACGTACTTAGACGCTACAGCAGAGCAGTGAAATTCATGCACCACAAAAAAACATGGTCTTTTGAACGTTGTGTTTCTCAGAAAATATGCTCAGTATGACGAAATTCTAAACTTCATGTCAGTGAAAAAATCGCCGTCATCGATGCCGAAACGTCAATACTTGTTACTGGTGAAGCTGACACATAAGTCTGGAAGAAATCATTCGAAAACTTCCACAAATATATTGTATTTATATCAATTTCTAGGAATTTCTAGGAAGTGTTTTTGTTATTTCACGAGTAGTCACAATATATCATCTCAGTATGTTCCGAATTTCAGCTTAATCTGTTGTTGCAAACCTATATACACCTATAACTATCTCCAAGGAAAATTTCGACGCGGATTTTTAAGCGTGCATTGTTCAGCAAAGCGCCCTAGACGCTACGGTTGACTGTTTTCGGCTCGGCAACACGATAACGAAGGGATTAGCATATACATTAGCGTCACCTGGCGTGACATGGCGTGGGTCTCGGTATCGACCAATGGAAACCGGCAAAAAGGGTGATATTTATCAAATAATAACTCATGAAAGAGGCTTTTCTCCAAATTTGTACTGCACACCATAATGGATAGGAACCTTATTTATATTCATGAGACTTGAAAAGATTAACAGATATTGCAAACGCCAGTGTTTCAACTTTCAAAAATGCACGTACTATCATCACTATTTTCCAATTTCAACAAAAAGTAATAAACATATCACAACGATTTTAACACATACTTGGATCATTATAAGGGAAATAAACTCTGAAAGTTGCATGAAGATACGGTCTTCCAAACGGGAGAAATTTTCAAAGATTTCGCCCGCCTGAGTGAACATGTCAGTGTGCATGTATTTTCTTTCAAAACAAAGTGTAACGTAATCTTTAGAAATCGCCCTACGCAACCACATGGCTGAGACTGCGCTCTTTAAAGCCTACTATGCGTATCCCCCCTGTTCACGGAATCACCACATTAAAATTGGCTCGTGGAGTGCCAGACCAATACCAGTGAGATAGAATTTCAGATTTGTAACAAATTAGAAATGAGGACACCATCAGACCGTGATTCCTGTTCTAAACGCCGTGTTATTGCCATGCCAAATTCGCTTAATTTGGATTTATTTTTTAAATTTTCGACACGGCAATATAGCACGGCGTTTAGAACCATTCGGCTCCGTACGTACGTAAATTCGGCACGTCACCATCATTTGGCTCGACAGGGTACTATCATCGATCCGAACGGCAGTGGCGCTCGAGGCACTGTTCTTAACGCGATGGTATTGCCGTGTCGAATTCAAGTCAATTCGAAGTGGAGCAAACCGTTTAGGAATGCGCATTTTAGAAATGTGATTGTTGCTCATAATATTATTAACAATGATCATTATTTATCATCTTTGTAGATGTAAAGTATCCAAATGGCGTGACATCATCAAACAGAAGCTAAACGGCGTGGGGTTCGGGACCTGCTAAAGGGCCCCGAAACATTTTGGATTCTAGATGCTCTGTGGTGCGATCTGAGGCAAATTCTGACAACTTTATTCTATTTTATGAGCAAAAGATGGTCATTTAAACAACATTTTCGAGTTTGGAGTAATTGAATCAGCTATTCTAAGCAAGAATAATAATGTAGGCTACATTTTTTTTTCGGGGACGAAAAAATTGGGGGGGGGGGGAGACAAACGATATGATGCACCCCCCCCCCCCCCACTTTAAAAAATTGAAGGGGAGGGACCTCCCCCCCCCCCCCCCCCCCGTCCCCCAACGATTGACGCCCATGTCTGTGCAATGAATTTTTCTCAGGAATATATTTTGTGCAACTTTCTACTACTCTGAAATAATGACAACTACACACTTGGCACCCTTTTTCAACTTTTTTGTGCTGAACTGGCCGCCATGTAACATTAATCCGCCCGGAACGACATCAAAGTTTTGATCATGAATGTAGAACTTTGCATTAGCATAACAAAGGAAAAGGCACCAAAAACATCCTTTAAAATGGATGCCTAAAAAAGGTTTGCATTGAAAAAAAAGTAATTACCAAAGAGAAGACTAGTGTTCCCGATGGTACAACCATTGCTAAACATACACGCCCCGGTGTCTTGCTCGTCAAGAAATCGTCATCGTAAAGATGCCCCTTGTTAAATCTCTCTCCCTTTTCATTTCATTATTTCGTTAATACATCTTGTATCCTTCATATCAGTTATTTGTTACATTGTAAATGTTACAGTCACCAAGATCTTGGGGAGAATGAGCCCCGGAGGAAGATAGGAAAATATGTCAATGAATCAAAAAATCGTATTAATTTGAATGACCAAACGATGAAAGTGATTGCCCATAAGCAAATAAATAACGAAAAGCATAGCAATACATTATAAGCGCATCGACGTTCGGTAATTTGAATGCGTCAACCGTCAAAAGGTTGCAAAGACTTAATTTAAGAATGCTACGAATTAAGTCTTGAATGCACCAAAACGAAAAAGAGTGCTTCAAAATGAAAACGAACGTTCGGAGCAAACTCTTGGGGGCCTAAAAATTACAACTGAATGCCGCAACGGTGAAAAGGAAACCCCAATTTGATCAGATGTGTAAAATCACGCGAAAGTGAATGGTTGATAATTAAAATGATTAGAAAAGTTCGGAAATTGGCCGGGAAAACCTATATTCAGAATACCTTTTAAAAGAGGTTGTGGAATGTTTGAAGACATTTCCGTCATTTTTCGGGTATATGTAGCCTAAGGTGTGATACTACGCTGCATCGGGAGTCCTGTTTATTACGTCAAGATTTACTATGTTTTGTTTGCTGCCCCCAACGACGACTTTTACACAAATTGCACGTTCGGGTCGAAACAGGAACTGAAAAACAGCTCTCAAAAGTACCTTTTGTACTCATTTCATGACAGACACAACAGTCGTTTTTATTTCATCACACCTTATTAAGCTACATATACCCGAAAAATGACAGAAATGTCTTCGAGCATTCCACAACCTCTTTAATGGTACCTTTGGGAGACATTTTGTCATCATTAATGATACCTTAAGGGTACACCAGACACGAGAATGCCTCCCATGTCGTATTATTATTTTTACTATCGCAAATTATACCATTGGGAGACACTTTAACGTGGGTGGTTTACCTTTGGAAGACATGTGGAATTAGGCCTCAGCTCCTATTTAGAGGCACTGTATTTTTTTGTCACAAATTGGCTAGATCGATTGCTCGTGGTCCAATTAGTAAAAATACCTTATTTACCATAAGGTAAATATGGGGTTCGGGGTAACTATTTTTAAACAAGTCTATATGGGAATGTCTCCGTAATGGTATATTGTTCGGTTATAATTACTATATCGCAAATGGTATATGTTTCGGTTACATTAATATTATTATAAGTACAGTGCATTTACTACATTACTTACGGAATAAGGAATCACAGAAACATCATTATATGAAAATATAAAAATTATCATACACATTCCTAAAAAATAAGTCGAACCCCCCACCCGTGACACTCCCCAAAAATTATACTGGTATAATGTTCAAACTACGGTACACCATTCTGTAATCTAGTGTTAATAATCGTCGAATTTGAACAGCGCCCCCTATGGAAATACCTACATTCTCTGACATTGAGCTGAAATTAGGTATTATTTATATTCCTGTTCCGAAGTCCATAAGAACTTAGGTGTCACCCTGGATGGTTCTCAAAATATTTCCCGGCAATTTAATTTTCTTTGCCAGACCATTAACTTCCACATACGCATGTCTCTGGCGCATTCGCCGATTCATCACACAAGATGCCTGCCATCAGGCCGTCAGAGGTCTTGCACGCCGGATTCAGACCTTTAGCGCTTGCGCGTTTGCCCCGTGCAGAAAAGTCAGGACAGATTCCAGATTCTGCGGAAAGCCCCCGCAAGTGGCTCAATCGTGCAGAGGAATGGAAATATTCATTACAATTGAATTTTGCGCCTTTATTTGGAAACACTTTACGTGTTAAACTCACAACTTTGTATGTCCCTTCGCGGCCACGATAGTTATTGTTGACCTTGCATTTGAAATGGATTGAAACCATACTGTAAACAAGCGGGGCATATCCCATGCACATGTCGTTTCTATCTGTCCGTGCATATCATATGCGGAATGCATTGGGAAGATTGCCCTTGAATCTAAACATGGCTTCACAGCACAAGCCGGTCTGTCTGAAAGATTTCGAGGAACATGCACGATTAGTCTTGCCTGACCCCGTCTACAGATATTACAGTCACGGTTTTTATCCCGAACAGACACTGAGAGACAACGAAGAAGCCTTCAAAAGGTGAGTATTTTCGTCGTGTTCTGGACGCAGTGTTTCAAGTTTTAATGCTCGGGCTATATGTAACCGTAGCCGCAGTGGTACTGGTAGGCATCATTATGATTGACGACTGACGACTGTAGTGTTCTGCCAATACGATTGTTGGGATAGACAGTTGATATTTGCAGTGCTTTTATGCTGAGGTGACAAATACGCAGATCGTTGTGTTTTCGTGGTTGAGATGATAGTGCATTGATCATGGGTCGTGCCAAAGATCGTTAGGGGAAGATCGAACACTCCACTTAAAAACAGGTGAATCAGGAAGTAGTTGTTCACGGGGAAGGGCGCCCCTAGCGTTGGGTAGGTCAAAAGCAGATTTGCTCCATGCACTCATCAACGTGATACCTTAGTTGTGCAAATCCACTAAACTTTTATTTTCTTTGGTAAATCCTGCAGATACGTAACATTTTAAAGCAGTTATATTCTCTGATAAGTAATAATAGCACCACTCATATGCTTCATGGGGAAATGCTAAACGCAGTGGCTATTGTTACGGCAGCTGTACGTAACGCATTTCCCATTTTCTATCATTACGGTAGTACTGCAACTTTTATAAAAACATGAGAAGAAAATATAAATTAGAAGGAAAAAAGTGAATTTGAACATTATGAAATTCGGACTTTATTAGAAAAGGAAAAAAATTCAAGTGCAAAACTGAGATGCGAACCCGCAAAGTCGCGGTGCAAAATCCTACCCTCTCTCGACTGAGCTGTCGCACTGCTTACCAAAACACGGGGAAACAAATAATTATATACCTGCGTGCGTATCAAAAAAGTATCGTAGAGGGCGCTAAACAACGAATGCCGTAACGATAGCCACTTCGAATGCTTAAAGTGCCTCCAAAAAGAAATTGACAAATGTTCAGCATTATGCTGATGAGCTGACTGTAACTGTACACGTAGGCCTAGGATTCAGAGATGGGGTGGTAATATGAACGATTTCCCCAAAAATCTTTCCACTTTTCATCATGTGTATTATTGTTTTTGGCTTATTCTCAACAAGATTTTTTAAAGTAAACGATACATGTTAAATAATAATTATTGTTAAATTAATTTTGAAGTTATTGATGACTTTATTTTTCTTTCTTAAGAATTTGTGTATTTTTTTTAATGTACAGCGCTTGTGATCGATGTCCCAGTGACATGTAGCACGTTTATGAAATGATATCAATTATTATTATACTGTCAAAAAAATTGAAGAGGGATCATGCAACTATTCTACTTATGTTATGAGCAATGGGTTCTACTTCGAAACCGATTGTATTCATAATTAATTATAAATTAAAATGCCATGCTTTTTTTTTTCGAAGCGAAAAACTTGAATCTGATTTCCATGTTTGAATAACTTCAGGAAAGTTGTGGACTTTTGAAGCAAGCGGCGCTAGAGTCCTTATTGGTTGTATTGCCCGGTCGCCTCCCCCAAACATCGGTAATCCTTACTTTTAGGACCCTGTTCCTATATAAGGTTACAAGACTCACCAAACAGCTGACTAAATGACACTCAAAAGTGACATTCTGATATTTCTTGTCTTATATTAGCCCCATAAATGTGGCCTATTTACTGGACTGCCTCCGTAAACATAGGCCACACATCCACATGTACAAAAAACGTGTCGACTTTGCCAAATTTTGATTTTCACATTTAGGCTTACTTTGTAGATTTTCTTTGCTTTAGAAGCATTCTCACCCTCTATATAGGCTAATCAGAAAGTGCTGCCTTTTTTCAGATGTTTAATTTTTGTGAAATTTCTTGTTGAAATTTTGATATGCAAACGTGTGTAAATGTATCTGGAAATTTCACGAAAACAGAACATCTGAAACAGGCAGCACTTTCTGATTAGCCTATATAGAGGGTGAGAATGCTTCTAAAGCAAAAAAAACCGTAAAAAGTAAGCCTAAATGTGAAAATCAAAATTTGGCAAAGTCGACACGTTTTTTGTACATGTGGATGTGTGGCCTATGTTTACGGAGGCAGTCCAGTAAATAGGCCACATTTATGGGGCTAGTCTTATATCTGAACACTATGACCCTTCTTGAATATCAGCAGGTTTAATTTTGTGGAAAGAGGCTGGCAGGGCTTTGATTTATGAGGGAAATTAGGGGGTAAAACACGGCAATGACAAACAGTAAACAGACTCAAAAACAAAGATGGCAAACTGCAAAAAAGGTAGGAAAGTCACATTTTCTTTGAAAGTGCTTTCAAAATTACAACTTTAGAACATTAATCAGAAGATAAAAGATTTCTTTAACCTACAAAAGCCACTTTGGTAGTGGACAGTCTATTGCCAAAGTCAGTTTTTAACAGAACTTGTGAAAAATAGAGGTGTCCTAAAGATAAGGATCACCCAAACATCTATGTAATTGTATTCTGTGATAAGCCTAAGCGTTGCCAATTCTCAGCATGTTTTTATTTTCACTGACGGGTCTTTATCCCCCTTTTATTATTCTTTTAGGCCCCCCTCCTATTGGTTTATTCATTTAATCCTTTATTAGTGTCCTCATTTCTTCATTTCGTCATCTTTTTAAAGTTGTTTACCTCCTTCATCAGTGAAAATCTCGCTCGCATTTATGATAGCCTTGTAGTTATTTTCTCCTGCAGATATCGACTGAGGCCCCGCCTACTACGAGATGTCTCCAAACGAGACATGCGTACCACCATGTTGGGTCAAGACATTGCCTTCCCCATAGCTGTAGCACCTACGTCGATGCATTGCTTGGCACACAACGATGGAGAATTGGCCACAGCTAGAGGTAGGTATGTCGCCTACATTGGATATAGATTCCATGCATAAGTTCCTCCTCTCGCAAGTGGGACGACTGGGAGGGATTCTCAGTTGAACACATTGCCGTGGTGTGCCCCTCCCCTGGAGCTCTTCTGACCCTATTTTGAAAGCCCTGCCAAGCACACGATTTTCTGCTAAAACAAAAAAGGTCCATTTGGTATAGTCGAGTAGGAACAACATATATCTTAGACTAAAATGTGCATGAGCATGCAACTTGTATAACCTATGTGGGAGCGTTTCTGAAGTTGAGTATATAATCAGTTAACATGGGTGCATACCTATGTTCCCCAATACCTATGTTCCCCAAGACCTATGTTCCCCAACCCTAATCCTTACGAAAAATATACCCCAACCCTAACCCCTAACCCTAGCCACTAAGGATTTTGGGGAACATAGGTATTGGGGAACATGTATTGAGGAGCATCGGGTAGACCCCGTTAACATATACAGTCTTAGTAAGCCCTTATTGCATGAACCTACTCTATTCGTAAAGCTGTCGGATCCGTTGGAACGGGTATGATTCTGAGTGCTGGTACAAACTCGACCATGGAAGACGTAGCGGCTGCCTTGTTCCCAAACGGACTACGGTGGGCCCAGCTCTACATATTCAAGGACTTGAGCTTAGTCCGTCGGATCGTGAAGAAAGCTGAGACGAACGGATACGGTGCCCTGGTGGTGACGATTGACTATCCGGTCTCGAATAAAGGACCATGGGGGAGTCTGAGGATACCTCCACATATCAAGTAAGGGATACGATTATATACATTTAGTGCCATTTCGAGCTTCACCAATCACCACATCAAATGAAAAATTCGACCCTCGACAATAATCCCTGCCCTAACAGAACCGATCATGTCGGGCAAGGAACCATTCGACTCTCGGCGCGAAGCAACCCAAAATCAAAGGTTTTTTAGCGGGTTGCAAACACCCAAAATACAAAAAGTGTTTGCTTCTTTTAACTAAAACAAACATGCAAGCTAAAAATTTGTAACACTCGAAAAACTGTGTTTAGCAATTAAAGACTTTTTCTTAACACTTTCTTGCTCAACGTTTGTAAACATGTTTACATACTAAAGCAAGGATGTATAGCAATTGAACATTGATGTTCAGGAATTGGACACGTAATGTTTAGCTTCTAAACATGTTTACAAAGTTTAGAGAGCGAAATTGTGTTTAATAGCTAAACACAGTAATGTTTTTAGAGTGTATAGGAAAAGAAATCGAACTTGTTAAGGAGCACTTCTTTAGCATTTTATTATTATTTTACTTGACATGACCTCTACTCCCAATGATTACGTCATCTTGTCTGCAGGATGGCCAATTTTGCCGACGTCGAGTTGTCCCGATTGTCGTCAGTTGTCATAAATGAGAGTGTCACCTGGAAGGACATAGACTGGTTACATAGCATCACCTCCCTACCTATTGTACTCAAGGGCATACGCACAGGTTGGTTTATCAGTTAAATACAAACAAAGCATCTTAATCGTTACCTTCGTCAACATCGTCTATATTTTAGTCGGATGTTGTGCGATATACATACAGGCACATTTGAAGGAAACAACTTTTTAGTGTAACGTGTTTTGGTTGTTCACGCACTCATCCAGTTTTACTCATTCTTTTTCATCAATCCGTATATGCTCTTCAAAAGTTGAAGCAGTCGAGTGTAAACAATGAAAACGTAATCCCCGGAGCACAAAAAGAAACTGGCAATACTTTAAATAAGCAATAACCAATAATCGCTATACAGCCCGTTTCACTCATCACTTCCAGCGCAAGTAAAGTGATTACTGTAGTGTTGTTTACGTCCATTGGTAGAAATTCACCCACCCTGCGAACGGAACATAGACGCCATGCACGTGTAACCTTAACAGTTACGAGGAGAACGTATCCATTAAGAATCCAGAGTTAAATGCACTCGACCCGCCCTAAAGTGTCGCTGTGAGTTGTTCATGATGCCCAGTTTGGCTTCACCATACGTATAAAGTTAAAACTGGTTTAGAGCCAATAAAAAACGACAGGTTTACTAGTAAAGTGAACGATTCCTTGTCATGCCGCATACACATCAGTGTTGGACGCGATTTCCAGTCTTTGGAAGCACACGGGGTATCAAAATGTAGCTAACAACATTCCCCAAAGGTCCATATAAATAATGGCAGCATAGTAGTAAGGCGATACAAAATTGTGACCCCTCCAAAGATTATGGACTTTCTGTCTTTTTTGCGGTGTTTATATAGTGCACGATGGTGTTTTTATAGGCCTAGTGTTTAATTTGTAGACTGTGTTCACTTTTGTCTTTGTTTTATCAGGCGAGATGGCGCGAGAGGCTTTGAACCATAATATTGCAGGGATTGTTGTTTCCAATACCGGCGGTCGTAATCTAGATGGGTTACCTGCTACGGTAAGTTGATCACAAATACCAGCTTCAAGCATCATATTTTTCAGCGGGGGGGGGGGGGGGGAATCTTTTAAACCTGATTTTATTTCCCGATTATCGTGACTTTGATCAACGAGAGTGGTTCCTTAATGTTGGAAATCTCCTTTCGAATTTACCAGAACCTCATGTCGCATTGTAAGACTTCTTCTTCTCTCGTATGCTGCCATCGTCTCTTCATCACACCTGCAACTCGGTGGAGAAAAGCCATGTCTTTGTGTCATCGTCCAGGGTGATAATGTCATGTTCGCCGTGGGGTGGCCGGTGCTGTGGACAGGACTCGATGATATGGTCAACTAACTGCTCTGGGTGGTCACAGTCGCATGCGGCGGAGTCCCTGAGCCCCCAGCCTTTCATAGTTGCGGCGAAGCGGCCTACGCCGATTCTGAGGCGGTTCAGCATCGTCCATTGTTTGCGAGGCAGGTCTTCACCGAGCGGCTCGCCTGGCTCATCCATGCCAGGTGCAGCCTGGAATGGTCTGCTGCTTGCCACTCTTCTGTCCAGCGCCGTTTGAGCCACATCCTTTTGGAAACGTCAAGTGGTACGGAGCACAGAGGCTGGTGGGCGTGCTCCTTGAAAGGACGTCGTGACTCTAGGCGGGCGCGGTGTGGGGTCTCTGTGGCAGTTTTGTGGAGAAGATGGTTGTCGTCATTGGTGGCCTTACGCGACAGTGCAAGGACGGCGGCTTCTCGACGTAGAGATGGTGGGGCAATGCCTGCCACGATTGGTAGTTTGTTGACCGGTGTGGCGCACAGGCAGCCGGAGACTGTGCGCAGGGCGTTGTTGAGCGTAATGTGCGGCTTCTTGGTGTGGGTGCTCCTACACCAGACTGGGGCGCAATACTCAGCGGCGAAAAAGACCAGCGCTTGGGTGGAGATGCGCAGTGTCTTAGTCGATGCACCCCACGTTGTGCCAGCTTGCCGTCGTATGAGGGCAACGCGGGCTGATGTCTTTGCTGACACATTTCCCAGGTGTTGGCGGTACGTCAGGGTGCGATTGAGCTTGACCCCTAGGTATGTCGGAGTGGCCTGGAACTGGAGTCTGTTGTTGTTGACGATGATGTTGAGCTCGCGGCTTGCCTCTCTGTTGTTGAGATGGAATGCGGAGGACATGGTTTTGGCCACAGAGAGCTTCAAGCGCCAGTTCGACAGATACGTGGACAAGGTGTCCATGTCGGCCGTGAGCCCCGATTCGATTGTCTCCCAGCACTTGTCGGCGAACATGATGGTAAGGTCGTCTGCATATCCATACTTGCTCGACAGGGTGTCTGGGAGGTCGTGGATGTAGATATTAAACAACTTCAGGGCTAGTACCGAGCCTTGGGGGACACCATTCTTGAGTCTTCTAAGTCTGCTGTGTTGGCCATCACTGGTGTGGAGGGTGAAGCTGCGGTTGCTCAGCATCACCATGATGAAGCCCACCATGTGTCGGGCCGGGACCGTCTGTAGGAGCTTAAGATGGAGTCCGCGGAGCCAGACTGTCGTTCACCTCGCTGGTGATCTTCCTGGTGAAGGCCTTGTCTGCATTGGGGAACCTGCCAGTGCTGATGAGCTGTGCTGCGATGGCGTCTGCAGTGATGGGGCATGGTTTTGGTTTGGTTCCCTGGCCAGTCAGCTTGTTGATGGTCTGCCACGCTCGTCGGCTGGAGTGGGTAAAGTCGATTGACTCGACGGTCTCTGTCCACCTCTCTCTCCGTTTGGTGTTCAGCTGGTTAAGGAGATCTGTGGCGGCTGTGGCCCTCTCAACTTTGCTCTTGGCTTCATTGTGAGCGCGCAGGAGGTCTTCACATTCTTCGTCCCAGCAGGGGATGTAGTTCTTTCTGGCTCCCCGCGGGATGTATTTTTTGGCGGCGTCTTGGAGCACCTTGCGGTAGGCCTCGTATGCGTCGTCGATGTTGGTGGCGGTAGGCACTGGCAGAGCTTCGGCAGCGGTGTTGACATCTCGTGCAAAGTTTGCCCAGTTCGCCTTGCGGAAGTTCCACCTCCGGACTGGTTTTCCCTCCGTCGACTGGATCAGTGATGGTGTTGTGATTAGTGATGGGCGATGTTGTGAGCGAGGGAATCGGTCCAAGATGCGCCGAAGTGGCAGTGGTTCTTGCCCGGAAACTTTGGCGAAGGCCAGGTCTGGGTTGGACTTGGTGTTCCAGCGCCCAGAGATGAACGAGTTGGGCTCCTTTGGGTCAAAGAGGAGCACTGCGTCGGCTGAGGAGGACCAATCTGCCAGAAACTCGCCGTCTTTGTTGATTGTCTTATACCCCCAGTCGGTGTGCCAGCTGTTAAAATCGCCGGTGTACAGGGCTGGGGCAGGGACGTCTGGCAGTGAGCCTTGATCTAGTCGGCTCGATGGTGGCTTGTAGACGTTCACCACAGTGGTCTCCTGCACCTTGGTGGCGATCCACTCGGCTTCGGCATCATCTGCTCATTGGCCTGCTGGTGATCAGGATGCGCCATCTTGGACAAATGTTGCAAGGCCAATATGTTTGCTCTTGATGTGGCCGGCTAGCGTAAACCCGGGGAGCTTAAGGATGGCATCGTTCTTCTTGTGTGTTTCCTGGAGTAGGACGACAGTTGCCTTGTTCTTGGTGGTAATCTGTTCAAGGACGTCGAGCTTGGCGATAGTGAGCCTTTCGACGTTGAGTTGCAGGATTGCGAGGCTTTCGACGGATAGGTCCGCCCGTCCTGAAAAGGACGCGTGCTGCCTCGGATGTCGAGGTCGCTGGGAGCGGGGTGAAGACATTAGTTTCGCTGAAACAGCTACTAGTAGAGGCGGCCGCGTAGAGGCTGTCTTCTTCTCCTCCTTGCATTGTAAGACAAACTTGCATGAGTAGCCATTTTTGAAATGTAGTTTTCAGACCCCTTATCTCCCGAAAAAAAGTAGGAAATCAGCAAGTGTGAATTATAATATACTCATCGTTTGTCTCCCCAGATCGATGCGTTATCTGAGGTAGTTGAAGCGGTGCGTGGTTCCTGTATGGAGGTCTACCTTGACGGAGGAGTACGGACAGGCACCGATGTGTTAAAAGCGTTGGCCCTGGGAGCTAGGGCCGTCTTCATCGGTCGACCGATTATCTGGGGACTCGCCTATGATGTATGTTGTCCGTTTTACAAAGCAAAATTGTAGACTAAATGACGAACACACACAAGCTTCAGTTCACGGCAATGTAGCATATGTTGATGGAAGCCTATCAGATATTTTATAAAGAAGAACACACTTTGGTTAATTTTAGGATTTTTATGCCCCGCGGCGAAGCCGAAGGGGCATACTGTTTCCGCCTTGTCCTTCCGTGGGTGGGTGGGTGGGTGTGTGTGTGGGTGGGTGGGTGTGTGGGTGTGTGTGTGTGTCCGGACAAATCTTGTCAGCGCGATAACTTGAGAAACACTTTACATATGAACTTCAAATTTGGTTTGTGGATTGTCCTTGGCAATTCTAAGAAGCCTTTTGCATTTGGGGCCAAAAGGTCAAGGGTCAAGGTCACAGTTGCTGAAACAATAGAAATTTTGTCAGCGCGATAACTTGAGAAATACTTTACATATGAACTTCAAATTTGGTTTGTGGATTGTCCTTGGCAATCCTAAGAAGCCTTTTGCATTTGGGGCCAAAAGGTCAAGGGTCAAGGTCACAGTGACTAAAACAAAAGAAATTTTGTCAGCGCGATAACTTGAGAAATACTTTACATATGAACTTCAAATTTGGTGTGTATATTGTTCTTGGTAATCCTAAGAAGCCTATTGCATTTGGGGCCGAAAGGTCAAGGGTCAAGGTCACAGTGGCTGAAACAATAGAAATTTTGTCAGCGCAATAACTTGAGAAATACTTTACATATGAACTTCAAATTTGGTTTGTGGATTGTCCTTGGCAATCCTAAGAAGCCTTTTGCATTTGGGGCCAAAAGGTCAAGGGTCAAGGTCACAGTGGCAAAAACAAAAGAAATTTTGTCAGCGTTATAACTTGAGATATACTTTACATATGAATTTCAAATTTGGTTTGTGGATTGTCCTTGGCAATCCTAAGAAGCCTATCGCATTGGGGGTCGAAAGGTCAAGGGTCAAGGTCACAGTGGCTAAAACAATAGAAATCTTGTATTTATTCTGAGATCATAGGGATTAGGGATTTATTCATATAAAACCTACAGAAGACACTAATGCTGTCAATGAACGTTCCATTTGACCAAGGTACATGTAAGTTGATGTTAGAGTGGTGTTATGTCATGGGAACAGTCACGGTTGCGGGGCATTTGTGTTTGTAAACACACCTGACTTGTTTAGATTTTGAAATACATTTTGTACAACACAGGGCCTTTTGTCATCAATGTGATATCAAAGTGGCTGATAGTGAGGTTAATTTGTTGGTTCGCCATGTGAAGTTATCTCCTCTGTGAAGGAGTGAGGTTCTGAAAAGGGCCGGTGATTAGACGCGTTCTCAACATTTAGAACCGAAATCTATAGATTTGTCCTTGCCACGTTCTACATTTAAAGGGAATGTACAACATTTGCAAACATCGAAAAATAAAACTACCAAGTGTTTACGAAATACCTTACTAGGATGTTGGTAAATGACAGTCTCAAGCATCTTGTAAAATTATGGCACTTGGTGTGAAGTCATTTTCAAGAAAATTGTATTTTTGTAAACATTTCCAACGGTGGTCGGCCGACCAGCGTTGGAAAAACCTAACTATTTTTCAACTACTGCTCCAAATTTACCATTTTTTCAGTCCAAATTTTGTTTGCTATTGGTTACATGTTCATGGTGAACGGGTGCAGGCCAGCTAGACTGGTTCCCTTGCCTTACAATTTTCCATCATCTATAAATTGATCCATTTTATCTTTTGTGGAGTCAGGGAACCAGACTACTTGAACATTTCTGTTTTTCTTAGTTTTTCCAACCTTTTCGAACACCAAACTTAAAAAATGTCAGTGTAACAATATTTGATCTATTATACTAACCTCTCAAATAGTTCATTTCTGAAACTTATAGCAAAAGCCAATGATGTACATTCCCTTTAAGCGAACGCCTACTTTTTTTAATCTGTGAGGAATGAAGATTACTTTTTCTATGATCGGTCAATAAAATCATTTTGTAATTAAAACGATTGATGAATTTTTACTAATCGGCGTATCCGTTGTAAAAAAAATTGAAATAAAAATAAAAAATCAGTTGGGCAACCAAGTGCTCAGAATTAGGGCATTTATTTTTTCAAGTTTCAGTAAAAAGTGCACAACAGTAAAAATACAATATTGTAAAGAATTGTTTTCCTAAAAAAGGAGGTCTACATCTGAAATCCAGCTTTATTAACCCAACTTTTATTACCAAACGATTTTACAGTTTGTATTCTTGGATTAAAATGAGAAGTGACTATTAAACAGAATTTTTTTTTCTTTTGTTCGTCAGGGAGAAGCTGGCGCGCGGACTGTTCTTGAGATCATCAGGGATGAATTCAGTCTTGCAATGGCACTGTCAGGTAAGCGTCAGTGCCAGATGGCAGTTGGGAATTCTAGAATTATTGTCGTAAGAACGATGTTTACATTTTTCTTCTGGTTGAGTAATTAAAAAGCTCTAGTCTTGTTTCACGTCATAATATTTTACAGGCTGTCCCAAGCTGTCTGACATTACACCGGATTTGGTCATAAGAGATCTGCGGTACTCTGCAAAGCTGTGAATACCATTAGCAAAGACTATCTGTGAGGGTCTGAGGAGTGCATCCCAAATCATGTGTTCAACTAACAAGAAAACAAATCAAGACTTTTAACTCTGAACTACTTGAACTGAGCATGTGAGGCAGCAAGTTTTCAACAACACAAACACAAACCAAGAATTCTTAGCCATATCCCTTTTTCACTCAAACACTTGATATCACTGTGGAACCCAATGTTCCAATCTGGTTTTGCAAAAACCATATAATGTTAGGAATATCAAATACAGAACTGATCAAAATTCACTGAGGGTCACATATTTGAAAATGTTATCAACCTGAAATATTTCTCATCAAAATTATAAGTAATTATCTTACTCAGAACTACCAACCAAAAGGTGGGAGAATTTAAATTAAATTTAACCAATTACAATGTACATATATATTTCTGCTTTTATTAAATTGTCGATGTCAAGGAAGAGTAAACATAAAATATCAATTAAGAGAAACGGCTGATTAGATAAGAAATTTGTGTCTTAGCAAGAGCTCTGCTCCAGAAATGAATTATGTTTAAAAACAAAACCTGCGCGTGGGTACCCTAAAAAAGTGGAATTTTAAGTTTACCTCTAAGAACAAGTGGGATTTGCCGTCGCAATGTGTACACGTACAAGATAAATTGTGGTTAGTTTTACAAATACAGTCCCCATATTCTAAAATTTCACAAACAAAACAACAGTTTATAATCAAGTTTAAAAATAATTTGTTAGACAAGTATAAGTATATAGTTATGATAAATGTGTCTTCTCCTAACTACCCTTACCATGAGGGCTTCATACAATTCAAAAATGACGAAACAATAAAGACTTAAGATGCGAAGCTGATCCTAATGGGATAATTGTTTTGCTGAAAATATCAGGAAGAACAAAAAAAAAAGAATTTTACAAGGGTAACAAAGAATCTCAATACTTTATCATCCGCTTTGCCAAATTACAACATATCCAGTGGAATAGATGGTGTATTCGATAAAAGAGTTTAGTAATTTCAAAGTACAAGTATATTTTTATATTATAAAAACCTTGCTATCTATATACGTTAATCTATAGGTTTATTGTAGTCTAATTACTTGATAGGTGATCTGTGCACAAGTCCTGCATTATTTGGTAATAAAATTGACGTGTTAATAATATTGTAGAATGATATGGCTTTATTTGTAATGTTTTCAATGTTGATTTCGCGTCATGCCACTACTTGAATAACTGGAGGTACAGTCATGTATATCAGGCCTAAATCTAAGGCCACGACTCATCGGCTGGCCGTTTGGTCCTTCGGCACAATGCAACCAAATACATTCGACAAAACGTGACCAGCCGTCCTCTTCTACTGCTCTTCTAATGCATTGTACATGTATGTAATATTCTCCTGGCATGAATATTTAGAGCTGCAGGCACAAGGTGGCCGGCAGACTTTTAACCCTCCAGCGCAGAATCTAGCCCTTTTGGGGACCCAATTTGGTTAATTACCTTAATTAAAAAAAAAATTCAAACCAATTCTGGTGATCTTCCATCTAATCCTAGCAAGAGACACCCTCTACGGATATATGCAGTCACCTTTAGTGTGTGACCCCGGGTCAGGCATATCTGAGCATGACAACCTGGGCTAAGGACCGACGCAATTTCTGCCTATCCGGGGACCCACCATATACACGCGCACAAAACAACTTCGACGCAATTTCCGCCCACCCGGGGACCCACCATATACACGTGCACAAACAAGGTCACTTGCGAGTAGACAGTGCACGGCTTGACCACAGACTATGTATACAAATACACCTCCTTAGTCTACAGACATGGCAAGATTGTGTTCATGTAGCCTTGTTCAATGCGGTCTCTCGGCTTTTTGTCGAAGGGAGATAATTGGGCCCTGCACGCACAATCAACGCGGCTACGTGCGTGTACGACCCTTGTCCGTACGAACGGCAAACACAACCAGCAAGCACACACACGTGAGTGCGGACTGTACGCATGGTGTAATAAGGCAGTAAATGTAGGCCTACTATGTTCTGCGTGTGGGTGTACGTACGTGCGTGTGGGGGATATACGCGCCGCGTGGCCTGTCGAATGATGCACATTGCAAAGGAGAACGGTTTAACAATGATATTGACAAGATGCAAGGTCAACCGTTCAAGGTACATGGTTCATATTGCAAAGAAGCAAGGTGCAACGTTGACATCAAGCATGATCAATGATGTACATTGACAAGATCGAACGTGAACATTAACAAGATGGAATATTCACATTAGGAAGGAACAACTTCCACAATGCGATATTAAGCTATATACGTGCAACGTGCATATTGCGAAGGTACAACGTCAACATTAAGAAGTTAGAAGGTTCATATTAAGAAGGTCAATATTAAAATGTCGTTCCAGGGCCACCGTACGATCGGGGTGTACAGTCTCAGTATACCTCCTTGACCACCCTGGACGTGTACTCCAGACTCTGCAGATCCTTGCTGTGATTGGGTGACAATAAAGGTGATAGGGAAGAAGCCATATCAATTAACAAATTCGGTTAACACCAGATATTTTAATACGTGAATATCTTATGATGTTGAAAAGGGTAAAAACAAAAAGGTCTCCAAAATCCCTCCAGACACTACCACTGCTCACACTTGGTGGTGCGTTGGTAATTGTTACCGAGACTGGTATGTACTCTTATGTGCCCGTTTGTTCTTGTCTCGATTTGTTTCAAAAGGACAGCCAGACTGAAAGTGGAGTTTTCATATAGATGCGATCTTGGTTGAACCGCAAATATCAAACGCTACACTAAGCTCCTCGAGTCACTGCAATTGGGAGCGCTGTGAGACTCGGTTTCTGACCTGCAGATATCGTCCACAGACTAAAGAACTCTACAAGCAAGTCTATATAAGCCTACTTTTGGTAAGCAAAAGTGAACATCTCTCCCCCATTATAAGTAGCTAAATGTCAACCAAGTCCTTCAAAAATCTCAGCTCGGTCAACATACTGCTATATGGCAAGCCTTATTCAAGGTACATGTATAATATAAAGTAAAACAGGTCGTACTTGGGAAAATATAGGCACTTACCTTGAGATCCAATCAGAGTCCCGGTCGGCAAGTTGTCCGTCCACCTCCTCCCTGACTCGAGCCTGGTGCTCAGGATACTTAGCCATCGTGTACAGTAGCCAGGTCAGGGTACTAGACGTGGTGTTGTGTCCTGCGTAGCGGAAAGTGTTGACTTCATCTATGATCTCCTGCTCCCTGAGACCGGTGCCGTCTTCATCTCGGGCAAGGAGGAGAGTATCCAAGAAATCACGTGGTGTTGTCAGTAGCTCTCAGCCTTCAGTGACCACGAATGACCCTCTTATAATTCCCTACACCCCAAGACGAACAAAGCATTGAGACCCGTAGACCTAAACTGCCCTCATCATGACCTGACAGGCTCAATAAAGGATTCTCAGTGTTACTGTGCTAACGACACAACTCATCGCATCTCGTAATTCCTTTCAACTCTGAGAAACACCACTCTAGTATTTGATATCGCAATCGAATTTCATTTTGGCACCATGTTGAGCCTAAATCGATCCAAGCCAAATCCACGCCGGAGACAGTTACAGTTTTCCAACTCAAGAACCCTTTGTTTATTCAAAGCAAATATGCCGTCAATCGTTACATAGACGTTGAAAGGTTGCTTATCAAAATTCACTTTTGTCATATAAAATAAAGTAAAAGAGGTCTATGTTTCATTTTTAGTTGCGGGTAGCAGCTCAACAAATCATCGCGTCTCTCCGTTAGTCCGTTAATGGTTACTTAGTTAGTTACTTAGTTTGTTATTTAGTTCGGTAGTTATAGTTAGTTAGTTAGTTAGTTAGTAAGTAGTAACAAAAGTTGACTTTGTCTATTGCTCCTAAGATCGGCAGATTTACAGACTAAAGCTGAGAGCTTTTGCTTTCAAATACTGGAATTATATCATAAAAATATCACTTTTGGTTCCTGTATGAGAAAATGGCAATTATGTAATAGTAGTCATTTTTCATCCTGTACACAGGACTTCAAACACTGTCAGGAATATATTTAGGCATAAAATGCAAAGAACTAGAAGTTTTTACAAGCTAAAAAATGTTCATCACTGACGACGGTGTCTAGCGCCCTCGTTTTGACCAGGATGCAAAGGTTCGTTCTGTGATGAGGACGACGACGATACACGTCGAAATGACTCCCAGGAAGAAGAAAGCCGTATCATAATTCCCGGTGACTTCGTAAAACACACCTACATACGGTGGAGAAAAGATAAATATGGTCAATAGGTCTATGCACATGGGTATATGCTCCAGGCCCGATAGGCCGCTACCAGTGCGCGCCCGTCCTCATAGAAAAAGAGCCAACTAAACTGCTGGTCGAAGAAAAAGATTGTTTTGATCATTTTGTCAACGTCATTTCACTTTCCAGTTTGTCAAAAGTTTCAACCAGTTAAAAGAACTCTCACCTGCGATCGCACCGCCACATGTCTCTCCAAGAGCGAAGAACGGCAGAGATAGCATATATCCCTTCAAGGAAAGGTCTGCTTCAGACAAGACTTCCTGGGCTACCGGCATTAAGATTATACCGATAGTCCCAAGTCCAGCCCCGTTTATTAAGGCCAGAATCGCAAGCACAGAGTAGAAATCATACGAAACCAGATCCACATAGAAAGCTATTGCGTTCATCACTGTCAGCAGAATGAACAACCTGACGGCAGTTATGTAGCCTCTATCAATAGCCGGGCCGTGAACCACTCTAACCACCAGGTTGCCTATACCGCCCGCTGTCGCCAAGAAACCAGCCCAGCTACTATCGATTCCTCGCGAGATGGCGTGTGGAATCAGGTAGATCAGCCAAGCGCTGTACACTAAGCCGTTCAGAAACCACAGAAGCAAATAAATGTTGTACATTGGCGCCAACACCACGATATCCAGAGAGAGTTTCTCAGGGATATCTTTCAGGAATGCGAAAACACGGTCACGAAATGTCAGCTGTGTCGTATTTGAAACACCAGATGGGTCCTCATCGTCTTGAACACCTCTAAGCTTTCTGTATATCGCTGAGGGCGGTCTCACCAAAGCTCCACAAGCACACACGTTGAAATTGACTGCAGCAAGAAGGGCCATCGCCCAGGGCCATCCGTATGTAGCGATCAGTAACTCCGCTAGAGGGGGTATAACCATCATACCAATCGCCGCTCCAGAAGTTAAAACGCCATTGGCTAAGGCGAACCTCGTTGGGAAATACATAAATACAGTGATGACTAACGGTGTGTAGGACAATCCAAAGCCAATGCCTGGAACAACAAAACAAAATAATGATTATCATGTTAAACCATACAAATACGCGGCCGTCGAAGTTTTTCGGCATGATTTAGGAGATCATCGCGCCATATTCTTGAAGGTCTACTTTCGTCTGAAGATGGCCCAAAAGTTAGTGATTCATTTGTTGAACTATTCATATGCCAAACGTCTAGGTCACAGGAAAACACGTATTTTTACATTTACGGAGAAAATATCTACACAAGAAAACGGTTTGTTTACATCAAATGTGGCTGCGATTTTTTTTCCCTTGCCTATATGTATTTCCAGCAGTATTTTTTAGGCTATCCGGTTCGTTAGCGTGACTTCATCTCAATTCAACCATGCGTGCTTCAAACGGTGTACGTAGCATAGCTATAGTTATAATGGAGATCAATGAGCATAGCACAAATGGAACCAGAAGTTAACGCACCTCGAGCGTTTATCCAATGGGCGCTAGTAATCAGTGGTGTGCGCGCGTGTATGACGTTTGTATTAACGAACCAGATAGCTAGATTTTGAGGACCACCAAAATCAATTCGCGCGATGATTACTAGTCTAGGGGCTAGACGTCGTTATGGTTTGAAAAGCGTTAACCAACTGCAGCAATAACCCGCCGCCGCGAGAGGGCGTCATCACGACCAACCAATATCACCCACGAACGTGGCCGTCAGAACAACGTCTAGGCCACTTCCTAAAATCTCCCCACGAAAAATGGGGGAAACTAGTGCGCATGCGCGACTTCTGCAGGCAATTGCTGTTCTTTTCAGTCCCACACATACTACACACAACAAAAGAGCTGACCAGTGAAGTTGCACAAATGTCTTGCTGCATCTTTCACATAACTATGACCAGATAACTAGACCAGATGATTACACGGAAAACATACGTTTTCTGAGTGTAATGGTGTAAAAGTTTACTCTCTCGAAAGAATTCTTTAATTGGCAGTGATCAAACAAGTTCTAAATACGTTCCATGACTTGTACAGCATCGATTCAACTCGTCAAGCTTTTTGTTACACTCTTTTTCAAGATATAACTTGCTTTTTTAGTTGGAACTTACCTAACAGCGTCATACCAACGGCAAATGGTCCAATAGATGTAGAAACAGAGCTGACCAAGAGCCCAGCAAAATTGAAGGCGCCACCGGCCACGACGAAGCAACGGCAACCGTAGTAAGTGGTTGCTTTACCGGTCAATGGCACTGCAACCAAAACATTTATGTCGATGTTGAAAAAGAAGAACTTCAGAAATAGTACATCAGACTAAGTAGGGAATCCATTTCGCCATCAATAATCTGTACTTTAAGCGAATGGGGGCCCTTGACATATTTTACTTGGTACCGACAATGAACAACAAAATCGCATTTACTGAAGCAATGTAGCATCTTTCCTGCGATCTGAAAATTGGAAGTTGTGAAAATTTGAACTTTTAAGTCATGTTGCTCCATTTGAGAAGTTTATGTTTAACTGGCTGATTTACGGGCTGATTCAGCAAAGGTGAAGCCCGCCGCGATTCAGCGCCGTGATCCGGCCCGAAATTTGGTGGACGGGTACCCCGTAGCACACGGTTATTTTTTTTCCCACTCGTGCAGAAATGAGTCCTGCTGACTTCCTTTGCCCTCGTGCGCACGGGAAGAAAGCATTTTTAAAACTTTTTATTTGTGCCCCAAAAAACACACTTAGGCCAGAAAGTAATGCCTATGGCGATTTAAGGGAGTTTACTAAAGAAAAAAAGCGATAAATCCTGGACAAATGGAGAGAGCAAGACCCGAATATTTGGACCCCTGTTCCTTTAATTGACCGCTTTCGCTTTTGCGCGATGGCCCCCATGCCCATTTATGCGCATGCGTGCACATTTCTGAATTTATAAGTAAAGAGGTCGAATACATGTAACTAAAGTTATTTTTTTGCGTATGGATCCTTAATGGGTTTCCCGACACTGAAGTAAGCTGTACTGTTGGCATTATAATTGATGTGATATCGCATGTTGCAAATAGCCGTAGATAAAGGGAAAACCCCACTGGTGACAGATGGCCTGAAATCGATAGACACACACATACTGAAATTTGTATCCTTGTGGAGACATTTCTTTGTTCTCGTGTAGTAAAATTTTAGAGTTTGAAAGTGTAGTTTCAAAAAGCTCTTATTTTAACCAGAATGAATTTCCGTGGCTGAAATTCGGACTTAATACCCCTTTGCTGAAACTCTTCCATTTGCGACGGATCAATCCACCTTGGAAATTCCTAGTTTTTGAGTAAAATCCATATATCTTTTTCGTGAAGACCTTGTGGAGACGTATTCATCTATAAAAATTGCCATGTGGAGACGTATACAATCTGTTGTTCCCTATATTGTGTGCATGATCAATGGATCTCGCAGGATCGTGTGGTATTCGTGTGTTCGTCGTGTATGAGCGCGAACTGGTCAGTTAGCTTATGGTCACAAATAATCTCCCATGTGCAATATTAGGTACATTCTCTGAGAATTTCAAAGATTATTATTATCAAACCCAAATCCACTTAATGCCATTTTTTCCACGCCCAGAAGATTGATTTTGGAGTATTTTGGGGGCCAAAATGAAGAATGTACAATTGAATACCGGTACCGATTTTACTCCAACCTGTTTGTGAGCGGGGCGTCCATTTGGAAAACAAAATGGCGAAATAAGCCCCCCAAAAGAGTCATTTAAGAACACCTGAATAGTAGCTGAAAAAAGTTGAGTTAAGAATTACGCAAATTTTGGACAAACTTTCTCTTTAAGGGGCGGGGACACCTTTCATAATTTGAGGGGGTGGGCTGAAAACAAATTACAAGAAATTACAACAATTAAAAAAACAATTCCAAATTGTATTTCGCTTTTATGCAAAGAGACACCAGCACAGGTATTCACTGGTAGATGTAGGCCTATGACCTGTGCCAAATAAACACAAGAATTTAGATTTGAATTCAGCTAGCTTGTGTATATTTCAAACCGAATCAGATGTTTTATTCTGTCTCGATAATTCAGAATCTAATTTTCAAGTACAGAAATAATGGACATCAGACAATTTTTAGTTTCAAATCGAACAAGTACTCTTGGGACATCACAGTAACGGCGCCGATGGTGTCCAGATATACCGAATGATACACATGATGTTTTAAAATAGGCCATAGCTGGAGTGACTGATTTATTAACGGCGCAATTTTAGGGGTACAAACAAGTGTGAATCCGAGGTTGTTTACAAACGTTGACAATGTAAGCTGTACTCAGTTGTCTTGTATTGTGCAAAATATAGGTCATTTTGAACCCAATCGGCAAATGGGCGTCGATCTCAAGGAATTTTATCTAGAGGGCGGGGCAGAAGTGCTGCGAGATATCATCGGCCGTGAAAAAGGGGGTCGCCTGCTCCCCTTGACCTTCTCGCCGCCCCCCCCCCTTTCACCGGCCGACGCCCACGTTGTTAATTATACATTCAATTTACAGAATAATATTGACTTCGCTCCTCCTGTCTTTCTTTTTCCGGGGGAGGGGAGGGGTTTCCCCTACCCCCTCCCTCGCAACGCCCATGCCCATTCATTGCGGATCAACAAAATGTTCCGTGTCCTTTTTCCCAGCGAAGGTCCAGTGACCAAGCATGCATTAACTTGCAGTCAATAATATAGTATGACATGGTCTATTGCAAAATTTCTTTCACTGTTTTAAATGTCAAGGAAATCTTTTCATTCATTCACTGATTTTTTTGTTTTACAGTAGGCTTGATTACGAGACCACTTACCCATTAGGTAGCAAATGGTTTGTACCATGGCGAAGACTGTACCAACGACGGTTACTGGGCAGTCCAACGATTCGTGAACAGGGGTCAGAAATATGCTGAAACTCTTGAATGTGCCAAATTCGAGAAGGGTGGCCGCAAATGTGGCCCAAACAACCACCCAGCCATAGCTTCCATCTGTGTTCATCGTATCTGAAGTTAAACAAGGAATATGTATTTATTCGTTTTGAAATAAAATTATACGAGTCGTGGAAGTGGTCATGCGTTAATCCGTAGTAAAACCCATCTCTCCGGTTCAGTACTTTCATATTCGTTTACAAAATAAATATAAAACTGCATGACCTGAATGAAGGTAAACGTAAAGGTGACATCGCCCTGAAATCGCCTAAATTTTGATGTTTTTAAGGTTGTTTACTTATCCTATTTCAAAGGTTTGGTTGAAAAGAAACTAACCTACTGTCGTACTGTTCCTGAGAAAAGACCACAAAAACCCGTTGTTTACTTCTGACGCGGTGGAAATTATGAGGCACACAACGGCATATCCAGCCGTAAATGTAAGTATTATCATCACACAGTTTATCATGGGAACCATTCTTTGAACATATCCCAACTGCGCGCTTGACACCTGTCGAGAATGGCTAATGCGCACATATGGACACCTCCGTACCGCTTACAAACTAGCACCGTATCATCAGCAAATTAGGATATTCGAAATTCCGTATCGCTTATACCTTAATACCCTGAACATTCTGATCATTACAATAACACCGTAGACAAAAATTCAGCACATTAAAGAAACGACTAAGGACTTACGCCATCATTTGCCTTTCCTCAATAACAAAGGACTCTAAAAGAAATCCATTATTCAACCAAGACTGAAGCAGAGTTCAGGTTATAAAACACATTGCATCCAATTTTTAATTGATGGTTCAAATTTATAAATTATCTAAAACCCTAAAAGTAAAATGATATCGCGTGAAACAGAATCGAAAGCCTTTTTAAAATCGACTGAAAGAAAAAAATATCGTGGATATTATTAACCTCCGTACGTGCTGTTATGTGTTAAGTAAATCGTACATCGTACGGATGTTTTCACCAATAAAACACCCAGACGTGAAACCTTTTTGGTTGTCATGGATAGGCCTATGACAACCAAAAAGGTCATGATTTGGTTGTAAGGAAGGCAAGTTTGCATCCTCTCCGCTATACAAGCGGATAATACCGTTTTTCTGTGGAACTGAAAGCTGGCCAAAATCATCAGCATAGCTCAAATAACTATAGGTTAACGACCTTTATTTCGATCGCACATTTCCTCAGAAATTACAAGTCTGTGAGCAAAATAGACTATTAATCGACATCAGCACCAATCTCATATGCTCCTAATTGAAATGTCTTGCCTCTGAAAGAATGTCATCACCTCCCGGTCAGAATACAATTGTCATCATTTACAATACGGCTAATAGACTCGTTAACATCATTACATTCTTGTTCTAGTAGATTAGGACAATATTTCGAAGGGTTTTTCCATGCTCTATTAATGTCTTGAACCTCATTAAAACGCCTTCCATTTTATTCTGACGCAAATTAACAAATTAACAAGATCAGCGACTGCATCGACATCTCCCCCATCAGAATGCGAAAATGAGATTTGGCACCGGAGATCGCGCTCGGCTTTACGGGCTTCTTTATTTTTCCAAGCAGCAAAAGAAACAGTCTTAGTACGAATTTTCAATAGAATCATTTCAAAGATAAGCTGATCGTTGAACTGAATATCTCTGGGTGAACATTGTTGAGGTTATATGAGATCGTTAGGGAGAGGCCGTATAATCTTACGCAACTTCAACAATCGTATATTTAACAATAGCCTCGGGTAGGCGGGATCGGAAAGCAAAGAATGAATTTTCCAAAAAACTGCTACCTCGTTCCATATTGGTAAAATCGAACTGGATGTTAACCCTGGTTACAGCCCGATAGTTCCAAGGTTCAATAGTCCGAAGGTTCTTTAGTCCGAAGGTTCGTTAGTCCGAAGGTGCGTTAGACCGAAGGTTCGTTAGTCCGAAGGTTCAATAGTCCGAAGGTTCGATAATCCGAAGGTTCGATAGTCCGAATAGACGATAGGGTTCGATAGTCCGAATCAACAATAAGGTTCGATAGTTCGAATTGAGAATAAGGTTCGATAGTCCGAATTGACAATAAGGTTCGATAGTCCGAATTGAGAATAAGGTTCGATAGTCCGAATATACGGTAGGGTTCGATAGTCCGAATTGACAATAGGGTTCGATAGTCCGAATTGAGAATAAGGTTCGATAGTCCGAATGGGCAATACGGTTCGTCAGTATAACACTTCGGACTATCGGACCTTATTGTCGATTGGGACTATCGGACCTTATAGTCTTTTTCGGACTATCGAACCTTTTTGTCAATTCGGAATAATGAACCTTCGGACTATTGAACCTTATTTTCGTTTCGGACTATTGAACCTTCGGACTGATTAACCTTATTCTAAATTCGGACTATCGGACCTTCGGATAAATAAACCTTCGGACTAATGAACCTTCGGATTAATGAACCTTGGGACTATTGCATCAAATGTTCGGATTCTCGAACCTTATTTCAGTTTCGGACTAAGAACCCTCTCTTATGGAAATTGTGTGCATTCGGACTATCGAACCTTCGGACTACATAACCTTCGGACTATTGGACCTTCGGACTATCGGGCGGCCCCCGTTAACCCTAATCCCCTAAAGGCTCTTTGGGGGTCAAGGACCAAATACTACAGAATACTACATGTGTTGTGCACACTTGTATGGAAAGAAATGCATACTACAGGTTACTACCGGTACTCAGTAGTATTTTGTAGCATATGGGCGGTTAGGGATGATCAGACCTATAACCGGGCCAAACATCGCAACTATAACTAGCGTAGAATTAAAGTTCAGCCGAAATACGTTTAAAAATCATATCTAGGTTGTTTTAGATCATGTTTTCTCCGGATGTATCAACGGAGATCAGGGTTATGAATTCTCCACAAATCATTACATAAGTGAATCACCCTGACTCTAGACAAAGGGTTATTAACGTGCAATGAATTCACACAATCTTAATAATGTCTCTAATGGGGCCCACTCTGATTATTAAAAAAAACACCATGGCAATATGGGAGAAAACAGGTGAATGCAAAATTTAGTCGTAGGAGACAAGATCAACTTCAAGGGCAAGGTAATCTCCCGATTAAACTGAGTCCCATAGTTTGGCTCAAATACTGGATTTCCTCCGTATTCAGAGCCGCACGGGTGGTCCTACACTATTTGTGGGCAAAATTGATTTTGAGGAAATCAAAAACGGGACTGTTTTTTTTCACTTCATATTCACCTCGGAAGATATTTATCTGGTTAATAGAGCCTCAAAGCAAGCCATTGGGTCATTAAGCTTATAGGCATTTCACACCGAGTTGCCCTTTCTCCCTTTATAATTTTGGACACAATGCTTTCTAATCACCCCAAGAAACATTCATGTTGGAATTTTATCTTGGCATTCCACACACAAAAAATGATGAGAAATCAGTTGGAGATGGTACCTTGTTCGTTTGACCAAAATGCTCTGGGCTGCCGTACTAATGGGTACAAACGAATTTTACTTACGACCTTCACATCCGGCATTTATACCTAGGTGTCCTTGTTCGATCACGTTTGTTTTCACATCGCGTAGGCCTACTGGCAAGAGAACGAAAATGATAACGACGCGAAGATTTTCCGATGGGTTCTACCTACATCCGATGGGTTGCTTGAATACAGTTCTTATCAACGGTCATTTTAACTTTGTTTGTAAATGATAATAAGTCCTTTAAGTTCATTCAAAAAATGTGTATGTCCCAAAAGACATTTTAGTCTCCTATCTAAGTTTCAGTTTTTTACCCAATGACCGCCACAAAATTATTTCATAAATTTTCATCTTTGTACGAGTTCACCGAGTTCCACTAGTCCATATGTAATTTAGATTTCCGGAAGTGAGAGGTCAATTTTGGGCACGATATTTTCAAGTCGTGCGCTTTTTCAGTTTCCATAAATTGAGATAATATACAATTTTACAAAGGCCTTTTTCGAGGGTAATCTTCTTACAACATCAATGTACCAAAAATAACTGAAAAATGTTCAGACTTTTACACGTTAATATTCCTATTCGAGGGGTCCGGAAGCGCCACGGGGGTAAACTTTCAGTCTCTATAAAAATAAAAAGGTCAAGTGTATGTGACCTGTGACGAGAAAATCACTGCAATTTTGTTCAGTTGACAAACAAACTAACTGCAAATTTTGCCTAAAAATCGTCACCGACACCACGAACTGACACCCTCTGCATTACATGTGTACAAAAAAAATTAAAATTCAAATTTTCTTTTTTTGCACATATTAGCAGTTTGTATCATGAAGTTTAACATGACGAGGTTAAAATTGCTAAAATCATCTAAAATAAGCGAATTTTACTAATGAATTTTCAAGAAATTTGTCAATTCTGGTATTTTTGGTTACCACGAAGTGACACTGCACAGGGTGTCAGTTCGTGAAAACCAAAATGTACGTGTTTTCGGAGACTGCGCGCATGCATGCGCAGTGTGTGCGCGCACTCTCCCAAAACGGGTCAATTTTGGTTTTCACGAACTGACACTCATTAACGCTATTGCATGCGCGCACTCTCCGAAAACACGTAAATTTTGGTTTTCACGAACTGACACCCATCTTAATCATTTAATTGCTAATTAACTAAGCAGATTTTTACAATATAACGTTTATAATTGTGTAGTGAAAGCATTTTTACGTTGAGTGATACTAAAACCTCTAAGGTAAATGGAATATTTTACTGAGTAAATTCGTGTCAAACCTTTAAAAGCGTTTTTCTCCGATTTGTATTTCTGCAACGCTGACCACCGGGTGTCAGTTCGTGGTGTCGGTGACGAAATAACAGCCATAACTAAACACCTAAAGAAACAGAAGTCATGCATTTGCGCTTTATTTAGCGGTGATGTGAACGAACGACTCATCTTGGTATTATAGGCCTTTACTTCGGTCTTTGAAAAATAAGTTTAGACGTGGTATTCTGATATTGACCAAATGAACACTTACCAGTGAGCAACTTGTCCAGAAACTCAGATTGAATGATCCAAGAGTCAACACCATACGAGCTGTCGGCGGGCTGTATGTGTGTGCACTCAGTCGAACACTTACGGTTAAACTTCACTGGAATACTCCTTCAGCAAACTACTACTCCAATAATACGAATATTCCCCCTTTGATCATTAAAGACCTTCATATGGTTATTCTTTATTGGAAGTTAGTGACCCGTGTAAAGTACCATGCTGCGTGACAATGCAGCCTAGCATTACAGGGTGAGTAAAAAAAAAACCGAAACCAAAATGTCGGGACCATTTTTTTAGTGAAGTTATGCATGTAGCTAGCACTTTCAAAATCTAGGATATGAAAGCCCAATTCATAAGCTTTCTTTGAGTACAAGAATCATTCAGATGACGTAATACTTTTCAAGTTACGGAATTTTAAACACAACCACCGTTTTAAGGTTCTGTCCACGGATCACAAAAAAAGTTCAGTGTTTTTTCAGCAAAACGAAAACAAATCACGGGATGTGTGTGAATTGTTTTCGTTTTGATGAAAGAACGCAATTGTTTCCGTTTTGATGTGATCCCTGGACAGAACTAAAACTCTATAACTTGGAAAAGTACATGAGTGATTTGAATGATTCTTAAACTAAAAGAAAGCTTATGAAATGGGCTTTTATATCCTAGATTTTGAAAGTGCTACACATGCAGAACTTCACTCGCCCTGTATTGTACTACATGGGGGTGGACCGGTTGTTCGCAAACTCGAAGTTCAACGTCCGTCCACGTTTGGGTCCGCATGCGCATGTTCTTTGCCCCCCCCCCCCCCCCCCCCCCTCAAAACTGTCCGCTGCTGCATGCTGACTATTGTAAACTCAAAGCGTTGCCGCGATTTGCCGGTAGTCCATATGTCAGTGTTGTTAGTTGTCCAGGGGCCTGCGTGTTCGGATGGTATACTCACGAGTTTTGCATCGCGGTGGACGTAGAGGGCGACTGATGATAAATCAGTCGCGATTCTGACGGAGCTTATTAGAATGAGGTATGGGAGTGGAGCTGGTATTCGCACGCCATGGTATTGTAAGTATGGAAGAAACAAAATGTCCTTGCCCCGCCCACCACCCCCCCCCCCCCCCTTCCCCCAAAAAATTACAGCTTGGATGGACTCGGGTTTCTACTTTCGAATCGTTACTATACCCATGCCGGAGATACGGTAGAATCCGGAGCCGGAAAAGAATACCGCGATGCAAATCATACTCTCAACAAAATGTCTGAAAAGAGCTGTGCGGATGATCCTTAAATTTATTTTCTATACCTGCTTTAGCAAATGTGTTTAATAAACCTAAGTGGCTTTCGTTTTTTTTTTGAAGAGTACAGTATAAAAATGGTTATTCTTGTTTCCAATAAGTTTTGTTTGAACACACTGCACTGCTATCCTGCTTCGCTATCCATGTCATACCCTGGGTAAATCATAAATTTAAAAATACATTTTTTTATTCCGTGAGAGAGCGAAAATTATTAATTAAAGACAGGAAAGAAAGATGGCAAAGACGACCAGCCTATCCAGTAGCGCAACCAGGGGAGAGTGCCCGATTTGATAAAGAAAATTGGGACGCTTAAGGAAAAAATATTCGGATGGTGAAAATGGGTAACGGGAGAAATGTTCTATTTTGCACTGACGCAATATTTTCTAATGTTTGCCATTTTTCACGAGCAACTCTCTGTTTTTATTTCCACAAATACCTTTTCCAGTTTGCTTTGCGCGAATGTCTGCAATTTTGCCGCCTTGAAGAGTGCCATCTTTTCAAGGGCGGATCCAGAACACAATTTTGGGGGCCAAAAAAAAAAGAAATTTTGGTCCCCCAAAAGTGTGTCAAACAAATTACGGCGTGGTGTTCGGGGCCCACTTAAAGGCCCCGAAATTATTTTTGGATTCTAGATGCTCTGTGGTGCGATCTAAGGCAATTTCTGACCACTTTAATCAATGGGTTTTTTTGTTGAGGAAAAGATGGTGCTGTAATCATTGCCTGCCTTTATTGCGAAGTCACTTTAAAAAAAAAGAATTGGATTCGTGTGTTTTTTTTGGGGGGGGGGGGCGCCATGGACCCCCTGGATCCGCCCTTGCACCTATTGCCCACAAGTTTCCGGTTTGAACAGCGCCCCCATAGGCAGAAGGTGTGTTCCCCCCCCCCCCCCCCCCCCCGTCAAAACCTGTCTACCTTTCATCACGGATGTCCATTGAGTTCCCTTTTTAGGTCTACCCCGAATCATGATGACTTTGCCATACGCAGTTGCAAGTGGCAAACACAAAAATGGTTACGCGCCTGAGCCTATCGGAAAAGACAAGTGAATGCAGACAGATTTTGTTAAGTTAGATTTTCCTTAATCATCAGGAAAGGCAGCGGCAGGCAGGCTGATCACAAACTTACACCAGCTTTTCTCAAACACAAGTACATATAAACAAAGCTTTTTTATAAAACATGTTTTATTGAAGAAAGTGGATAAAATATATAAAATGCTCCATAACGGGAAAATGTTTCCAAACGTCCCGAATCAATCCCCGTTGCAATCAACAAATGATACTATTGGTATTTGTTTTAAGTAGGCCTATTCAAAAATTCAAGATTCAAGATGCAAAAGGTTTAGGCCAAATGAAAAAAAAATTCAGAGTCCTGCCTTTTTTTTTTAAACAAAAAGGAAGGAGGAGGCCCTTTTTTTCTTCTTTTTGTTTCAAAAACGACCGGCCGGGCTATTTTTCAAGATGGCCGCCAGCTGGTTTTTTTTAATGGCCGCCACTTGGACTCAGGAAATGACATAACAGCTTTATATGGGCTAGATGCAACAGACAAAGAGGCAAAAATGATTGTCACTGTTTAAAATGTATCATTTTTTCGTTTTTTTATTTTTTTTTATTTTTAAAGGAGGCGGCCTCCAAAAAGGAAGCGGGCGGGGACGCTAAACATGTTTTTTTTTTATTTGGCCTTATTCGACACGTGAAAAATTACATGAGACATGCTCCCATATGTGCGATCAGTCAACATTACATGTAGTAGGCCTATCCATAAACATTTATATTTAAGTCACTAAAACATAAGAGACATTAAAATTCAAATTAAGCTAAAACACACCATATATAAAACCAGGCTTAGAGCCACGTAGCATCATTTGCAATAACCTAAATAGTACAGAAACCTTGCTAAAAGACAAAACCAACACTGTTACCCTGCATCGTTCCGCCTGAAACAATTATCTTCTGGAAGAAAACTATACACTGAAGGTGGTTTCAAAATGGCGTGCCTGAGAGCAGTTGCTTTTACGGGGCAGACCAGTAAATCGACTCCCATAGACCTCAGTTTCACTTTCTGTTCACGTTTTGGGTGGTACCACCCACGACTTTTGGAGAAAGTTCCATCCAAAAACGATCACTCCTGAAAGTACTCATGTGGCCTATCGCCATTTTGAAAAATGATGCCTGCGCTCCTAAAGCAATTTTAGGGCCCAATTTCATCCGAATTTCACAGAAATACAAGTTCGCAGTCATGTGCACGGCTTCCACCCTTCTTTTTTTTTTTTTTACAAACTTCAAAGTTCATGGCTCACACAATGCCCTATAGCACCAAAAAATGAGTGCCTACACATACACATTTGGCCCACGTAGGCAATTTTAAGCCTAATTACCGGTGTGCCATAGACATTATAATCATAGACATATTCTATGCGGTGTTGCACCCTTGGCCTTACGGGCTAGTTGAATAGCGCCCTCTAAAGACGGTAACAAGGACCGCGCCGTGTTGGAGGATGTACAAATTTAGTGTTAACTCGAATCTGAATAGCTCCAGCGTGGCCATCCTTGGGATTTATCCAAGATCTTGGGAATTTGAGCAATTTGAGCTGGCATGTTCAATTTGATGGGTGGCCATGCTGAATAGCTCCATGCTGCGCTCAGTATTGGATTTGAGACCCATGTAGGCATAATACTCCTTAAACATAAACACCAGCATACTTTTTTTTTACTTAAGCAGGTAGTTAGCAACGGAATCCACTTATGAGACCCGAAAAATAGTGCATACGTTTTCTCCTTATTTTCTCAAAATGTATAGGTCTATCAAAAAAGTATCATGAGTATAGGGCACTGAGCTGAAACGTCAAAAAGTTACTTAGGCCTACACGTAGGCCTATAATGCCCCCTTCTTAAGATTTGGACACATTTGTAATTGTTGCTTCAAAAGAATCAACATTAAAAGGCTAATCATCCTACTACCTTTAAATGAAAACAAACTACATTTTTAATGCAATGATGTACATCTTCGACAACGTCTTCCGTTGAAATTCTGATATAGATGTATTGATCACTCTTAATTTCCTTTGTCCGTTGGTCTACTAAAAACAAAGACCTCCCTTTTCGGATTTTCTCTGCTAACGATATCGACAAAAACCTATACTTGGAAGGATGAAACTCAATTCAGTGGCGGATCCACGGTGTGGGTTTAGGGGGTTCAACACCCGCTTGGGACGCCGACAAAAGGAAAATAACAGGAGAAACAATACCAGGCGCATGTTAAAGCCCTCTCTTGACAGGCACCCCCCCCCCCCCACCATGAGCCCAACCTGGATCCGCCCCTGAACTGTACTCTGAACTCCATTTATCCTGCAAAAAGATTTGGTAACTTTTACTCGCTAAACGGGTGAAGATGAATGTCCGTACGCATATACACAACATTTAAAACTAGTCACTTTTCCTATTCGAGAACCATTTGTTTTTGCAATTTGACATTGGAAAGCTCATAACGAATTTTCTTCTTCTTTAATTGCATTCTGGGTTCAAGTGTTTAACGGGTTTTACCCTTCCCATAACCGTGCCTCAATACTGATTTCCCAAACAAAATACTACAGAAAATTGCTAATTTAAATACAACTTTAATTTTAAAATTAAAAAAACCCACATGCTTTAATATATTATAACAAAAAGCTTGAGTGACTTTCCAATTAAAAGAAAATTTGTATAAAAAAAAGAAGATTGAAATGAATTTAAAGAGTTTTTCATCGTTGGTACAAGTCTTTGTCTCTTGTTTTCTTTTCTTCTTTTTTTTTTGTTGGGGGGGGGGGGGGGGGGGAGGCGCCACGGATCCAGCCACCAAGGTGAGTGCAAGTCACTTTTTTATTAAACATGACTGTAATTGCTTACTTAACATAGGCGTAGCCAGCAGGGGAGGGGGGGTGGGGTTTGGGGGGTATTTACCCCCCAATATGTTGTAAAGACGCCTTTTTCCATTCAAATGCCCTTTTTTCAACGGGCTTAACCCCCCCCCCCCCCAATAATTTGTAAAGAGTGCCCTTTTTTTTACGAAGTGCCCTTTTTTTCTAAACAAGTGCCCTTTTCAAAAAAGAAGTGGTGCCCTTTTTGATTGCATCTGTGGGCGCCTTTTCAGAATTTTGCACATGTATCGCCCTGAAAAGCACCATATATTGGCCCTTTGTGTGCATAATTGTCGGTTTTGAACAGCGCCCCCATCGACAGATGGTATCAGCCCCCCCCCCCCCCCCCCCCCCCCCCCCCCCCCCCACGCTTTTTGATTTCACGGAGGCCAAGTGTCCGGAGAAAAAAAAACCTGTCTACATTTCACAACGGATGTGCAAGTGCCCTTTTCAAAAAAATTTACCTCCCCCCAATAAAAATGACCGTGCTACGCCCCTGCTTAACTTAACTTAACTTCCAATTCCAAATAGGAAAATGAACAAAATATATACAGAGAGTATGGATAACATTGTAAATAATGCAGTGGAAAAGAAAAAATAATTAGAAAAGACAATAAAGTTTGGAAATGGAGGGGTCCAAAACACTTGAAGTTGTGCAAGCAGACATCTTTAAGTATCTTACATCAGCATTTCATAAGGCCAAACAAAAAGTCTCCGGTTTCTGGTATGGAGCTTGCCCAAAAAGTGGTGCGGCGACGCGGCTTTTTTTTTGTTTTTACCTGATTTTTTTGCTTCAAATGTCGGCTGATGACTGCAAATGGTGCCCGACTAAACTTAGCGCAAATATATGGAAGTCCAGAGAGGCCACATAAAGCTTATTCTCGACCATAACCCAATCTAAAAGCACGTTAAAATTGTGCAGCAGCAGGATTCCAGTCAAAGCAGTGAGTTTGGCGGTTTTGAGACATCATCTTTCATTGAAAAAAAACACTTTTTCATTTTGCCGACGCGCATGGCTACGGCGACGCGCGCGCATACCAGAAACCGGAGACTTTTTTTTTTGGCCTAACGATGGAGTATATTGTTTGAACCCTTGTGTATAATCGCAGCGAACATTTGATGAAAATCCATTCATGCAAACCAGAGATACAATAGATTATAAAGGGCAGTGTGTTTTTCACCCGTTCCAATGTGATACAGTTAATGAAAAGACCCATTGAAGAGTACTGGTTGAGCGATTGCAATGGTTGAAAAACTCATTATCCTTTTATAATCTGTTACAGCTCTGGTTTGCATGAATGGCTTTCCATGACATTTTCATTGATCATACACAAGAGTATAATCAATATGCTCCCTCAAAATGAAATATTTCATGTTGGGTACTTTTTGAGAAATGTAACGATATCTGCTTGCACAACTTTTTTGGTTACCCTGCAATTGCACGCCAGGAGCTAGAGCTATACTTGTGAATTGGCACCTTTGCCAGCAATCCTGCAGCAGAGGCGTGTATTGGTTCGATGTAAGGGCCTTGTTTGTTTAGAGTGTATTATTTATTCAACGTATACTTTTGATGTCTATTTTTTAATAGTCGTATTTGTGAAGCCCCCCCCCCCCCCACTCCAAATTAAATCCTGCGAAAAATTATGAAATAAAACTTCAGGCGACATTTTCAAAACTGAGTTCTCCCCGTTCACCGAATCCTCCTCCTCTAGTATTGGCTGTGGCTCGACAACTACAGCTTCGTTTGAGAACTCCAGCGTGACGGAGACTCGTCCGTTGGTGGCCCTCTGCCCTCCCCCGGCTTCTTGCAGCGCTTTCAGCACGGACAGTCCCAGTTCCTCCGGGTCTGCTGCCAGTCGCTTCCTGGACTCGATGCCCGTATCCACGATCAGGACGGCGAACCGGTAGAGCTGCATAATCACCAGGAGCAGGTTCTTCAGCTGTGTGTAGAGCAGTAAACGTGGATTGGAAGTTAATGAGTGTAAAGACCATTATCATGTTGGAAGTTAATGAGTGTATAGAACATTATCATGTTGCAGCCATTTGATTTTTCCCCCCATACAAATCAATGTAACCAAATCGAGGCTGGAAGGAAAAATCGTCTGGTTCCTTTTTGCGCAAAAACATTATCATTCAGTACTCTTATTGGATACAGGGAGCATGACTAACATGGTGGCAGGATGATAAAGGTATTTATAAGATGGAATTTTGCGTCAGGGTGATGTAAATTAAATTAGGTTTTGCCCTTCACCGACGTATAAACACTGTACACTCAGTGTGTAATACCTCCTGAGTGAAAGTTGGAAGAAAATCACTCCAAAATTTTACGAAATACCTAACTAGGATGTTGGTATTAAATGAAAGTCTAAAGCATCCTGCAAAATTATGGCACCTGGTGTGAAGTCATTTTCAAGAAAAGTGGTATTTTGTATAAATTTCCAACGGTGGTCGGCCGACCACCGTTGGAAAAATCTAACTATTTTTCAACTACTGCTCCACAGTCACCATATTTTTTCAGTCCAAATTTTGTTTGCTATTGGTTACATGTTCATGAACGGGTGCAGGCCAGCTAGATTGGTTTCCTTACCTTACAATTTTTCGGCATCTATAAATGGATTCATTTCATTTTAGTGGAGTCAGGGAACCAGACTACTCGAACGTGTTTTGTTTTTCTTGGTTTTTCCAGCATTTTCGAACACAAACCTTCTAACTTGTCAGTGTAACAATATTTGATCTATTATACTATTCCCTCAAATAGTTCATTTCTGAAATTTAAAGCAAAAGTCAATGATGTACATTCCCTTTAAGAAAAGAGTGGAAGGGGCGTGGCCGCCGACCCCTCCATGTGCATTTTCGACAATGGATTTCCAACAGGTTACGAAAAGGTCGCGAAAAGGTCTCAGTGAAATTTTGACTCCAAAAAAATGTACCTCAAACATATGGATTCTGTCATTTAACAACTTGAGAAACGATGATGACTTATTTTGTCTCTGAAAATTAATATAATAAGAGGTCTCAAAAGGTCTCGATTACAACACGTCGATATTATCGTATTAAACTTTTTACACTACGTCACCGACACCACGAAGTAGCACTCCAAGTGTTCATCCGTATTTTTTTCGGTTTTCAGTAATTACATTTTTAAACATCAAGCCCGACATTTCATGAAGTTTCAAAGCTTCAAGAGCTTAATTTAATAATTACGCTTATTATCCATGGCAACATTTGCGCGAAAGTGACAATTTTTGTTTTCACGAAGTAGCACTCAAGTTTCATTTACCATTGTAATGCATGGCGCGCACTTTGCTCTAAAGTGAGCAAAAACGTTTTCACGAAGTAACACTCTCCTTCTTTAAGCGCACGCACGCTGACCTCCGTTTTCGCGAAGTAGCACTCATGTAGTGTTGTAATACACTGAAGCATACGACTTCGCGAAAACAAATATGTATAGCTTCGCAGCGTTTTTGGTTTCACGAACTAGCACTCACCCTTTTTACTCTTTTTTTCTCGTTTATTTAATATGCAAACGGGTCAAAACAGCAAATTAAATAAATTCAATATATACATACGTATAATACATACATATTGATAAATTATATACATATAATACATAGTGTCCACAACGAGAAACCCAACTGATTAAGCCTCTGCAGTTTTGATGGAAAGTGTTGTTCTAGAAAGCGTTCAACTTTAGATACCGTTTTCTCCGATTGCTAGTTTTTACTGGTACATGTATATACATGAGTGCTACTTCGAGGTGTCACTGACGATAGTCTCTTAATCAATCTCTAGTCGGGGATCTGTGGGTGGGGAGTGGTGGTGGGGTGGTGGCGGGGGACCCTTTTCCGTTTGACATTTAATAATAGACCCTTTGCATGTGACGTCACATTAGGGTCAGATCTTTCTTACTCTGTGAACTTGACGCATGATACGCTGAGCCACACTGTACATTTATTGTCAATAAATTGTATCAATTCATTGGCAATTAGCAAAATCTAATTTTAGGATTGTTTACTAGTAGTCAGGTGGCTTAGATCTAATTTTCGTCAAGATCGTGACCGACTGGTCCAAAGCACCAAACTTGGCAGATAGATTCTTATAGACCTAGAGAAGATATTTAGAAGGAGTGACACCCGAAATTCTTTTGGGAAGGGTGCCTAATTTGCATAAATCGTTAATCCCTGCCGTGTAATATATTTATTCCCATATTTGGGTATATTTTAATTTTTTTATTTTTTTGAAAAGTGTATTTTGGGGATTCTACTTACATATCTTTACTTAAATAACATTTTCCAAAGCATATAAGTGACTGAATAATTATGAGGACATAGTAACGATCCAAAATGGCTACTATTATGCCCTAAATTGCGTGCATTTACCTTGTCCCCAGATATCATCAATTAGTCTTGCCAAACATCAGCATTGATGAACTTCAAATTCACCACGTAGCTTACTGGTACAGTTACCCTATTGAAACCTTATGCAAAATCATGTGAACAATGAGAACATTGTGATATTTAGCACAGAAAACAAAAACGGGGGAAAAAACGAGGTGTCCATAAATTGGGCTAACAAGTAAGGTGAAGGGTTGCCTAACATGGAAGACTGAACAAGTTCAAGGAAATTCCCAAAATTATTGTTGAGAAAATGTTTTGGCGTAGACAAAATTATTGTAAACAACAATAATCTCTTATTTGGGGGGATTTTGTTGAACTTGTTCAAGTCCCCACGTTACCCTTCCGTAGTAGCCCAATTTACGGACACCACATTTTCTCCCCTTTTGGTCTTTTGGGCCAAACATCAAGATGATATCAATTTTCACATGATTTCCCACTTATTTTTGTTAGGTTAACTATGTCAGTAAGTACTTTTGTGAATTTGAAGCTCATCAATACCCACGTTTGGGGAGACTAGTTGATGATATCTGAGGAAAAGGTAAATGCGCGTAACTTTAGGGTAAAATAGTAGCAATTTTGGTGATTTACTATGTCCTCGTAATTATTAAGTCACTTATGCTTTAGAAAATGTTATTGAAGTAAGAATATGCAAGTAGAATCACCAAAATACACTTTTCAAAAAAATAAAAAAATAAAAATATACCCAAATATGGGAAAAAATATATTACACGGCAGGGATTAACGATTTATGCAAATTAGGCACCCTTCCCAAAAGAATTTCAGGTGTCACCCCTTCTAAATATCATCTCTAGGTCTATAAGAATCTATCTGCCAAGTTTGGTGCTTTGGACCAGTCGGTCACGATTCCGACCATATGCCACCTGACTATAGCCATAGGCCTAATATCAAACGGTTGACATAATACATTGTCTATTTAAAAAGCAGTTCCCATGCCGACTAGTTCGAAGAATTGTTAGATGCAATCTTTAAGACAAGGAACATAATGTGACTGGGAAAAAGCAAGAACTCCAACACCTCTCGATATTTTGAGGACCAAATTTTGCGCTCTGAAATTCTTTCGCGCGACAATAATACAACCACTGCAAATCTTCAACTGTAGGAGTTGTGTGCGCTTTTCTATTGTAGTTTGAATGATATATACAACTTTCCATTTCGTAGGAAACACGTTTCACGTCCTAATTCCAAGACGTCACATTCATCAATCTTTTTGAAACATATTGTTATTTTTATCGGATTTAAAAGAGGGTACTCATCTTGCCACTTACCGCAAAGAAGATGAGAATGGTGTCAGTGATTCTGTACTCGATGATGAGGTAGGTCCGGATGACCAGGTAAGGCCCATCTTGCAGGATCACGTCCACCAGGAGTGCCCAGATCTCGGACCCGCAAAGGTATGTGACGCAGTTGACTGGCGGCCCGCCAGCCTGCCGATCCACCACGCTGCTGATCAGCCGACGGGATCTCTGCTTGGCCACGGTCTGGCCAAACGAGAACTGGATTAGGGACCAGGACCACACGGCCAGGATGGCTTTGTAGATGAGCTTTTCACAGGCGATCTCGGACAGGCGTAAGGTCTCGATAGAGAACTCCAACATGTCGGCTGCCATGGCCACGTAGATCAAGAGCAGCTGAGACAACTCGTCTCGTGTCATGCCGCCTTTTGGCAACAACCATCGGCCCAGGATCAGTATCAGCATGAAGGACTGCTGAAATAGTGTGGAGAAGGTCTGGCCGAAGTTGTATTTATCCTGCAAATAACAGGTAATTGTTACCGATAATCAAAGCCTACGATTATTTATTTTAGAAAAGTGCGAACACTTAGTGTATTAAATACCATGTGTGCTGTCAAATTTCATCACATTACACATCGATTTTTGCAGTGTCGAATACAAATGGTTTTGCAGCCATTATCGTAAGACACATAACAACATTTTACATCAGTAAAAGTGGACACCATAAATTGTTGGGGGGGGGTGGGGAAACATTTTAAAATCTCAAAAATGGTGAGACTCCTGCTGTGGAAAATGTTGTGTTTCGGAGTCTGCGGACCTTTGGATTCAGTTTAATCAACCGTGAATGATTTGACTCTATACTGGGGCCATTTTTCATTTCTGTTTTATTTCAAACAATTTATTTAATCAAAGTATTTCCCAATTAACTTAAGTTTTAAACGAGGTGAACATTATGCATTGAGGCTTGAGCAATATAGAGCGACTTCCTTAACCTACAGACGCCACAACAGCCGATCTATCGACAAAGTTGTTCCCTTTTAAAATTCGTACTTTTTAACAGCAGTCTAAATCGAATACAAGTTTCTCGTGGTAAGGCCAAATAAACAAAAAATGTTTTGTGGCCTGTCTTTTTGAAAAAAGGAAAGGAAGGCTCTTTTTTTCCCCTCCCAAATGGCCGCCCGACCGGGCTTTTTTTTCCAAGATAGCCGCCAGGTTTGTTTTTTAAATGGTTGCCATTGGACTCGGGAAATGACATACCAGATTTATATGGGCTAGATGCAATAGACAAAGAGGCCAAAATGATGTCACTGTTATTTATCATTTTTATCGGTTTAAAAGAAAAAAAAAAGGAGGCGGCCTTAAAAAAGCAAGCGGGCGGGGACGCTTAACACGTTTTTTGTTAACCTAACATGTTATTTCAATGTATCGTAATAATATTTGACTATCAATTAATGGAACATATTTCAGGCATAAGAATGAATTTCAATAAAGAAAAACAGGAAACTTGTGGACAAACTCAGGAAAAAAAGATGTGAAATCGGACCAAAAAGCGTGACAGGCTCAAAATAAATAAAAACGTGGAAATTTGGGGAAAAACACAGGAATTCCTGTTTAAACAGGAAGATTCTCATGCCTGATAATAATTTTTATAGGCAGATTTTCGGGGTACAAACGGTCGTCAATCCAAGGTTTTACATGCCTTTTGATGTTTATTACAATAATTTTTTCTTACCGCAGTACCCGGAGAGTGACATTGTTAAAGCGCCTTGCTCCCCCTCCCGGCTAAAAAAAATAGGAAGATGACATGACTGGTATACGTACCAGTTGTTTCTGAGTCACCCCGCCCACGGCATCCTCAAAGACGTGTTTACAGTGTTCATCAACTGTGTCCAGAATGATAAACCGGCTTGGGCAACTGCCGCTGCCGGTCACATTCAGAGCCACACGGAAATCCAGCAGGCCGAGTTCCGTTATCCAGACTACCGGCACGACTAGGACTAAGTACAGCAACACTGCTGGGATGAACCTGCATGGGCAGAGATTAGAAGATGGGCAGTATTAATATACCGTGAGTCCTGTTCTGAACAATTTGAAAGGGAAATCAAGTGTGATGAAATTGTGGTGTTGACCAATCATTCATGGGTCGGACTATAATAGGATAGAATTCCGGATCCGTGTGTGCTTCATAATAGGCTTCTGTGATATCGGGGTTCCCGGCCCACCACACTTCCTTCCCCATCCTTCCATGTAACCCGAAGGTACGTCCAGTACCAGAAACGGAGGAAACCAGGTGGTTCTGAAGCCTTAGCTGCCGAGTCAATTAAACGCACCCGAACAGCCACGAAGATGCTTCCGTGTAGCCTAGCTAGGCCTATACGACAGCACGAGGACAGTCCAACAATACTGACCTATATGAAGACTTTGCCCGCACTGTAACTCGATCAATTTCACCATAAAGATGCAAAATCAAATTCTATTTTCAAAATCAAAATCTATTTTCTGACAGGGTGACGAAATTTCAAAAAACTGAATTCAAGAATCATGGTTCCAAGACTGTTTTAAGGCAAGAGTCCTATATGAAGACTTTGCCCGCACTGTAACTCGATCAATTTCACCATAAAGATGCAAAATCAAATTCTATTTTCAAAATCAAAGTCTATTTTCTGTATAGGGTGACGAAATTTCAAAAAACTGAATTCAAGAATCATGGTTCCAAGACTGTTTTAAGGCAAGAGTTCATTAATACATAGGCCTATTTATTATAAAAAGTGTTGGTTGTGTGATTGAGAAATCTTACCACCGCCATTCACCCTTCTCGTTGTATCGTAGAGTTGTCACCAGTTCCAACATGAAGAGTAAGATTCCCAGAGCCATGACAAAGTAGAGCGGACTCTGAGTGAAGTAGACGAGGATGCCGATCCCAGCCAGACCGTGGAAGAGAAAGGCTACCCGCACCAGGCTAGCCTGAACAGCCTTGCGAAGGATCATGACTGCCTCGTATCGTGAGTACAGCCTGTTAGTTTGAACTATTGCCGTAAAATACTCTCACTGGTTTCGTTGCAAACAGGTTTCATAGCATGACGTTCACTCCTTTTTTTCGCGCAGTTGTCATTCTTTATAGGATTATCATTATTGTGTTGTGCAAGCATTTGTGGGCAACCATGGGTCACTTCACTTGACCGTGGGCTTGTCCCAGAAATAATGCCGCATAGTGGCTGGTCGGTCCTGCAGTGTGCTAAAGTTGGCAATCTGACGTCTCCTTTTGATGTATAAAAAAAAACTTGTTTGGTCAAACAGGGCAAAACCTAAAGTTCCGGAGTCTGAAAGAGAGATTAAATGGAATCCGAGGACTATTTCTGTGGCTGTTTCTTAAAACTACTGATTTAACTTTCCAGGCGGCCTAGTAGCTGTGACAGCCTGTTCAATGCGACCGTATGTGAGTGCGCAGGGGATTGGATAAAATCACGTGAATTCAAGAATACTTTTACCTTAAAATCCGCAAATGACCTGCAACGAAACAAAACCCTTTTGTGTGAGGTTTGCGAACGGTGCCGCTAGGACGTTTCTTTGTAACTAAAGGTTGGAATTGCTTTGGGTATATTGTGTTGGAATTTGCATGAATGCGCCACCTCACCTTGAGAAATATTGAACCTCTGTTGAACTCTCGTTGAGCGCGCTGGTTTGACATTTTCAAAGAAATCGGCTCTTTTATAAATACCAGCTTTTCAACACCGACTAGCTGTCAACATAGCAGGTTATTGATGGATTAGGCGGCAAGTCTATTTATATTACCATGCGTAATTGTGAGGATACTTAGGCAACAGGATGTGAATCAGCTGGGTTTTTTTTTTATAGAAGGCTTTTGTCTCCATTTTTTTTTTTTAAACTTGTTTACAACTTTAGCTTTCGATCAGTGGAATTATATATAAAGCAGGGTTCGCGGAGCGAAAAACTAGGGACTGTTTGACGTCATGCTTGACATTTAGATTCGTTCGTTGTATTTCTTGTATGTACATGTGGGGAGACATTTTCAAAGAAATCCAGTTTGATGGATGAATAGGGTAGAAAAAGTCTTATGCTATACCATGTATTATTGTGAGGATACCTAGGCAACAGGATATATGAATCCGCTTTTTTATATAAGGCTTTTGTCACTGTTTTCTAATCTTGTTATGACAACTTTAGCTTTGGCGATCCGTGGAACTATATAGATATGCATTACCGCGAAAAGCAGGGTTCACGGGGCGACAAACTAGGGACTGTATTGACGTCATGCTTAACATTTAGGTTCGTGCGTTGTTTTATTGTACGTACGGCATCCCGAGTTCTGGGAGTGGGGAGAATATACACCTCCCCCCCCCCATCCTACCCCCACCCCAGCATGCATCGCCTATATTATGGACGATCGATGTGGTGTAGGATTATGCCTCAGATTTCTGCACTGAACACAAACATAAGCACTGGCTGATTAATCGGTAACAGAAGTTCTCAAGTGTATGGTAATTTGTATGTATTGCAATTTAATGATCTTTATTGTCTCAATCTCGGTAAATTCATGTACAAATATATGAATAATTTGCTCCCTTTGTGTTTTAGCTCATGTTTTACTTTAACTTCAAATGTTCATTGTTATAAAACCAGGAGTATCGAGAAGAAAAATCTTCATGTTGGCTTCAATAGAACGACAGTGTTCAAAAATGGAATAGTTCAACGTGGCACGAGTTTCTGGAATAGTCTAAGTATCCCTCTTAAAACGTCTTTAACTCTATCTACATTTATCAAAAAATTAAAAACACAACTTCTTACATTTTATTCGTAGTCTGTTGATACTTTGTAAACATACAACAATAGCTTAATGATACTCCTGTTTGTTTGTTTGTTTGTCTGTCATTGTCCTTAGTTCGTACTTAATTGTCCGTCAGTCTGTAAGTGTCCAACGGGTCAGGGAACAAAAGCGATCGCTTCACCCTATCCCCGTGTTGTTATGTGGATTATGTATATATTTTCATTATGTTAATAACGGTGTTGCGTAAAATTACTTCGTATTATATTTTGTATGCTTAAATGTTAACATAACGATTTAATATTTCTAGTGACATAACAACGTTGAAATAAATGTTCAGCAATAAATAAATAAATGGTGCTCAAGTTAAAAGACCTAGATAGTAGTAGTACAACCTCGTCCCCAGTGCCTACTTTATTCCCAACCTCGTTTCCAATAGTAAACCCTGGATAGGAAACTTTCTTCCTGTATCCTGATTCGATACCACAATTGGCTAGTAATGGATTTTTATCGTGTTTTTATTCATAACGTGCAGAACGTACGTGTTTTCGCGATCATTCGTACACGCCCTCTCGAAAATACTCATTTCCTTTCCAATTTGTTAATATAATTATGAAATATGATACTGCATGTTGTCTCGTTAGGATCGTAACAGTTTAATTAAAATAAAATCGTGTTTTCGTAACTCACGCCACACTCGCGCTGCGACGAACTGACTATGTTTTTACCCCAGACACTGCATACAAAAACAAAAGCTAATGTAACGCACATGCAGGCACCAGACTATTCCTCGTTTGCATACGTGTTCAAAAATCTTGCACATGCAAATGATCAAATACCAGGGTGAGAGAGCAGGTAGTGATGGGCGCGTACTGCTCAACACACTGAGGACGAGGTTGGTAGTAGTACTATCCGGTTCGTTTATAGTAAATCAAATTAGGTTTTTGCCCTTCACCGACGCCCATTGGATAAATACTCAAGTTGCGTTAACTTCCGGTTCCAATGCCACTAAAAGCTACAGTCCATCAACCTCGTGCCCCGTGGGTACGATCTTGCTGCGCCATGTTGTTTCCCATCATGCCTTGCGCGATCGTAACCCCTGGAATTGTGTAATTTAAATGTGTCAAAATATGGCACATTATAATGCAGGGCTGCAGTTTATCCGTTTAACGTGCCGACGCCATCTTTAAAATGTTGAAAGTTGTAATTTTGAAGAATCAATCCTTTCAAACATAACATTTGGACGTTCAGTGACGCAAGGGCGGATCCAGGGGGGGGGGGGCCAAAGGGGGCCATGCCCCCCCCCCCCAAAAAAAAAAACGAAACCATTTTTTTTTTTTATGTGACATCGCAATAAAGGCAGGCAATGAGTACACCATCATCTTTTCCTCAAAAAAAATATTGGTTAAAGTGGTCAGAAATTGCCTCAGATCGCACCACAGAGCATCTAGAATCCAAAAAATTGTCGGGGCCCTTAAGCGGGCCCCGAACCCCACGCCGTAATTTTTTTGACCCACTTTTTTGGGGAACCAAATTTTTTTTTGGCCCCCCCCAAAAAAATTGTGTTCTGGATCCGCCCTTGCAGTGACGTTGCGTTATTTAGCAAAGATTTGTATTAAATGTACGTACCCCTTTCGTGCCTTTACAACCACAGATACAGGTTTTTTTTTTAGCGAAAAATGCGGCTGCCACAATCCATATCGTACAGGCAATCTTCGAAATGCGCGCGCAGTACCTGTGAATAGCCAACCAGCGTCATTTACGTCATCATCACAGCCAGGGGTTAGTGTAAGGAACGAGCACGCGCCCCTGGAGTCGAGGCTGACAGTCCATCATTTGCAGCGATCCAAAACGTGACTGACGTAATTATTGTTGAAAAGAATACTTGCTTTAAAGATAATAATGGAACTAAACTCCCTATGAAATTATTCTTTCTGGCAAGCTGTCATTTTGAAGAAAACAATGAAAGAAGGCCTTTCCAACGATGTGTCTAAATTTCCGGTATTAATTCGTTTTTTTATTCGGCGAAGCGCGCACAAGCGTTGACATGCGCGACATCGCGTAGCTACAATCGGTTCAGTGAGAACGTGTCTCGGACGCTGAATTCAGGCCCAATTCAAAACATGACACATAGTCAGGCAGCTTAGTGAATGGATGTGGACATTCTGGACAAAAGCGCCAAATTTTCCATACATGCTCCTCAATGCCTTAGCTTTCAATTTTTGATAGGAACCAACTTATTCAATAACAATATGGCGGCCATCTTGGATTTTAAAGACGGTGGCCATTAAAAACCTATATCTACCAATATCTCATCTTCTAAGCCACTTAGGATGAAAGTTTTGGTGTCTAAACATACATTTTCGGGGTCAAGGAATGCAACTGTACCATTTGGGAAAGTGTCAGATGGTTAGTCTATCCAAATACAGTATTGTGGCCATCTTGTATTTGAAACATGGCCGCCATTGAAAATTTAAATCTCCGAATACGTGTATTGCATCTTTAAGCCACTAAGGATCTAAATCTTGTTGTCTACCCATATATTTTCAGGGTCATGGAACGTAACTAAATAATTTGGATTAGTACTACATGTATTTCAGATCATGTCAAATGGTCAGTTTGTCCAGGTACTTAATACGGCGACCATTTGCCGTCAAAGGACCAACACTAGCCCGATTCAGGCTATGTACCCTTTTGCCATTATGGTTTGACTTGAAAGGGCCGGCACCGGTCCCATTCAGGTTGTGTACCGTCTTGCCATCATGGTTTCCCATAAAGGGACCAACGCTGGCCCGATTCAGGCCTTTTACCGTCTTTTCATCATGGTTTATCGTAAGAGGACCTGCAATGGCCGGTTCAGGCTGTGCGCCGTCTTGCTGTTATTGTTTGCCTTAAAAAGACCAGCACTGGTCCGATGCAGGCTCTGAACAGTGTTACCATTACCGTTTGTCATTTATTAGGGCGCGTTTTGGCGCAATCGAGCCAGCATTAGCCCGCTTCTGGTCTTGTACCGTTTAAACTTGTATGGTACTGCCACAGCAAACCCATAATTAGATGGTATCGGCCCAATACCGTCCTGTTTACTGGGTCCATGCCATCTTTGAACCTAGGCAGGTAGAAATCTCTAGCACTCCACGATGTGATACAACTCTGCCTCTCCACAACTACATGCAGCTAACCACTTTTGTAGCTCCATTTGATTAAGACGGGTCTGTGATCGTCTAGTCCTTGTTCTCAAGCGGCTGTTTTCCATTGAACCCATGTCGATGTAGCACCTGTAGGGAGGTTTTCCGCCGTTGTTGAAGTCTAACCATGACAACCGGTGGGCGTTTGCTCCGAGTCGTTGCTTCCTGTGTTGGAGTCTTGCCACTTCCCTGGATGTTGTGAAGGAGTGGAAATGGCTGAGGAAGCTTTTTTTTTTACTTCAGCCTTTTGTGCCGGAGCTTGCCGTCCCTGGAGGAGGCGACACTCGTCATTTCTCAATATTTGGACATCTTAGGTCAGCTGGCAACTTCTCTTTGGAAATCCGAGGAGGAAATGCCAGTAAGGAGGTGCAAATTACTTGTGTTGGTGGGTTTCAAGCATCCAGTGATCAAACTGCATGTTGTTTAAAGCTGGGTCAGGTTTCATGGTATGGGCTCATCTCTCCCAGACGGGGCACGCATACTCTGCTGAAGAATGGCGCGGAGCCAAAACGGTTCATCTTAGGGTGTGTAGTTTGGCTCCCCTTTTGGAAGCTGTTCAATTTCTTCATTATGTCGTTACGGGGAACTAAATTTGGATGACTTGAATGACAGGATACAATGGAGGGTCACCCTAAGGTAGACAGAAAGGCTACAAGGGACCAAGGGGCCAATGGTGTTCCGGACCAT